ATAGGCCTAATGACTACTAATGTATATTACATTGTTTTAGAATAATTTCTTTTGCTTTACAGTAAGCATGTATTTTTCGTGTCTGTGTACACTATTTAATATTTATTTTTACTGTTAATGAAAATATTATTCCACAGATGAAGCATGTTCCACTTGTAATAATAAAAAATAATGTCTTGTTTTTTTTGACTTAGGCTAATAAAACAGTTGTGTGGTTAACACAAAGTCAGTATCTCAAGCCAGTTACCCTTAATGTACTCAAGCCCTCAAACCACTTCTCTGGATTAGCAATTGTGTGCTCTACTGCTTGACCAATGAATCCCAATATAGTATTTGTAGGTCATTGTAAAAATATATATTGATATATCCTAAATAAATCTTTTATCAAGTGTTAAGATTTATGTTATTTGTATTGAGTGTTGTTTTAATTATTAATATGTTATTTGTGTGTGTGTGTTAGTTCAGTGATTTTGGAAAGCTGTAGTGATTGAGGAAACTAAGTGTTTAACTTGCAAATTTTATTTAAAGCAAAACACACTGGCGCTAGACTGCCATTACTGCTAACCCAAAGTCTCAAGTTGAATTGAGGTTTAAGTCAGTAAAAAGTCCCTGAGTGCACCCAGCAGTGATGGGTACCTAACTCACGTTAGTGAAAGTAAATGTGGATGGGCATATGGCTGACCAAATCATCCCTTCCTATGCCAAGGTCACAAAAAATAGGTGAACTTTATGTTGTCAGATCCATGGATCAACAGGTTTGAGACTGGAGCTTTACTACCATACAACTCTCACTATTGTTTACAATATTTTCATAAACTAACATTACAAATACAATAAAAAAAAGAAATTCAACATAAAATGAATGAGAAAAATTCAATATTTAGATAAATTTATCATTTATTTAATATTTATTACTTTCCAGTAATTGCAGGGGATTTTTTTTTCTTGCATCAAATATTGTTCTTCATAAATTGCAGTCTTAGATGAAATCTTCATTATAACATACATTTTGATTTCATGTTTAGTTGATAGTCTTGGTTGAGGTTTCCTGGAAATTGTGTAGGCTTCTTTCTAGAGGTCTATATGCACTGATTTAATTCAGGTAATCTGAAAAATAGATGTACACACAATATTTATGCTCAGAATTTTCTCTTATAATTATAGTTTACATTTTTATACATAATCAAAATTTTAAATAAAATTGAAACTAAAACTAGCCATTAAATCTATAATTACTTTAGGTCAATATATATTGAGCATTAAGCCTAGATTCTATTACTAAATCTAAACTCTAGATCTAATAACCAGGGTACAAGGCCTAATAAATAAGTGGATATAGATACATTTTGCTACATTGCATACTATTACTAGACTAGATCTAGATTGTGGGCTAGAGTAATAAGTGTATGTTACAATATTTACTGACACTAAGTCCTAGACAAAATTTCTAAATTACTGTGTAGATTGTTACTACAACTCACACTAGCAATGCTACAGTCACTGTCTATTACACTAGTGAACTCTACAGTCTACATTTACAACTCTACACACCTTTTAGGCCTTGCCTTAGCTTAGACTAGACAGACTGAGATAGGTAGTAGATATACTAGACTAGAGTAACTAGATCTAGATAGATTAGATAGCTTACAACTATAGCTCTCTACTCTACAAACACACACTAGAATCTACTAGAATTCAATTTAGATCCAGTACATTCTAAATCTAATCACTGTACAGTACAGTGTACTGTCACTTTTTAATTAGAGGGATCAGTATAGTTAATAAAGTAATAAAGTAGATATAGGCCTACAGATATTATATATTTAGGATCAGGTAGATTTAGATTTTAGATCTATTTTTGTAATATTCTGTCATCGAACTTGACGGTCTAGATAAGTGTTTACTGTTTACCAAATCGTTCAGTAGGAGTAATGTCCCCTGGGGCTAGGCTTGCTAGGTCTTACATTAACTTTAAAAAATAATTAATTTACTTACCGCCACAAAACTTTTCTGTCAGAATTGAATGCAAATACATTACTTCCCAACCGTACGTACACAATAGACTTGAAATTGTGTATATGTGTTGCATATTGGGAGTTCATGATGAGTTTAAAATGTTGAAGCGAAGTCAAGAAACAAGCGGCCGCCATGTTTGTTTATCAATGGGAATCATGATCACAAAAATTCATTTAGTTTGGAAAATTTAATCTCTCCCTGGCGGAAGTTTTTCCAAAACTTGGAATGGATTAATGAATTAATATTATTAATTATTTCAAAAATTATTTTCAATAGTTTATCTTGAATTAAAAAATTCAAAACACATAAAAATCGATACTTAATATTTTGTTTTAATTTTTGACAGCTAAAACATAATTTTAGCGCTTGCCAATTAATTTATATAATTTTTTGAAAAATAGCATGTTATATAGCAAAGTATTACTGCAACACCCAATTCCCTTTACAATGATACAAATTACAATAAACATCAATAAGTTGTTCTTAAACAATAATACTTTCCAACATGCAAATATTGTAAAAATATCATCAAATACACCTAATTAAAGTAGATTTCCATAATATCGGCTTGCTCCTAACTAACACTAAGATATTCTAATTAAAGATCAAGCTTGGCCTAATAGTTCTTCCAATTTTCATGCTATAATAACAACTATTTATTAAGATATGAATTTTTCTTCTTGCCCTACTAAGCACAATTGACTGATTTCCAACAAATTCACTACAATATCTAAAGTTGACGTTTGAACTAAAACTAGATATAAACACCTTTTGCATTTAATTGTCAATTATTTCATCGGTCGAAATTATTAAATAACATGTTATTATAATATGTGAACTCATGGCACTGTTTCTTTACGGTACTGAAAATAAATAAACTGATTTTGGCAAGGGTTGACGATGAAGGCTACTGCTGATAGTACGGACATAGCTCTAGGGTAGGTGAAGAAAGAAAACAATTTTGTTGAATCTGGTCAGAGGATTAACAGGTGGTTGGCATACAATTACCCCTAATCCATTCATCGTTAGATCTTACGATAACGTGATGGATGGGGTGATGACGACAAATGCTAAAGGTAAATAATAAGTGGATGAGAGGGTTGTTGGAAGATATGATCGGGTTGGAGGTAGAGGTGGGAGGGTTGTATGTAGAGGTGGGAGGGTTGTATGTAAGGTGGGAGGATTGTATGTGGATGTGGGAGGGTTGTATGTGTAGGTGGGTTGTAGGTAATGATGAGAAAAAGGGGGTAGCAGAGAGTGTTGGGTGGGGAAGAGGTTTGCGGGGATATATGGGAGGGTTACATACAGTCCAGAATCTGATGAGATGTGTATAGCAGATGTATGTTTGTTGACAGCGAGATAATTAAAATGTCTTTGATGTGGAATGACTCGGGTATTGATGGTGAAATCAGATGACAGTGTAGGTCACAATTTTTAAAATGTATAATGTCCATGTCAAACCATTACTTAAAACACTGACCCATTGACCACCAATGATCTGAGCCAAAATATTTCGACCACTGCTTGAGAGATCTTTGAGTGACGTTTTTGCCAGATAAATCTATCACACTGTTAGCCAAACATTTGTGCTATTAATAGGATAACACATTCTAGCTTATTTTTGTACATGACCGTAAAACCAAATACTTTCTTTAAGATTATCCGGAGTTACTTTTCTTACCCCAAAGTGTGCCCCTGGGGATGGGGGTGGCCTTGACTGGGCCAAGTATCCAAACGGTGCATCTGCGGGTGTTCGTGCCCCGAAGGAAGTATTTTAAATGTATCTGCTAGAATCACATTCCTTAGCGCCTTAATTAGATTAAACTTTAAATTAATTATATTTCACATGAGTCCATTCGTCGCTAAACGACGTCACATCTCCTTGTAAATACAAGCCAATAGCTTCTCGCTTCAATTCAACACATTTCAAATATGCCCCCCCCTCTCCCGACCTCAAAACTAGACAAATTGTATCTGTCACGTGATAAAATCATATTACGTCTCTCCAATCTCCGGAATCAATCTATGCTAATGTTGTAATGTGCCCTTAGTTAAAGCCGCCCAAGACGGGGAATCAAAGGGAGGACACTAGCGAATTATCCACTCTACCTGTTAACAACGGGTTACTCCCCTTTACATGATTCATCGCCTTGAACTTGAATCGTGGTAAAGGGAAAATAATCTGAAACATAAATGTCAAATAAAACAAATATTAATTATTTTTTTTACAATACTAAGATTTTAAATGCACTAACGATAAAAAGATAAAATAGCTTTATTTCTTTAAATATAACGGTAAACTGGGTAGTTAAAATGTTTCAGAGACACTGTGAGCGTCCAACGTTGTTTTTACTTTAATTTCAAAAGCAACCTTATTCTATTGATTCGTAAATTGTTAATGTTATGGTATTTTTTACGAGCCGTCTCTTGCACTATCTCTGTGGAAAACCTATCTGTGAAGAACCGTGACTTGCGTGATTATTAAGTAGTATATATCGGGTTTTAAAATATATTACTTTTCCAATTAAATATGTATACCCAAATATAGACGTTGTAGAAAATAACGCATAATCCTTAAACTAACTCTAAACTTACCCCCCCCCCCCCCCCCCAACACATTTTTAAAAAAGTTGGGTCGCATTTTACTACTGTCGCTTAACAGTTGTTATTCTGGGGTCACACAATTGATGTAGATAACATGTAATTAAATAAGTCTGTAATGCCCAGGGGCAGTCTGTTTTCTTAACATCAGCTGTGGATAATTCAGTAATGCAGCTCAGAATGAGAATTTAATTTTTCCTACCTCTATTAGGCGCCCCCTATGGCCGGCGCCCACACGCCCTCGCCTATCTCAGCCACTATTCCATACAGCAGCAGTGATTTAACATTCAACTTTGCTGTGGTTTGTTAATATTTTTATTGGTTATGTTAAACACACTTTACAATCATTATATTGATTTTAAAAAAAAAACAAGAAGGCAAAATCTTCATAAAGTTGAATTTTATTGATCTTAAAATAACAAATGAATATAAATTATAAATGAAAAACTTGCTGGACTTTACAATAGCTCTTCCAAAAGCAAACGACGTATTAAAGTTGGACAACAATGAAAGAAAAAAAATATTGCTTTTAAGTGGTTCTGTCTGTCCTGTGATTATAGTGGTATGGCTAGGGTTAGTTGTGTGGTGATCTATAGAAAGGTTGTAAGCTGTATCAAGTGTGTAACTGTGGCTCTGTAGGCTGATACAAAACACATTTTGTATAGGTCACACGACACCACTGTATGCTGATACAAAATAGGCATGCGAATAAAACAAGAAGTCAATATAACCCTAAGGGGAGATAAAATAGAATAAAAAGTCTGTAGATATAACTTTAAGGGAGGTAAATGTTGACATCTGGCAAGCAAGGCACATGACATCATTTGCCAGGATCATGGGGCTATTTTTTAAATGGACGGCATCAGTCCAACAATAATTATTGAATGGACAACATCAGGTTAACAATAACTGACTGGACAGCATCAGTCTAACAATAACTAACTGGACAGCATCAGTCTAACAATAACTGACTGGACAGCATCAGTCTAACAATAACTAACTGGACAGCATCAGTCTAACAATAACTAACTGGACAGCATCAGTCTAACAATAACTGACTGGACAGCATGAATTTAACAATAATTGACTGGGTGGCATCAATTATTGTCTGGACAGTAACAATCAACCAATCATTGCCTGAATAATTATAAACACAATATATATACTGTGTTGTTCTATACCAGAAGGTCAAGAGTCAATTATTGCAGAACTCTCTTGTGCATAAAACAAGAGATGTAGTGTTATTTTAAGGACAAACTTAGCTCTAAAGCTCAAATTGTGGTTTTGGGCCCTACCATACTTTGTTTCTGGATGAAATGAATTCTAAATTGCTAATGTGAACCTTATTCTTACTAGTGTATGTTAACATTTCTAATCATAATTCATAACATATGCCATTTCAATTCATGAAAAACATGACAGCAACTCAACAGTTTAGTAAAGTCAAAGAGGAATGTACAATAAAATTTATTTTAGAACTCTTAATATACAAAATATATTCTTAAGCAAACAACAGCCGTTATATTTTTACCATGTTATACAGTCAAATCAAAAGCTCAAACACAAATTGTATTGAATGAATAGAAAATCTTTTTTTTTTTTAGATTTTCAGAAGAATATTTTGTTTAAAAAAGATGGATATAAAAGGCAAATAAGCAATAAATAAAAGCTGAAATGAGAATGATAAAAAGTGTAGTATAAGACACAAAGGCTATTTACATAAAGCTGCTGGTGACACCAGGATTTGTTCCTGGTCATAAATTCTAACAAAAACAAGACTCGAAAAATGAAAAAATGAATGAGACAAAGGTTGAGCAAGTTGAGGAAATACACAAAGGTAACCCAAGTATTCTATGTCTTCATTTCCATGGTAACCCAAGTATTCAATGTCTTCATTTCCATGGTAACCCAAGTATTCAATGTCTTCATTTCCATGGTAACACAAGTATTCAATGTCTTCATTTCCATGGTAACCCAAGTATTCAATGTCTTCATTTCCATGGTAACACAAGTATTCAATGTCTTCATTTCCAAGGTAACCACGCATATGATGTTTTGATTTCCAATGAATTAGCTTTAAGACAGTGGTAGCAGTAAGCTGTCACATATAACAGAGCACTTTTTTGTTATATATCAACTTTTTAACTATTACATTCTAAAACTTTATTCACAAAAAAAAGTCAGAAATTGTTCTATGAAATCAAAAAGAAAAAATGGTGATAGTTTGATTGCAGAAGACTTTTGAACGATGTGATGTAATTAACCATCAAGAAACCTATTTGAATAGTTCAATAAATTGATCACCAAACTCAGAGATTAACTACTTAGGTAACTAGAATAAAATAAAGAATTTTGATTGATCAATTCTCTTTGATGAAAACAAGCTAAAAAAAAATTTGATCAGTGCTCTCCCATGAAATTTCAAATAACCATGTCCACAATGCAAACCTATCAACAAGAGATTGTCTTCAAACAAATGTTTACATTCAAACAAATGTTTACATTAAACGTTTCCTTCTATCTGCACACCCGATTGGCCATGACAATTGTCCAGCTTTCCTAAAATTATGGTCACCACCCGTTTATTGGGTTCCTAGATTTAGTCCCCACCTGTTCAATGATTTCTTAGAATTTTGGTCACCACCTGTTCAATTATTTCATAAAATTTGGTCACCACCTGATCAACTGTTTCCTAAATTTTGGTAACCACCTGGTCAATGAGTTCCTAGAATTTTGTTCACCACCTGTTCAATGAGTTCCAAGAATTTTGGTCACCACCTGGTCAATGATGTTGATTGTTGTGGCTGTGATTGGATACTGTGGTGGAAGTTTCCTGGACACAGCAGGTGTCTGGATGAAATACCTGGCAACAGGTCAGATCACATCACTAGAAGGCAATCATAAGGGGCAACAATCATAGAACATCACAGGGGCAACAATCATAGAACATCACAGGGGCAACAATCATAGAACATCACAGGGGCAACAATCATGAACATCACAGGGGCAACAATCATGAACATCACAGGGGCAACAATCATTAACATCACAGGGGCAACAATCATTAACATCACATGGGCAACAATCATTAACATCACAGGGGCAACAATCATTAACATCACAGGGGCAACAATCATTAACATCACAGAGAGACCAATCATAAACATCACATGGGCAAGTAATATGGCTTACTTAAACTCCTCAAAGTAATTGTTCCGTACGTAGCTAATGACTGACTTGTTGACTTCCACAAATGTAAGCAGCAGGGTAAACATCTGAAAGACAAACATGGACTGGGTCGGGGTCAGGAGTTCAAACCTGGACAAGCTGACCAGCTCCATGATTTGAGTAACCAGACGGTCAACAAACTTCTCCTGAGGACAAATAAACTCTCCATTAGATTCTACATCTACTGACAGAGTTGGTGAATAAACTCACCATTAGATTCTACATCTACTGACAGAGTTGGTGAATAAACTCACCATTAGATTCTACATCTACTGACAGAGTTGGTGAATTAACTCACCATTAGATTCTACAACTACTGACAGAGTTGGTGAATAAACTCACCATTAGATTCTACATCTACTGACAGAGTTGGTGAATAAACTCACCATTAGATTCTACATCGACTGACAGAGTTGGTGAATTAACTCACCATTAGATGCTACATCTACTGACAGAGTTGGTGAATTAACTCACCATTAGATTCTACATCTACTGACAGAGTTGGTGAATAAACTCACCATTAGATTCTACATCTACTGACAGAGTTGGTGAATTAACTCACCATTAGATTCTACAACTACTGACAGAGTTGGTGAATAAACTCACCATTAGATTCTACATCTACTGACAGAGTTGGTGAATAAACTCACCATTAGATTCTACATCGACTGACAGAGTTGGTGAATTAACTCACCATTAGATGCTACATCTACTGACAGAGTTGGTGAATTAACTCACCATTAGATTCTACATCAACTGACAAAGTTGGTGAATAAACTCACCATTAGATTCTACATGTACTGACAGAGTTGGTGAATAAACTCTCCATTAGATTCTACAACTACTGACAGAGTTGGTGAATTAACTCACCATTAGATTCTACAACTACTGACAGAGTTGGTGAATAAACTCACAATTAGATTGAGTTGGTGAATAAACTCTCCATTAGATTCTACAACTACTGACAGAGTTGGTGAATTAACTCACCATTAGATTCTACAACTACTGACAGAGTTGATGAATAAACTTACCATTTGATTCTACATCTACTGACAGAGTTGATGAATAAACTTACCATTTGATTCTACATCTACTGAGCTGAAAACACTAAATGTAATTTAACACTATCTTGTCTGTTTTGCTGTAGCTTAAAATTTATTTTTAATTTTGTCGCAGCAAGTTTTGCAGAAAATGTTACAAAAATCTCCTCACCGTGGCTTTCAGCTTGGTACATGCGCCAATCATGCCAGACACTGACAGTATTTCTAGCTCATCACCTGCTGCCTATCAACCAAAAAATGTAGGTTAGTTGCCAATTTATAAACTTTAAAAAAAAAAAATTTCTAATAGAAGAACAAAGAAAATGAATGCAAAATGTTCTATCTGACTGACCTGTTTAGCCACCATGAAGAGCTCAAATAGAGAACAAATGGCAGTCTTTGTGTATTCTGTTTTTAACCTGACCAACTGGATCAAAAAAAGTTGGACCATAAATTAGGAATCATAAATATCACATCTGCTATGTAATTAGGAATCATAAGTATTACATCTGCTATGGTGGCTGGGATTATTGCTGGAGCTATTCCAGGTTCAACAGTTTGATCTCTAACACAATTAGAGAACAAACCACCTTATGAGGTAATCTCTACGCAATTAACTCAAAAATCAGAAAATAATATTTAAATCTACAGTAAAATTAAAACACTGAACCATAAATGTTATTTATTTATATAAGTGTAATAAACAAAGTTATAATAAATTAATGCCAATTATCTACCTCCTCATTAGCATTTCTTAATAAACAAAGTTATAATAAATTAATGCCAATCATCTACCTCCTCATTAGCATTTCTTAATAAACAAAGTTATAATAAATTAACCACAATCATCTACCTCCTCATTAACATTTTTTAATTAACAAAGTTATAATAAATTAATGACCATCATCTACCAACCTCCTCATTAACATTTCTTTTGACATCTGTCCCCTTGGCACCAACAGCTGGTGTGGACCAGTGCCTTGATAGTGGCTGGTAGGGTAGGTCTGGCTGGCTGACCACTATGTTCAGTAGGTCAGACAGGTGTTTGCCCCTAGAGAAACAAGGACAATAGAAAGGGAGATAAAGTAAACCTTAATCACACTGGTTGCTTCCCCTTGATTACTACAGAAAAAAAACAATATTTCTAATTTTCTTTAAATATTTATTATAAATATAAGCAAAAGTTTATTAAAATAACAAAAGTTTTAAGAATCATTAGTGTTTTTTTAACTCTGCTTTATTTAAAAATAATACTAATATTAATTTCATTAATGCATAATTGAACAAAATATTTTTATTTTCATTGCAACATTGTAAATAGGTGTATATCTTTGAAAAATCTAATGAAATAATGAGAGAAACAGGCAATGAATCAAATAAAAGAGCTGAGTACAGAGTGAGCTCACCCTTCAAGCTTGAGCGTGTGTAGCCTTGATGGCACAATTTCTGTTTCTCTGAACATCAGGTTTAAAGTTGACAACACAAGGATAGAAAACCTGGAAATATAAACACATCACAGCAGTTGAACATCAGGTTTAAAGTTGACAACACAAGGATAGAAAACCTGGAAATATAAACAAATCACAGCGGCTGAGTCAAGTATTCTGTACAGGTAGTGGTACAATACAAACCAGGTGTGTCAATGTCACTGTTTCACCTTACAGGTAGTGGTCCTATGTCCTGTCAATGTCACTGTTTCACCTTAAAGGTAGTGGCCCAATGTCCTGTCAATGTCACTGTTTCACCTTACAGGTAGTGGTCCTATGTCCTGTCAATGTCACTGTTTCACCTTAAAGGTAGTGGCCCAATGTCCTGTCAATGTCACTGTTTCACCTTACAGGTAGTGGTCCGATGTCCTGTCAATGTCACTGTTTCTCTAGACACAAGTAAAGAACATCTACCATTTAAGCAAAAGCTGTCTAAAACTTACTCCATTTCATCCGCTCTTTGAATCTTTCCTTCCTCAGAAGTGAGTGACGATTTTGAACAAGGCACATATTTCTTCAGCTCAGTCACAAGGAGAGCAAACAAATCAGAGTGCTGCATAGATAAAAAAACTTTAAGCAGTGCTTTAACACATTCTTATAGCACATTTTAATCACATTTTAATAAGCCTGGACTGAAAATCACAGAAAAAATTTATTAAATGACTTCATAAATAGATTTTCAATAAACTGTACTTATTTTAAAACAGGACACTTAATAATCGCACTTTTCATGGTTAAAAAAACTTCAACCAAAAACTTTTTCAAAGTATTGCCATTAACCCAAAAGAAATTTTAAATCTACCTTCCAAAATAATTTTTTGATTATAAAGCTGGACTTAGTTGCATTGTACAGCTGATCTATATAAACAAACTGATCTTCCATGGAAAGATTGGGTTGCAGCAGACGCCTCTTTAGCTGAAGGTATTCGTGTTCAACTTTTTCTCTAAAAATATTTATATACAATACACAATTAGAAAACAATATAAATCATAAACCATAATAATTATTTTATTAAACTTTCTGCCAAGGGAAAAATTTAAAGGAAATTTAGAAATAGAATTTTAACGAGAGTATAGAAAACATCAGCAGACAAAAAAAAATTAAGCCAGAATGGAAAGATAAAACCAGCTCTAAAAGTAATGTATTAATATAAAAAAAAATTTTAGTATAAAATCTAAATAAACTAGAGAAAATAAATAGCACTGGCTGTTTTTATGAATAGCAATTAAAACATCTGAATTTATACTGAGCAAAAAGCGGAGGCAATTTTAAAGTTAAACTTCTTAAAAATCAATTTGTTTTTACTCATTTTTGCATTTTTTACTTTATTCAACAAACAAAAACAGAGCCATAAATGTTTTGATTTATTTTCTTTAAATTACATGTGCCCTGTAAAGTGTTTTCAAAAACAATATAAGATTCTATTACAGGCTGAGAAAAATTTCAGCATTTTAATTTCATGTTATTGGTAAAATCTTTTATGAATAAAAAAATTGGATAGACAAAGAAACAATTCGCCTCTTTGACTAATGATGAAAAAAATTATTTAAAGCATTATTAATATTCTCTGAAATTAAATAATCTCACCTCCAACTTAATTCACTGTAATGTTTAAAAGAGAATAGTGTTAGTACAGCTAAAGGTTAATAAAACTAATGTAAATGTTGAGACTGGAGAAAATGTACTCATCAGCAGGAAACACTGCAAATTAGGTTTATTATATCTATACATTGGTTTAGTAAAATATTCAGTTTACAAATATCTCTATAGAGAAAAGTGTTATGTTGTGTATGTAACAAAAATATAACTTTGTGGTTAGTTAGAAAGTAAATAATTCTATTCTCAGTCACTGACCTGTTACTAGCTGACAAGATTTTGGGATTGGTAGAAATTTCTAGAGTTTCTGGTTCCAAGGCCAGGGTGGATTTCTGTAACAGTGAAGCAAGGTTTGGATTCTCAATGAGAAAATATAGTTTAGCTTATCACAAGAAAACAGCTTTTAAGCTCCCAACTTGCGCTAAGTTTTAATGTTAACAAGACTCACTATGATGTAGTTGTGCCAGACACTTTTAAGCTCCCAACTTGCACTAAGATTTAATGTTAACAAGACTCACTATGATGTAGTTGTGCCAGGCACTTTTAAGCTCCCAACTTGCACTAAGATTTAATGTTAACAAGACTCACTATGATGTAGTTGTGCCAGGCACTTTTAAGCTCCCAACTTGCACTAAGATTTAATGTTAACAAGACTCACTATGATGTAGTTGTGCCAGGCACTTTTAAGCTCCCAACTTGCACTAAGATTTAATGTTAACAAGACTCACTATGATGTAGTTGTGCCAGGCACTTTTAAGCTCCCAACTTGCGCTAAGATTTAATGTTAACAAGACTCACTATGATGTAGTTGTGCCAGACACTTTAAGCTCCCAACTTGCACTAAGATTTAATGTTAACAAGACTCACTATGATGTAGTTGTGCCAGGCACTTTTAAGCTCCCAACTTGTGCTAAGATTTAATGTTAACAAGACTCACTATGATGTAGTTGTGCCAGACACTTTAAGCTCCGAACTTGCACTAAGATTTAATGTTAACAAGACTCACTATGATGTAGTTGTGCCAGGCACTCTTCAGCAGGATGAGGAGAGGTGAGGTCTGGTTGAGGATGTAGACATTGAGGACACACCTGCGCGGCACAGGTAGACCATCAACAGACAGGGTGTTAAGGCCATTGAAGGAGATGTAGCTGCCCAAGTCACTGGTGGACATGTTTAAGTGGTTGCTGTTGATGTCACGTTACAGTTGTTTTAACAAGTGGGAAATATCTAATTCTTATTTATTTTAACAAGTGGGAAATATCTAATTCTTATTTATTTTAACAAGTGGGAAATATCTAATTCTTATTTATTTTAACAAGATGAAATATCAAATTCTTATTTATTTTAACAAGTGGGAAATATCTAATTCTTATTTATTTTAACAAGTGGGAAATATCTAATTCTTATTTATTTTAACAAGTGGGAAATATCTAATTCTTATTTATTTTAACAAGATGAAATATCGAAATTCTTATTTATTTTAACAAGTGGGAAATATCTAATTCTTATTTATTTTAACAAGTGGGAAATATCTAATTCTTATTTATTTTAACAAGTGGGAAATATCTAATTCTTATTTATTTTAACAAGTGCAAAGTTTTAATCTGTAATTTATATTAACAAATACAAAGAAATGCAAAAATGTTAAGTTAGAATTCACATTTAGTATTGTGTACATTTGTACAACAGAGAAAAATGTAACAACATATAGAGCAACGTGTACAAGACAGAGAAAACAAACTCACATATTGTAATGTGTACATTGTGTGTACAAGATAGAGAAAACAAACTCACATATTGTAATGTGTACATGGTGTGTACAAGACAGAGAAAACAAACTCACATATTGTAATGTGTACATGGTGTGTACAAGACAGAGAAAACAAACTCACATATTGTAATGTGTACATTGTGTGTACAAGACAGAGAAAACAAACTCACATATTGTAATGTGTACATTGTGTGTACAAGACAGAGAAAACAAACTCACATATTATAATGTGTACATTGTGTGTACAAGACATAGAAAACAAACTCACATATTGTAATGTGTACATTGTGTGTACAAGACATAGAAAACAAACACACATAATATAATGTGTACATGGTGTGTACAAGACAGAGAAAACAAACTCACATATTGCGCTCTGTATCCAGCATGGGTGTCCCAGATCTTGAACCAATCAGTGAAGAGCTCCTGCTAGCAGTAGGAAATCCACTCAGCTGGGCTAGACTGTTGCCATACAGATTGTTAGAGTTTGTGTTCTGTTGACTGTACATCTGGCTGGAGAGTTCAACAGACTGGCGTTTGTCGGGGATGGTGCCACTTTTGCTGGCAGGGACCACCTAAATCAATATTTTCAGTGTTTTTAAAACATTTTTTTTCATTTAAATATTTTTATTTGATACTGAAAAAGTGTACACAAAATCTATTACCTGATTTTTCTGTGTTCTGTAGCACCCAAATAAAAAACAGCAAGCCGTTTTGTTAACTTTCTTGTCCTGTGTGTGTTGCTGGGACTGTGTGTGTAGCAGTATTTGCTTGTCAGACACACCATTCTTCTGCTGGGTATACAAAGGTGTCTGTGCTGTACTATTTATAGAATCTGTCCTGGTCTGTTGTCTCCCTTGTGGTGGAGGTTTTGTTCTGGAATGTTCTGTGTTAGTTGATCTGTTGGTTGGCATGTTCTGTTCATCAATAGTCTCCATCATCTCTTCCTCTTTCTCTTCCTGTTAAAAGTTGTTGGATAGTGGCAGTCATCACACAAAAACAAAGTAGATCAGGCTAGTGTTGTTGAGTAGAATTAAAAACTAAATGAAATAATTTGTGGCTAAGATTCGTTGAACAACTAAATGACTTTAAAACCAACTCCAAAAATAACTGATCAAAATAAAAATTGTGAATGTTTTTAAAAACAAAATTACTTTAAAATACTGACAAAGTTGTAGCTGCTATGACTCTTCAAAGCAATGGGTTACCTTGAGTGAGCGTAGGATACTTTCATGGTCGAGGCTGTCATTTAACCCTGGAGTTTTCTTCTTCTTCTTGTTCTGCAGTGCGCTTGGTTTAGTGCTATCTCTGCTGGTTGGCCTGCTGGTTGGCAGGCTGGTTGGCAGGCTGGCTGAACTCTGGGTCAGGTAGCCTTGATCTTCTGGGGCACTGCTGTCTAGCGGGTTGTCATAACCAATTGGTGTGGATGCATTAGACCTATAAATGAGGGTTTTAAACATAAAACAAAACATGAAATTAATTTTCATAACATATTTTTGCCAGGTTATTACAACTGATTAAAAATTCTATAAACTTGTATGACAACTTTGTCTGGTTTTAAGCTACCTTAAAATGAATGAATCAATTTTCTAAGAAAAACAACCTTGTCAACAATTACAATTGTCCAAGATATATATTTTTAACGTTTTTTTAAAAAGGTAAGCTAATTTATATATATATATATATATATATATATATATATATATAAAATAAATCCTTTCATTAAAAATGGACCTATTGTAGCATGATTATTCGCTCCCTTTAACCATTAAAAATAAAATGGTTTTATAACTGCAAGTTAACTTTAAAGTACACTATGTAAGTAGGTCACATAACTGTTGTTACATTTCAATAGAATTTACTTTAGCAACTGTCAAACTAACAAATGTATAAGTTTGACAGGGAATCTGAATGCTAGCAGATACAAAACTAATAGATAAAATAATAAAAAACATTAACAAATGTGTAGGCAAACTAATATGTTAACAAACCTATCTATTAAGTGGGAAACAAATTTATCAACAAACCTATCTGTACTAAATGAGAAACATATTTGTCAACAAACCTAACTACTAAACCTATCAACAAACCTAACTACTAAACCTATCAACAAACCTAACTACTAAACCTATCAACAAACCTACCTATCAGTACTCAGTGACACGACTGATCCTCTCTGAGAACCTTTGGACTTGTTGCGGAGTGACCTGCGCCTGGGTACAAATGTCATGTATGTGATAGCAATGTGCTGGGCATTGTTCCTCTCATTTCCTCTTAGAAATTCTGGGAATTCATTGACCTGTAACAAAAATTATTTTCAGATTTCTAGATTTTTGTTGTGTTATTTGTATGAGGAGAAAAATATAGTGAAGAATGTGAGCTGTTCTTACATGTAAAAATGTAAAAATCGCATTTATACTTATTAACTTTTATGGGGGGAAAATGCTTTAATTTTAATTAACAGTTTTTAATTTTTTTTTAACTATACAGTATTGTACAACAAATGAAAATCTAAGACCTTTTATTTCAAGTAGGCTATCCCTCTAGACCAAGTTGACTATTCCTCAGGACCTAGCCCTCTAGACCTAGTTGACTAACACTTAACACCTTTCCCATTAATTTGACTAGGAAATGGCATTCTTCCAGTTTGCTCGACTGGCCTCAAAATTTGATTATGGTAACCATATTGAAAATATAGTTATAACTATTAACCTCAAACATACAAGGTAGTAAGATAACATTCTCACTTTAAGTATAAACTATAAATAGAATCTGGCAACCATATTGAAAATATAAATATAGTAATAATTATTAAACTCAAACATACAAGGTAGTTAGTAGTTAGATAACATTCACATTTTAAGTATCAACTATAAATAGAATCTGGCCTGTTTAAGCTTATCAAACTGGTCTCTCAAACATGTAGCTACTAAGTGACATTATAATTGATTCTGCCCCATGATAGACCTTTCAGGGAATGGTTCAATAAGTTTAATCAAAGAATACATTTTACAACCAGAAGATATTATGTAGAGAGCTAATGCAATCTTTTTTTAAAATGAGCTACATTTTAAAAGTGTGAGAAGAATAATTGTACACCCTCCAGTACAGCACTATAGGCTACCAAACCATGACAAATGTGGAGTTTCTAAAGTCAATAGACTGGTCTTAAATAGCGTTCTTATCACCTCACAGCTATTGGAGTTTAAACTTGATATGAAAAGAACTCAACCTAACAGTTCAATAGCACTTTCTAATCATTATTGATCTCCACCTAGAACTAGATAAGTGGAAGTCCTTTAGCAGTACTATACTGTACCAATATCTAAATGTCATTTACATTGTTGGTGTATATTTTAAAGATATCGATCCAAGTCTAATGACTACATTTTATATAGCAAAAATTGCATATAAAGATGACAAACAATTATTTAATTTTTGTTCAATCAAAACATTTTTAGTAATGATAATAAAAACAATTTTCAATTTATCTTAACGCTAAGCCTATAAACAAATGAAACAAATCACTAACAAATGAAACAAATTATCAACATATTGTTATGCAATAATATTTTTAAAATGCTATTAGCAGCTATATATCACAATGCGCAGTCAGTTTTTTTTTTCCTCAGAGAATATGATAAAATGTTTGGCAGTTTGCCAGATTACAAATCTGACATGCTCACTAAGAAAGATTTTATTTTATTAACTAGCTGTAATCATTACATTATAAGGCTTAGCCTTCTTACTGGCACTATGACTTATTTAATTATGTGGTTATGGCTAGTAGACACTGAAGAATATTATAATGTTGGTTGATTAAATAAAATCTTCCATTAGGGATCATACATGTAATTTATAACATAAAGTATGACATTTTAGCCAAAACCTACATCATATAATGAAACGCAACATTGCCATTGACCACCACTCCACATTTTACATGAAACTTCATGGGACCCCAACCAAAAAACACAGATATAATAAAATATAGAAAACACATAATTTTTTTAGACAAATCACACCCTGAATAGAAACACTAATTGATAAGCCTTATTAAATATTAGAAGAAAACATTTATAAACAAGTCTAAGGACTTATTAACTCAAATATAGTAAACCCAATTTTTACATTTTAAAAAACAACAGAGAAAATCAAAGGGAGCGTTGTATAACATTCAGCCAACAAAAATTGATAAACTACCTGGAGACAACTTACATTATTATAATTATTTGCATGATCCCAAGAACCCTTATATTAACTATAAATATATGCATGATCCCAAGACCCCTTACATTAATTATAAATAAATGCATGATCCCAAACTTTTCTTTTCACTAACTGAAAGTTTTTATTTTAAGATATTTTACACCTTTTTTAGGTTAACAATGATGGTACATTGTTTAGTGGTCAATCTTTGAACTCATTTTTGCCCCATTTCTAACCACAATTTCTTTCAATTTTATATCTGAGTGCATCTAAGATGATAATGCACGAATTTTTAATCTCAATTGATAGTGAATTAGTAACTTGAATATATTTAGAAATATTCTTAAGTCAGAGATTTTAAAAAAAATTTGGAGTGTATTTACAGGATTGCTTTATAAAGGTTTTTGTAGGCCTGCTTGTTTTATTTTTGTTGTACTGTTAATTATATATTAATTACTTGGTCAACTAATTGAAGAAGAAAGTAGGCCAAATTAAATATTTAGTAAAATATTTTGGTTAACAATCCAAGTGTTTATCATAAATATTAAATAAGTTCTTACAAGTCTATACTATTTTGATTAGTTGAACAAAACCATTTGGCTTAGCACAAACAGGTGAAGTAAAGAAAAAACTGTATAACTTAATTAAGTTTTTTTATAAAGAGTTTGCTAAATATGTATTCATTTTTGTAATATTGTACAAAGAAAAACGGGTACAAGTGAGCTTACCATTTGTTGTCAGATAGTAAACTAATTTATTTCAAACTTAGAATTTGTTTAACAAGGCTAATAAAAAAATGTACTTCCTAATCAAGTTACACTAACACTTTATAGTTATATTTTTAGGACTGGGCAGCTTTATATTAGAAATATACAGGGCATTTCATGACTACGTCCACTTTAATTGTGGGTTTGGCCAATTAGTAAGTTCTGATCAGCATCAATAGGATAATGATAAGTATGACTAAGAGATATCATTTACTAAAGATAATTCAACTCCAAAACTGATTCTGGGTGTTAAAGTATCAACAATATCTGTGATGTTAGTGTATAAATAACTTGACATAGATTTTAGTATTTTACTATTGATATTTTTTTTAAATTGTTTTCATATTACAGAATGAGTAAACATTTTGATTCTTTCCTGTTAAAGGCTTACCAATACTGAAGCAGAAATATGGCATTATTAGATACTGTTAAGTAACATCAATATTAATTATGTCATTGTGGATATACAATATGTATTATCAATATCTGTTTTTTCAAGAGGCCTGATATAAAGTATGGTATATAATTTACCTGAGTTAGCATTCAATGTAATTTCAGTAAGGACTACAGCTGAGAACAAGAGTTAGGAGCAAAATAGGCCTACACTCAGTGGCATCGCTAGGTCAGGTGTTACCCGGGACGGCAACTAATTGTGTCACACCCCCCGCCGCAAAAAAAAATCTATATAGGCCTATATATATATATATATATATATATATATATATTGTGTATACCTCTCCACCACAGATGTGGATTGACGTGTCAGTTATGACAATGCTCAAGAAAACCTTTTTCTTCAGGCAAATTTTGCAACGTTTAGTTGGTTTCACCCCTCTCCACCCTGCGATAGCTTTAAACTGTGCACAGATAATACTAACGATGATCATCTAGGCCTATAGTGACATAGTCGGTTATAAATACAGTTGGATGTAGTAAAGGTTTCTATGCCGTTAGCAGGTTTACGTCATGGTGTCACCCCCCCAAAACCCCTGTAAGGTTTTGTCAATTTTGCTCTTAACTAAAAGGACGTTTTAACTCAAATTATTAGTTATTTTAATTGGAATGATCATTTATATAATTTACTAATGGTAATCTATTGTTTTGGGTACGTAAAATCGTCCGCGACTAGTAATGTGAAAAACAGGTGACTCCTTAAATTTTAATAATTATTTCACATTTTGAGGAGGATTTATGTTTTTTAAAATACAAAAATGTTTCCTTGTTTCATTTATGTACCTGTTTTTAAACAATTGAATTAAAACTTTTCAGTAATAAATGAATACTAGTGATGTTTCCAACAGATGCAACCACGCTCATTTACTATCTTGTTTACGTTTTATTTTTATAAGCTTATAGCGCAAGATTCAGGGGGAAGCCACTCTATTTTACAAATGGTTGCTGTTTATATAGCAAATCTTGCTCGCAGACACTGCTGTTTAAAGTTGATTTCTGGCCTATATTGATATATTTACTTATTTAGCCATTGATTTAGGTTTATTATTCATTTATCTATTATATTTGACACAAACATATCAAAATATACTTCTATTAAAGCCTTGACAATGAGGTAACATTTTCGTACATTAATAGCCGCAGGCGATTTTACGTACCCAAAATGATAGATTACCTTACTAAATAATTAATAATTAATAGGCCTAAATTACTAGTGTTAGGATAATTTACTAGTCTAATAATTACTAAATAATTACTATGCCTAGCCTAAATATTAATATAATTATTAGGCCTATTATTCTATTAATAGGCTTAATTATTAATAATTAATATTATAATTAATTAATAAATTATTTCTTACCAGTTCAACAGATACAATATCTTTAAGATGGACTGCCTCTTCAATGGTTTTCGGAGGGTTCTCAGTCAGATAAATTTTTTCATCACTAAGTACAATGAACCTAAAGGCTTTATTTTCTTTTTCGGATACCACAACACACGACTCATATCCACGAATTCTTTCGAACTCCTGCTCTGACAAACATCTTTTGAGAAAGCTTTCAAATTTACTGTTCTTTTTAAAAAGTTCAACATTTCCTAATCCCCACGCCATACAAATACTACTTTATTTCACTATATTATCCCAAATATTGGGCTTAATTTAGCCTTGAAATAACGTTTTTCTTTCATATTATTCTGTTAAGTTCTAGATTCAGATCTACATCATACGTATCTTGTCTTGTTAGATCTCAATCGTTCATGGGCAATAACTCGCTAAGCGTAGTTACGACCACAAACAAAGTATTCCATTTTTACATTTATCGAATGCCTCAGATTTAACCAATCAGATTTGAGGTCAATATAAAAATAAAAATCTTATTTTTAGGCCTAACAAAACAATACTAACACACTCGATAAAAATAGGCTAGGGGCCTAAATGTTATTTCTCAGTCTAATTTTTTTTTTGTAAATTTAATTTATTTTCAATTAATTGTGTAAACGCAAAACTTTTGCGTTTGCCAAAAGAAAAAGCTTCAAAACTGTTTTCAGCGACACGTTATTTTTTTAAATAATTTAATCTGCAAAAAATAAATGTACTTAAAAAGTTACAGATTAAAATCTGTAGGCTAAAATGCACTGAAAAAAATTAAAAAGAAATAAAACAAAACAGATTTTATGAGCAAACTAAACTTCTATTTTAGAACGCAAGTTTTTATTTTTTTTTATTTTTTAAATATATTATAGTGCATTAAAAAAGGTTTTACTTTCTAACATTGTCATCGCGGATGATCAGTGTTTCTTCCAGACTTTTTTCTCCGGGGGGGGGGGGGGCACTTGAAATTTTCGGGGGGGGGGGGGGCGGACACTGTTAAAAGTATAAATTTTCTATATAAATTATATAAATTTCATTTCGTTCGGGGGGCGGTCAAAATTTTTCGGGGTGGCTTTGCCCCCCCCCCCCCTCCCCCCGAAGAGATGCCTTGAAGAAACTCTGCAGATGATGTACCTGAAAAGTTTGAACGAGAACGCTGCATTAAAAGTGGGTTAAAATTGAATTACAGGATTTGCCACAAACATGGAAAAAAACACACAAAAACTGCGAACTAAACAAAAGCTTTAATTCAACACACGTATGGATAAAGTCTTAATATGTGGAGGCCTATAGTTTCGCGAATGTGTACATTAATAATGTGGCCAGGTTTTTATAACTGGGTAGAAAGCGTTGCCCGGGCACTCGGTCGCCCCGACGTCCCTGTGTCCCCTCAGGATGTAGTCAGACCGGAACTTGCCCAGCTGAACACCGCAGGCGATCAGGTCTTTAGCAGCCTGCTGGGCAGCGGCCGTGGGCACGTGACTTGTGAAGGTGCCGATAAAACAGAAACCTGAGACAAAATGACATGTTGTCAATAGACATAGCTACACTATTTACAATGTTCCCACTCTCTCTAGATATTATGTAAGTATAGGGGACAATGCCCAGTGCTCTAGACATAATGTAAGTATAGGGGACAATGCCCAATGCTCTAGACATTATGTAAGTATAGGGGACAATGCCCAGTGCTCACCGTAGCCAATACTGTTGTAGTTGAGCGTGTGAGCGCCAGTCCTGTCCCAGCCTCGACCTTCAAACACCTCACCGTTGCCACCAATCATGAAGCTGTAGCCGATGTCAGAATAGCCTTGGGGATCAAACAGTTTGGTGAGTATAAAATATTTACAAGTACATGAGACTATTACTGAACACAGTTTTGTGAGTATAAAATATTTACAAGTACATGAGACTATTACTGAACAGTTTTGTGAGTATAAAATATTTACAAGTACATGAGACTATTACTGAACACAGTTTTGTGAGTATAAAATATTTACAAGTACATGAGACTATTACTGAACAGTTTTGTGAGTATAAAATATTTACAAGTACATGAGACTATTACTGAACAGTTTTGTGAGTATAAAATATTTACAAGTACATGAGACTATTACTGAACAGTTTTGTGAGTATGAGGCTCGCTGAATTGTACGTATGCATGTGCAATGAGACTATTTTTATCTGTTATTTCTCTTTAAAATAAAAATGTACTGTTTCTTAGAAATTAGTTTAAATTTTTTGTGTTTGATACTCTTAGTTTTTCTTAACGTCTTCGTGTTAATGTTTAGCGCTAGTCATAGGTTTGGGATTAGACTAGCAAAGTATAATTCTTGATAGTTAGCCTAAAATTGGGGTCATGCAATGCTGGTGTGAAAACAGAAATCACTTTCGTTTTTTCTTTCCTAGCAAGGGAAGTAATGATTACAATTATTGGCAGCTCGATACACTAGTTGTCTACCTTGTTATTGGGTGCCCTTTCTCTTTGAACAGATGATATTAACATCTATTTCAACGTTTTAGACATAGAAATTATCAAATCACTTCTTTGCTAGCCATCACCAATGGATGTGTGTGGGGTAAAGATGCACTTTTGGTGACCTATTTTACTCACAAACCCCATCCCACCCAACACACACCTCCGCCCCCACAGAAACATGTAAGCCAGTAGACTGACCACGCCCGTCCATGTGGTAGTTCTGTGTCAGCTTGACCTGCGCCACACATGTCGCCCTGTCGTGGCAGTCGGCGCCCGCGGTGTGGTGGATGAGGGCGTACTGCACGGGGTTGACTAGGTGGCTGTTGCTGGTTGAGGGGCGGGCGCCCCACTCGGCTCTGGTCACTATGTGAGGGCAGGCACCTACAGTAGGAAAAAAAAGTTTGTTATGGGTTTGGGTTGACAGAAAAAAAAAAACTTTGGTATGACGAGACTGAGTAAGCTTCAGTTAAACTGGGGTCTGTCCTGTCATCGAAACAAAACATTGTGACTTAGCAAAAAACATTGTGAAGCAGGTTATTCTAGAGGTCACTGAGAGAAAATATTCTTTAGGGATCGACCATAAATCATTACATAGTCGAGTAGGGTTAGGGAGTGGGGGGGGGGGTGGGGGTGTAATTTTGTGACGGTGTGTGATGAGGGGGGAGGGGGAAGTGATTCAGATAGTGTGACGTCACACTTTTGCATTATAACAAAAGTAATGTTAGAAAATGTTAGCCGTTATTTCGCGTTTTGGAAAACTGTTTTAATAAATTGTAATAGGAATTTATTAACATACTCCATGTTTACTGAGCTCAGTGAAGATTTTACACGAAAAAAATTCGACGTTTTATTAAGAAAAATTCAACTGGAATTTTGAGGGCTGTAATCTGAGCTGTAAAGTTTTTTTTCTGGGGAGGGGGGGGAGGGTCTCTGACGGAGGGGTACGGAGCGTAACGTCATTTATGGATGATCCTCCTAGTACTTTTACTGATACAATTATTATGCCTTTTTGTTATGTTATCATGAGCTGTTTAATATGTTGAATCTTTGTATTTTATCATTGTAACGTTTAGTAAATTAAAGCCATACTTTTGTTCTAATAACTAAAGAAGTAAACAAATCAAGCGACACTAACCATAGACCAAGCCAACGTTAACGAAGGCCAGCACTAAAGCAACTCCAGGCAGCATGATCATCAAGTCTCAGACAGATAAAAAATGATCAGTGCTACACGAGCTTTCAGTTGGGATTAATTAAGGTAACCTAATTAATGCTAAACGTTTTTTTTAATTATTTTTAAAATAGACCATCGTTTGTCTCTTTAAAAATATTTTTAAAAAATGGACAAATGTTTTTTTTAAAATTGCGTTAAAACATAAAACACATTTTTTTTTTAATTGATTAAATAAAGTATTTTATTGTTGTATCAAAACGTAATCAAATTTCGTAAAGGCAGTAACTGCTAGATGGCTACAGACAAGCGGTGCGATCCTGTCTACCAGACCAGCACACAACATCCTTACAACCTCATTTGATCCGGTTCATTTGACACACGAGTTTATGTTTTGTTTTACAAAGATTTTTTCGCCTAATTTTTATGAGTTACAATTTATGATTCAATGCATAAATGTTTAGTTTTATGACAAGCCTCTTCATATGGTACAATGGTTGTCTAGTTGACAGTGTGTCTTCCAGGCATCTCTTCGGGGGGGGGGGGGGGGGGAGAAAGTCTAACGCCCCCCCCCCCTTGATAAACGTCAACCGCCCCGTGAACAAAATAGAATTTACATAGTGTCCGCCCCCTTCCCCCTCCTGAAATTGTTGTCTGTCCCCGTCCCCCCCTCCGAAAATTTCAAGTGCCCCCTCTCTTCCCCCCCCCCTCCCCGGAATTTAACTATAATCAGCCTCTAATTTCGTTGGACAAAGTATTGTTTTCTCCGTTTAGAAATTTTCGCTTTGGTATCACAGCTTCTGATGGTGTCACCGCTTCTGATGGTGTCACCGCTTCTGATGGTGTCACCACTTCTGATGGTGTCACCACTTCTGATGGTGTCACCACAACGGATGGTGTCACCCTATGCGGGCTGGAGGTGTGTCTTACAAGAGACCACATTTATTCAACAAAACTAAAAGCTGGCGCTAGAAAAGATAAGACCCACCGATTCCAGCCTTGACCTAGATCGACAGGTCAAATCCTTATCTTATCCTGATCGCGGAGATCACGATTTGCTTGATCACGACAGTCAAGCGATGGGACGGAAAAAATTAACAACAGAAATCAGTTCTTAGGCTGGATGTAGCGACTTTAATAACCCTGGTCATTAGTGTGTGTGTGGGGGGGGGGGGGGATAGTGCCCTTTTTGTCATGATTGGGAACTAGGTTTTGTTCATACTCTAGTTTTCTAAATTGTTTACGTTATCCACTCGGGCCTAAATAGATTACTACTGCTCTGTTTTAGTTAACACAATTTTATTTGTATCGTACATAGTTATCACACACATTCATTTGATTGGTTTGATTCTTAACATACACATTTATTTTGAAGTACAAGCCTGTTAAGCTAGTTTGGTCGTGGTCCTATCACCGTTGATCAAAACAGATGGTCGATCCTTCATATTTTTAAGATATCTTTTTACACTTACTATGTTTTATTGTTTCCTTTTTTTAAAAAAAACAACAAAACAACAGCTGTCCATAAGACACACTCAAAGTAAAGGTCAACACACTTGTTTATTTTTTTAGTGTTTTTTTTTAACCTTACGGTGTCAGTTTGGAGTTTATTTTAAATTTTGTTTCCCGAGAAAGCAACTTTTTCAAGTTTCAGAAATTACAAACATTAATTAGTCTTATACCGCCACGCGGGACTGTGTGGCCTAGCAGCAAAGCATTAGACAGTTAACCCGAAAATCTCGAGTTCGAATCCGGGTTCAAGTCAGTGGAACTCTGATAGATACTTAGCTCAAATCAGGGAAAGTAGAGGCGGCTGGGCATAGGGCTGACCAAACTATCCCTTTATCCATTATTCATCTATATCCAATGGATCGTTAGATCTAAAGAGAAATCTTTACACCGTCTACTGTCTCCATAACACGTGTCAAAACACGATCACAATGATTCACATGGCGACTGAACTAGCTGTCAGTATTTGACAAATACAGCTATGGTAATCAACATTCAACATCAAACACAACTGGTACAGTTATAAAACGCTTATAATTAAGTGTAAACACCACTGAGATGCTTCAAGCTGTTTCAAAAATCATTTATTTCTTTGACAAGACATGAATAAATAATACAATACATTCTAATGTTTATGTCGGATCTAATAATGTGGCCAGCTTTTGATGGCGTTCCACAGCTGGGTACCAGGACACTCAGTGCTGCTACCTGGCATGTCCCTGTGTCCCCTCAGGACGTAGTTGGTTCGGATCTTACCCAGCTGCACGCCACAGTCGATCAGGTCCTTGACGGCTTGCTGGGCTGCGGCCGTTGGCATGTGGCTCGTGAAGGTGCCGATCAGACAGAAACCTGGGGAGTCAGTACAGTTGGAGTCATAAGACTGGGGAGTCAGTACAGTTGGAGTCATAAGACTGGGGAGTCAGCACAGTTGGAGTCATAAAACTGGGGAGTCAGTACAGTTGGAGTCATAAGACCAGGGAGTCAGGACAGTTGGAGTCATAAGGCAGAGAGTCAGTACAGTTGGAGTCATAAGACTGGGGAGTCAGCACAGTTGGAGTCATAAGACTGGGGAGTCAGCACAGTTGGAGTCATAAAACTGGGGAGTCAGTACAGTTGGAGTCATAAGACTGGGGAGTCAGGACAGTTGGAGTCATAAGGCAGAGAGTCAGTACAGTTGGAGTCATAAGACTGGGGAGTCAGCACAGTTGGAGTCATAAAACTGGGGAGTCAGTACAGTTGGAGTCATAAGACTGGGGAGTCAGGACAGTTGGAGTCATAAGGCAGAGAGTCAGTACAGTTGAGTCATAAGACTGGGGATTCAGAAAATATATACTTTTATCAGTGTCCGCCCCTGCCCGGAAAATTTAGTCCGAGGGGGGGGGGGGTGTCAACATTTTCCGGGGGGCGGACACTCGTAAAAGTAAATATTTTCTATGTAAATTCCATTTCGTTCGGGGGGGGGGGGGAGGAGGGGGAATGGAACGGTAGACATTCTTCGGGGTGGGGGGGGGGGGATGGGCTGCGCCGAAGAGATGTCTGGAAAAAAACTCTGCCCCCCCCCCCCCCCACACACACACACAAACACACCCAACATACCTTGACACACCTGATCCCATCTTCCATTTACCAAAACTTATACTCACCATATCCAACACTGTTGTAGTTCAAGGTGTGAGCGCCCACCTTATCCCACCCACGACCCTCGAACACGGATCCATCTCCACCGATGACGTAGGTGTATCCAATGTCTGGCCAGCCTGAGACAGGGAAACAGTAAAGGTAAGACAAGGTGATACATTTCAAGAGTTCAACTCTTAAGGTATAGTGGTGATACGTTACAAGTGACCATCTGATACTTACCATGAGTGTCCATGTGATAGTTCTGGAATATTTTCACCTGGTTCTGGCACGTGGTCCTGTCATGGCAGTCTGGACCGGCCGAGTGGTGGATGAAGGCGTACTGGACGGGGTTGGTCAGGTACCATTCGCCGTTGGGGGGCCTGGCGCCCCATTCAGCTCGTGTGATGATGTGGGGGCACGCACCTAAAGCCATTAAAACACCATATATATATATATATATATATATATATATATATATATATATATATATATAAGACAATACATTTAAAACACATTCTTGATGAATTTGTATCGTTTTTAAAAAATGAATAAATAAGCGAAAGTACAATAGGGAGAGCTCTGAAAAGATTTGAATTTGAGTGCGATTAAAACTAAACTATGTATTGCCCCCCCCTTTCCCTTATTTCCACGTGAGGACTACCAATAAAATTGAAGTAATAGGATCAGTTGAACATATTCAACTCACCATTATCACCAGGTCCAATACGGGGTTACTAATATTGAATGCTGACCAACCTTTATGATATATACCTACCTAACATGCTAGCCCACCTGTATATCACCTACCATCCTACCCTGTTAGCCCACCTGTATTTCACCTACCATCCTACCCTGTTAGCCCACCTGTATTTCACCTACCTACCTAACCTGTTAGCCAACCTGTTAGCCCACCTGTAAATCACCTAACATCCTACCCTGTTAGCCCACCTGTATGTCACCTACCTACCTAACCTGTTAGCCCATCTGTAAATCACCTACCTACCTAACCTGTTAGCCCACCTGTATATCACCTACCTACCTAACCTGTTAGCCCACCTGTATATCACCTACCTACCTAACCTGTTAGCCCACCTGTATATCACCTACCTACCTAACCTGCTAGCCCACCCGTTAGCCCACCTGTATATCACCTACCTACCTAACCTGTTAGCCCACCTGTATATCACCTACCTACCTAACCTGTTAGCCCACCTGTATATCACCTACCTACCTAACCTGCTAGCCCACCTGTTAGCCCACATGTATATCACCTACCTACCTAACCTGTTAGCCCACCTGTATGTCACCTACCTACCTAACCTGTTAGCCCACCTGTATATCACCTACCTACCTAACCTGCTAGCCCACCTGTTAGCCCACATGTATATCACCTACCTACCTAACCTGTTAGCCCACCTGTATATCACCTACCTACCTAACCTGTTAGCCCACCTGTATATCACCTACCTACCTAACCTGTTAGCCCACCTGTATATCACCTACCTACCTAACCTGCTAGCCCACCCGTTAGCCCACCTGTATATCACCTACCTACCTAACCTGTTAGCCCACCTGTATATCACCTACCTACCTAACCTGTTAGCCCACCTGTATATCACCTACCTACCTAACCTGCTAGCCCACCTGTTAGCCCACATGTATATCACCTACCTACCTAACCTGTTAGCCCACCTGTATGTCACCTACCTACCTAACCTGTTAGCCCACCTGTATATCACCTACCTACCTAACCTGCTAGCCCACCTGTTAGCCCACATGTATATCACCTACCTACCTAACCTGTTAGCCCACCTGTATGTCACCTACCTACCTAACCTGCTAGCCCACCTGTATATCACCTACCTACCTAACCTGTTAGCCCATCTGTAAATCACCTACCTACCTAACCTGTTAGCCCACCTGTATATCACCTACCTACCTAACCTGTTAGCCCACCTGTATATCACCTACCTACCTAACCTGTTAGCCCACCTGTATATCACCTACCTACCTAACCTGCTAGCCCACCCGTTAGCCCACCTGTATATCACCTACCTACCTAACCTGTTAGCCCACCTGTATATCACCTACCTACCTAACCTGTTAGCCCACCGGTATGTCACCCATATAGTCATGAACCCAGTGTACTCACCCCAAACTAGAGCCACAGGCAAGCAAAGAAGAATGAACGCAATCATCTTGAGTCACCAAAATCTCACAAACAATCGAGAGCTATACAACGTTTTAAATATTGGACTGGTTTTAAAATAGACCAAAGCTTTCAAGAACTTTTAAAAATTTGAAAAGAGAACGTTTGGAAAGAATTTTGTGCGATATCCGTAGTTGCACCAAGACATAGCAGGTGTTCGACATAGTTGACCGGATGTCAACGTCACAACTTGGGCTAAAATTAGTAGTTTCTACGGTGGCCATTTTCAAAGCATACGAGCATAAAGGTTACTACAAACAGTGTTTCTTCCAGACTTTTTTCTCCGGGGGGGGGGGGCGGGGCGGTAAACTTTCTTCGGGGGGGGGGGGGGCGGACACTGTTAAAAGTATATATTTTCTATATAAATTATATAAATTTCATTTCGTTGGGGGGGGGGGGGGTGGTAAAAAATTTTCGGGGGGGCTTAGCCCCTCCGAAGAGATGCCTGGAAGAAACTCTGACTACAAATTGCTTGAAGGTCAATTGACAGACTGTTCTGAATTTATTTATTTTTTAAATTATTTTTTTTTAAATTTCCCAATAAACTTGAACCATTTAGATTACCTTCAGTTCGTCACAGATGGTTCCAAATTTTTGTTACCAGAAAGCATATTTTCAACAAAAATTGAATATTTTATAACATTTGTGTAAAAAGTAAAAAAAAAAATACTTCCGGTTTCATTAAGGCTAGAAATAGTCAAGGAATTAGATCTAATTACTAGTATTATTATAATAATTTAGCAGTACTTTTATTTTTAATTTTGGATTAGTATAGTCAGGGTGTTGTGGTTATTGGGGATGTTATATTATTTAATATAAATACAATACTACGCTATACACCATTGATCACTGTTGTGAAATTTTACCATAGAAAACAACTGTTCTGACTTTTATTGTTTTAGTCTCCCTGGCCATTCCAGTTGACTTCAAAAAGAGGTTGAGGACAGTTTTTGAAAAATATTTGAATTGATAAAATAATTCCAAATGGCTTTTCGAAAATATATAAATGAGTTAAATCAATGGTTCCCAAACGGCTTTAATTTTACAAGTTTTTTTTTTTTACAAATGTACCTATAATTTTATCCCTTACCAAATGTGTAATTAAATTTTTTTTTTCAAAAATTTAGTAAGATTATATAGAATTTTCATGTTTAATATGAAAGTTAAAAATTTACTGTACATAACTCTTTGCACAATCAATTCATCAGATTTTGAACAATCTTTTAATACTTATATTTTTTTATGAGAAAAAAAAAATTGCGCAATCAATGAGTGTATTATTACATTTCAGCGGCAAATTATAGCCTACTTTCTAAAGGAGACATAATTATTTAGCTTGCTTCCTTTGTCTATCTGTCGTGTTTTTGTTTTCGTCAGCCATAAATCGAACCTGACGAGCGAAATTTCGACTACTTTTAACGGACTGATTCGTTTCAAACTTGACACTTAGGTCAAGACCCGATGACAATGCAGTCTGACATAAAATTTGACTTAATTGGATGCCTAATCAATTTGTAAAGGATTAATTAGTTTCCCATGTAAAATATTTTTCCGCGCAATTATACGCACATTGTTCGTGTTCATTTGGTGCGCAATTGTTTTTAGACAAGAACTTTATTGTATACATATTTAAAGAATTGAAAAAATAAAGCGGGAGTGATCTCCCCTAAACTTTCTCAAATGTTCTTATATAACACTACGTGGGAAGGCAACTTGGGATATAGATATGATTTAAATCATTTTTTCCCACGTTTTCTTTAACTTGCTTTCGCGTCTGTTTGTCTTTCCATCAAATCTTGAGATCGAAATTTCGGGCACTTCCCAGTTAGCTAACGCGCTGAAATTTTCAGGAAAGCTTTGTTTCCGATGACAATACAATATTCAATTATTATTATTACTAAATTGATCCATGGAAAAATTTTATTGATCATTTTTTGACTTGATTTGTGCAAAAAAGGGACATAACCTAGTAATTGTAATTTGATAAAAACAAGGTCCGGTACTTTCCCTCTTCTGGCTTACTGAAAAACAAATGAAACATGAAGGAGCGAGCACGCGATTGGCTGAGTAATGGTCACGCGGTGTTTGTGTACAAACCTATGCAAATCTGACTGATAAAGACATTCCCGACTTAAGCATTGACTTTGGGCCAGATGGAATCCATCGGATTGAGCCGAGATGCGTAGAATTTGATGGAAAACTGAATTATGGAAAAGTCGAGCGAAGACAACTGCCCATAATTCTATGCTGGGCATGCACAGTGCATAAAATGCAAGGCTGCACAGTTGATCACGCAGTTGTCCATTTAGGACCAACGCTTTTTGAAACGGGCCATGCGTATGTTGCGCCAAGTCGAGTACGATCACTCGAAGGCGTACGCATTGTGGAATTGGATTGCAGCAAGCTAACAGTAAAAAACCCTGCAATGAGGAATGTCTACATGAGATGGAAAGAATGCGTCAACAAGAACCTCCAGCTGATCCTGAATAATAAGCGTGTCATGCCTGGTATAAGTCCCTTTTATCTTTGTGTTCGTCCTTTGTGAGTGTTTGTCTTCGTTTGCCAAAAAAAAAGTGAATGCGAGAAGATAAAATCGATAGCAAGATTTGAATGCAAACAAACATACAAAGACTAAAAGTAGAAAATAATTATCATTAAAAATTTAAAAAAAAAAACCCACATTTTCTGATTGAACTGAAAAGTAGAAAATAAATGCTATACATCACAATAATGCAAGCGATCACTCTACTATAAGCAATCGCAAACTGCGTGCGCATTATGACAAAAAATGAAAAACGTGGGGCGCCGTGATTTTCTTTTACTTTTATTTTCTACTTTTTAGTTCAATCAGAAAACGTGGGTTTTTTTTTTAAATTTAATGATAATTTTAAATACTTTAACTTTTTAAAATAGAATAGAATCTCGTAGAAAAAAGAATTGCGTACCAAGTGAACGGCAAACAATATGTGTATAATAGTGCGAAATACTAGTACTTTATAAATTCAAATGCGTTCTTTTTTAGAAATCGGAAATAGCATAAAGTACCACTTCCGGTCTACGGAAATTTCTCAAAATTTGACTGAAGGCTGAAAATTAGATTTTTTACCTATATGTGAAATTTCGTTCATCTATCTGAAACAGTACTCAAGTTATAGGCCTTTGAACAACCAACAATAGAATAAGCTCCACTTTCGTTTACTGGAAATCGCTGATAAGTTGAGACAGAACTACAAATTTGATATAATACTTATATATGTAATTTCATCAACCTATCTGTAACGGTACGGAAGTTATCGTGTTCACAGACATAAACACATACATACACACAAAGACATACGTGCAAAATTGCAAAATTATGTTTTTCCGACTTAAGGAAAACGTCGAGATTTGTGAAAAATCTCGGTTTCGATTTTTTTGCACGATTACAATACTTCTTCTATACCTCGTCTACGAGAAAGTAAAAAGACGAAAATGTAATGATACTTTTATTTCCTTATAAATTAGGGCGATATCTCCGAAATATTTAATTAGATTAATTAATAGTGTGGCCATGTCTTGATGAGATATTAAAATCTGCGAGATATTTAATTAGACTAATTAGTAGTGTGGCCAGGTCTTGATGAGGTACTAAAATCTGCGAGATATTTAATTAGAGTAATTAGTAGTGTGGCCAGGTCTTGATGAGGTTGTAGAATGCTGTACCAGGACATGCTGTACTGCCCATGTCCCTGTGTCCTCTCAGGACATAGTTGGCCTGGATCTTGCCCAGCTCCACACCACAGGCGATCAGGTCCTTGACGGCCTTCTGGGCAGCGGCCGTGGGCACGTGACTCGTGAAGGTGCCCACAAAACAGAAACCTGCAACAGCCAACACAAACATGGTCATACACTTTTCCAGAGACATTGTCGTAAACCGTTATTCCATGCCATTAACTTTCTTTTACAAACATTAAAAATGTATTTGAAAACACATTTCATGCACGCCATTTTAAGACATATCCGTCTCTGTCTTCATAGAGTTCCCATTAATTTTAGAGTTATTATATTCAGAGAACTGGATAAGGAAGGGTACAAACATAATCTTATCAATTCATATATGTTAGAATTTTATTTCGCATGTTGATAGTTGTGTTTCAAGTTTTTAAATAAAGAATGGCTAAAAATAGAGCTCGCAATGATATAAATAAAAACGCAAATGCTTAAACTGTCTTAGGGTGAAGAATTATACAACGTGCGTATTTTCTTTCAACGGTGATCCGTATGAGCTTCTGTATACATACATATATTTAGAAATTGTGAGCTGATGTTTGTTTTACGACATATAGTGCTATTTTTAAAAGGTCCGATAGGAAGAGCGCTAACATGATTGGCATTTGAGTGTGATTAAAGTTATGTAAAAATGTAAAATGCAAAAGTGTGAAGTCACAGCATCTGAAAGCGTATTAATCTAATCAATTATTTAAAAATGTAACTGATTATTAAATAAGCATCTTTTGTAGCTTTTACATATTATATAGGTACTTTTTTAACCTCCGGTATTTCCTCTTCTTGACAACCTGTGAGAGGATATAAGCACCTTGCGTATTTCTTTTATCATTGGCCACAATAAGCACTACCCATCAAAACTAACCGGACTGCAAAAATCGGAAATTACTCATTGTATAATTATTTTTAAATGAGCTCAAATAAAATTCGGTACAAAATAAAATGGTCCAAAGAGCGAGAACTGACCGTATCCAACACTGTTGTAGTTGAGTGTGTGAGCGCCAACAACATTCCAGCCTCGACCTTCAAAGATGGAACCGTCGCCTCCAATCACAAAGGTGTAGCCGATGTCAGACCAACCTGAGAGGAAATTGTTGGATGTCTACACAGGCTTGTCTCTGAATGTGAAAATAAAGCACTATGGCGCTTATACCCGTTTTAAAGAGCGCCCCTCTGTGGCACACGACATTCGATGACAAAACTAGGTGACGCACCCGCACCCATGGGGACAGTGTAAACGGTGGCTCCCCAGAGCGCCCTGGTACGGCCCCTTACACCTGGGCGGTTGCTGTGGTTTGCTCTACCTCAATATTGCGGAGAGTGATTAACGTACACTCAATGCTTTCATACCGCCCCCAGAGGGCGTCTGGGTGAAAGTGTGGACGAAACCCGCGCCCCAACAACTGTGGTCCAACAAATATAGCGTCGACTTTGTTTACATTTAAATAATAACATTTTAACTAGGTCATACTTCTAAATAGAGCGTTAAGCGGGAGTGATCTCTAAACTTTCTCGTATATTCATATATAACTTAATGGGGGGGGGGGGCTATTTCAGTGCAATCGGGCTAGAGTGATGTTTTTGATTTCAAAATTGTATAATTTAATGTTTTAAATAGAATAGAGTGTGTAAGTCGCGTTATCTCTAATTAAAAATATATCAGAAGTCTAGAAATGATCATGTATTAGAGGGCTAGAACTGACCATGTATCATGTGTTATATTGCCCGTGAGTACTGACCGTGGGTGTCCATGTGGTAGTTCTGGAATATTTTCACTTGCGCCTGGCATGTCGCTCTGTCATGACAGTCAGGACCAGCGGAATGGTGGATGAAGGAGTAGTGGACGGGGCCGGCAAGGTGGGTGACGCTACGGGGGGCTCTGGCGCCCCAGTCCGCCCTTTTGATGATGTGAGGACAAGCACCTGTATTTAAAAATTGGATAACGACATTTTAACTCTATTAATAATTCAATAAACTAGTTAGAACTAACATTAAATTTTCCTTCATATTGCTATACATTGTGGGTCTAGATCCTGATTACAGTGTTAGTTTCTCATGTTCTATTTAGATACTTACATAATTACACCCAACAACTCACCAAAAACGAGACTGACTTGCAGACAGACGAAGGCGAACACCAGAGCAGACGACATGATCAAAACATTCAAGTGGTGGCGCTGACCTGCTGGGAGATTATTTTATACTCGTCACGTGACCTTGCTGATTTCTGGAGTTTGGGACGGTTCCACCTAGCCGACATGTACAACACGTCTTTATATAACATTCGTCTCCTCTCTACAACACGTCTTTCTACAGCATTCGTCACTTCTATTCTACCAAGTACCCCACCCTCATGTTACTGCCCCCTACCTCACATATACAACACATCTTTCTACAAATTTCGTCACTTCTCCTATGCCGTAGCCCACACCCATGTTACTGCCCTACCCCCCACCTCACATGTAAGACATGTATTTCATATTTTTACGTCATTACCACCCACCACCCCAATCTCACATGTGTGTAATATTTTAAAAAACATTGTTGAGACAACGTTGTACGTGTGTGTGTATGTGTGCGTGCGTGTTTGTTTGTTGATGCGTATAGTGAATACAATTATTTTTACTCACATTTAAGACACTTATAGCGTTTGAGTTATAGACTATTTCAAATCTTATATTAAAGAAAGTTTTGTTGTCGATAATAATACTTTGACTTAAGGTCTCTGACTACAAGAAACGCTTTCTTTATAGGGCTGAGATGATGATAGTTGAAATGATGATGGTTGAAATGATGATTGTTGAAGTGATGATGCACAATTTCGTGACTTTCTGGACTTTAGTAACTTTTGCTCATCAATACAACTTTTGTTGTATTGATTTTTAATGACAAGATGTTGGACTCACAACAACACGCATAGTAAAAGGATAATATTTTTAAATGTGTCGCAAGTTGGTGATATTTTAAAACAACCTGTTAAAGCTATCATTTCTTGGATCATGGCTGCAAAATATTGATCTTTTCATCTTGAAGTAGCTTGTAAAAAGTAAACAACGAAGGCCAATTAAACTTTTTGTTTAAGTTCACCAGGCTAGCTACGTACTAAAAACAAATTTGATTTTAAAATTATTTTAAGCTGTAAACTATTTAGCAGTATACTAATTTTTTTTTAAAACAATTCGCTTTGCTTAAAACTAGAATTCGTTCCAAAAGATAACGTACAGATATGTAACATGTCCTGGCAGATCGACTTGGTTGTTTTCAAAACTTTAACCAGGTAACGAACAGAACAAAATATTTACACAATAACGAACAGAACAAAATATTTACATAATAACGAACAGAACAAAATATTTACATAATACACACTTTTACATACGCTTTCATAATACATTAGTAAACTGCCATCTTTGAAACAACCGCCAGAGAATTCGAAACAATATTTTTTGTCCTCTAAAACTAGAAGAGTGTAATGGTTTATTGAATAAATGATCGTGTAAGTTTTATAATAAAACACAAAAATAAAACGACGTTTTTATTTCCTTTGAAACGGAAACATAATCGATTAGGGCGAAATCTGCGAGATATTTAATTAGGTTAATTAGTAATGTGGCCAGGTCTTGATGAGGTTGTAGAATGCTGTACCAGGACATTCGGTGCTGCCCATGTCCCTGTGTCCTCTCAGGACATAGTTGGCCTGGATCTTGCCCAGCTCCACACCACAGGCGATCAGGTCCTTGACGGCCTTCTGGGCAGCGGCCGTGGGCACGTGACTCGTGAAGGTGCCGATAAAACAGTAGCCTGCAACAGCCCATACAAACATGGTTTTATATATTTATACAATGTTATACTTTTTGTTTAAACATCGTCCGAAATTTTCTATACAAACATAGCCATACACTTCAATTTTTTTAAATTAATAGTTCCAAATAAAAATTATTAATAATATATTATTACGCATTAATTTTCAGATATATTTTTTAAATTTAGGTTATTGTGGAGATTCTAGTTATTGCTGAAGCAACCCATCAAATAATATTTTTACGAACTCTCACTAAAAAAGTACAAAATAAAATGGTCCAAAGAGCGAGAACTCACCGTATCCAACACTGTTGTAGTTGAGTGTGTGAGCGCCAACAACATTCCATCCTCGACCTTCAAAGATGGAACCGTCGCCTCCAATCACAAAGGTGTAGCCGATGTCAGACCAACCTGAGAGGAAATTGTTGGATGTTTACAGAGGATGGTAGCACTAAATAGGGCAGTGGAATTTTACTTTTCCGAAGGCCAAGATTAGAGAAGTAGAATCTTACTTTACTGATGGCCAAGGTTAGAGAAGTGGAATCTTTCTTTACAGGTGGCCAAGATTAGAGAAGTGGAATCTTACTTTACTATTTAGTTGGATTCCTAGAGTGCTAGAACTGACCAAGTTGTGCTGGTAAAGCCGAGTACTGACGAGTAAAGCCGAGTACTGACGAGTAAAGCCGAGTACTGACGAGTAAAGCCGAGTACTGGCGAGTAAAGCCGAGTACTGTCGAGTAAAGCCGTGTACTGACCGTGTGTGTCCATGTGATAGTTCTGGAAACTTTTCACTTGAGCCTGGCATGTTGCTCTGTCGTGACACTCGGCGCCAGCCGAATGGTGGATGAAGGAGTAATGGACGGGGCCGGCAAGGTGGGTGACGCCATGGGGGGCTCTGGCGCCCCAGTCCGCCCTTTTAATAATATGAGGACAAGCACCTGGTTAAACAGAACAATAAACACATTTGAGTGACATTTTATTTGAATTATCTTCTCGAATTAGAAGCGACTTTCTGTTAAATATAGCACTGAAAATGTTAATATTGTGGATCTTTTAGTTATACATTGTGGATGTTCATGTGAAAACCATGAATTTTTTGTGTGCTGGTTTGTTCTATAAATAATGAAGCCGTCAGATAAGGAATAATTTGTTATGAAAGTAGTGTGACTGTATGAGTAGTTTAAAACTATCCACCAACTCACCAAAGACCAGACTGACTTGCAGACAGACGAAGGCAAACACAAGAGCAGACGACATGATCAAAACTCGACTCAAATATTCAAGTGGTGGCGCTGACCTGCTGGAAGATTCTTTTATACACATCACGTGACCCACCGATTAAAAAAAATGTGTCTGGTTTTCGTGACGGTGGCACTTCCAGGTAAACATGCCATGTGACCCACTGCCCCTCCCCCCCACCTGTAGTCATCCCACACATCCCACACATCCCTCACACTTTCCACCTTTCTCCCCCACTTCCCAGTTATCATTACTCACACCTTATATAACTGTTATAACAGAAGTGTGTTTATACGTGTGTTTGTTGACTTGTACAGTGAATGTTGCTCGACCTACTTCTGGGATACCGTGCACTTTTGGCTGGCACAACATTCATTCATTTTACAAAATCGCACTAATTAACCTTCTCACAAGTTTAGCTCTAGAAACATTTTATGTTTCTTGGTGTGACAAAACACGCACTCACTCACACACACACACACACTCACACATATATACACACACACTCACACCCACTCACACACATATACACACACTCACACATACACATATACACACACTCACATACAACGCAACACTATCAGACATGTTTTCATTAAAAAAATATAATCCAGATTTTCTTTTTTATCTTTTAAAAAACAATTAGCGCACTGAAAGGACAAAGCCCATCCAATGTTTGACGTCAGCTGGTGATACTTTTAGAGCAACAACTTTAAAAGGCCCCTTTAATTATTAATCTTGGGCGTAATTTGGTGATAGATGTTACCACATTTAATTGAAGTCGAATGGAGCTAATTCTCCCACTTTATTGCATAGTAAACGAATGTATTGCTAGCTATGAAAGCAGTTTGTGAACAAGTAATACGATGACCCATGTTTCAAACTATAATTCGTTCCAAAAGATAAAGTGCACCGATATGTAACGTGTTCTGGAGTTTTAATCTTTGAAGTCTGAAAGTCTGATAGCCGCTCTAAACATAGCCACATAGGACACAGGCGCCAATGATAGGACAAAACAAGTCGTACACAACATCAGTTAAAATCATTCGTCACGTTTTTACATTTCCTAAAACAAGTCCAATGAGTCTTTCTGCAGGGAAGGGGGGGGGGGGGAGAAAGCACTACCACCTCACTCCCCTCGGTTTAGATTGGAAAAAATTAAATTGAAATAATATATAAATATATAATTCAACCGTCATTTGATGTAAATAGTTGTCTAACCTGTAGATTACATATATGTCTCAACATCTCAAATGGCATAAATGACATAAAACAATGTCACACCCATCACATCCCAGCCCCCAAACTCACACACATATATTTGACTCCATATTTACAAAACATCAGTAGTGACTCCATACAGTAGCGTAGCGAGGGGGGGGCGGGGGGGGGGGGACATATGACATATGTCCCCGGGCGCCGAGCTTAGGGGGCGCCAAAATGGTTTGGAAAAATAAATTGAAAGGTTGAGGGGCGTGCAAATTGAAAGTTTGAGGGGGGGGGGTGCAAATCAAAATCTCGAGGGGGGGGGGGGGGGGGTGTGCACATCGAAAGTTTGAGGGGGTGCAAATCAAAATCTCGAGGGGGGGTGCAAATCGAAAAGTTTGTCCCCGGGCGCCGGGAAGGGTCGCTACGCCTCTGAATCCATATTTTAATACATCAGTAGTGACGCCATATATAATACCTTAGTAGTGACTCCATGTCTCCATACTTTAGTAGTGACTTCATGTTTCAACATCCCAGTAGTAACTCCATGTTTTAATACCTCAGTATAATAATGCCTTTATGGGGTATTGCTAATGCAATCCAACTAATTTCTACGTCTGTAAAAAGATTTGGAGTTGTTGGACTTTCTGGTTCGGTACAAGTATTTGACAAGAGTTATAGCTTACGTGTTGAGAAAGCTGCTGTTGACTGGTTCGAACGATACTTAGATTACAAGATCAACTAACCAGCTATTACACGGCGACAAAGTGGCCAATTATTGTATTAGAGTGGTAATCATAGCTCCCTGTAAGGCAACAACGATACTCGCTACTTTATTAAGCAGTAAATCAAGTAATCATATCAATGGTCTATATCGATACTCTGGTATCGTCTGACCACTGAAGAGCAGGACGCCCGGTCCAAACATTCCTCCGTTACCATGGTGAATGAGCACGTAGTGGACAGGTGACGTCACGTATGACGAGTTAGTGGACGGTCGGGCTCCCTACTGGTCACGTGGGACAGTCGGGCTCCCCACTGGTCACTTGTGACGATGGCCGAGCAGACGGCTGTTGGCAGAAGATTGTGTCCATGTTTTTCAAGACTGAGAAGATTAACCCATTAATCCTTAAAAGTATTGCTAGCATAATTATTCGATACTGCATCTACTCCATGAGCTATTGTCCACTGTTCCAGCTTTACTAGCTTTAAGTGCAGCTACGCTAGTGACACTGTAATTCTGAAGGGAAAAAATGGTTCAATTAATTAACTGCGATAAAGCAGTGTCCATCGTTTATAAACAAATTTATTTAATCCATCATCTTATTCCGTTAGTGCCCAAGACATAGAGCAGATGAAGTAGAGTTCGTCTGTTTCAATAACCCAGGAGAAATGCCTGAAAGAAACTATATTGTTTAAAGACGTAGCTTGTTGCTTATAGTTGAAGATCGGTATAAGCAGAAAGATTGGTGAGATCTACTTACCGAAAACCAACGCTGTTTGAGCTGACAGCAAGGTGAATAAACAATGTGTCCGTTTTTTCTCAGATAAATGGATTACTTTTTTCTATTCATCAGCGTTTTAAATTTGTTCTATAAATAATGAACCGTCCGATAAACAAAAAATGTTTATGAAAGTAAAATGTAATTGCAATGACTAGTTTGAGTAAAATCTAATTGTAATTACTAGTTTAACACTTTTCACAGTTTGGAATTGTTTAGGAGGCTTGACCATTGCTTCCGTTCGGAAAAGCAAGGTCACCAGATATTTTTTAGATTTACCGACTACTTTCAACACTTCTAACAAGTGTGTATTAATTTTTATTTGAAATATTTGAAAGAAAGAAAGTTTTATTTTTTAATTCTTTTATTATCGGTGCATTTTATGTTTGTTTTGTTCTTAACATCCCGTCTGTCTGCGATATGTCGTTTGTTTAGCCTTTAAAATCTATCGTCTGCTTGCCTTATCACGACTTGTTTTTAAATCTCTTCACTTCCGTTGACTATGTTTTTTGTTGGTTTTTAGCGTGTTTTTGGTGTTGTTTTTTTTTTTTTAATTTATTTCTTTTGACTAGACGTGAAATGGTTGAATTTTTGAGCTGGTGTCTATTCAGAGATTTTTCAGTTTCTTTATCTTGTCTTTAGCAGTTCGTTTATAATATTTTTATGACGATACTGACAATAGTCTGGAAGGGAACTACTGATGGTCACTGTATGGATGAACTAGCGATGGTCAGTATAGAAGTTGCCTTGTGGTGGTCAGTCTAGGAGTGAACTGGTGATGGTCAGTCGGGAAGGGAACTGGTGATGGTCAGACATTAGAAATATGTTGCTTGGTACGGCTGTAGTTAAGCGTGTTAAAGCTTATGGAAAATGTTTGGCCCGTGTTTAATCAGTGTAGAAACAGTATTTTTGTTTATCGTAAACTCGCTGCACTGTCTGTCAAAAGTCAAAACTTTTTCACTATGTGCAACATAGAAAGTATATACGTGTTGATAATGTTTACCTTTTCGCTGGAATGTTGAACTCGAGGGCTATGGTGCATGTTAAACTTTCAAAAAAAAAATTTTCAATTTTTATCGATGCATATTATATGAACTAAAATTAGTTTTCAGAATTGATTAGCAAACACCAAATGTTGTTTTTTCAAATATTTAATAATGTGGCCAGGTCTTGATTTGGTTGTAGAGTGTGGTGCCGGGACAATCAGTGCTACCCATATCCCTGTGGCCCCTCAGGACGTAGGCGGACTGGATCTTGCCCAGAGTGACGCCGCATCCAATGATGTCCTTAGCGGCCTGAAGGGCTGCGGCTGTTGGGAGCTTGTTCATAAAGTTGCCGACAAAACAGAACCCTGAGGGTCAAATAAACAGCTGTAACATCTGTGTGACCAATACAATGTTCTAATGTTTAAAGATGTTCTATCATCTAAAACCGTTCGTTCGCAAGACACATGGGCAGAAAAAGTAGAGTTCATCTGTTTCAAAGAACTAGGCATATGAAGGGATAGTGAGGTCAGCACTATGCCCAGCCACCTATCTTTTCCCTAATGTGAGTTAGGTCCCATCAGAGCTGGGTGGACTCAGAGTAATTCTACGGACTTGAACCCAGAGTTGAACTCGAGACTTTCACACAACTGATCTCTATATTTTTAAACACGGAGAAAATGTTTCTAATATTCAATGTTGGGTTAGAGTCTCTAGGAAGTCCCAGCTATGATAAGTACCTAGCATCGTTTGGCTATTGGACTGGCCAGACTGGTTGCGCAAATACCCAGTTCACAAAAATGTAACCCATGCTATATCGCTATTCGCCCACTTTCTATATCGCTACTCGACCACTTTCTATGTCGCTACTCGCCCACTTGCCAAGTCGCTACTCGTCCATTTCCTATGTCGCTACTCGACCACTTTCTATGTCGCTATTCGCCCACTTCCTATGTCGCTATTCGCCAACTTCCTGCCGACTTCAGCACCTGTAGCTGTGGAGATACTATGTGACTACTCGCCGGCTGTAGACTATACAGCTGTAGTTGAACTTACCGTATCCCACACTGTTGTAGTTTTGGGTGTGGGCCCCGACCTTATCCCAGCCACGCCCCTCATAGACAGCGCCGTCCCCACCAATCAGAAAACTGTAGCCAATGTCAGCCCAGCCTGCAAATGTAAGACGTCATATTGGTAAACAATGTCTGCCCAGCCTGCAAATGTAAGACGTCATGTTGGTAAACAATGTCAGCCCAATAATGTCAGCCCAGCCTGCAAATGTAAGACGTCATGTTGGTAAACAATGTCAGCCCAGCCTGCAAATGTAAGACGTCATGTTGGTAAACAATGTCAGCCCAACAATGTCAGCCCAACCTGCAAATGTAAGACGTCATATTGGTAAACAATGTCAGCCCAACAATGTCAGCCCAGCCTGCAAATGTAAGACGTCATGTTGGTAAACAATGTCAGCCCAGCCTGCAAATGTAAGACGTCATGTTGGTAAACAATGTCAGCCCAGCCTGCAAATGTAAGACGTCATATTGGTAAACAATGTCAGCCCAGCCTGCAAATGTAAGACGTCATATTGGTAAACAATGTCAGCCCAGCCTGCAAATGTAAGACTCATGTTGGTAAACAATGTCAGCCCAACAATGTCAGCCCAGCCTGCAAATGTAAGACGTCATGTTGGTAAACAATGTCAGCCCAGCCTGCAAATGTAAGACGTCATGTTGGTAAACAATGTCAGCCCAACAATGTCAGCCCAACCTGCAAATGTAAGACGTCATATTGGTAAACAATGTCAGCCCAACAATGTCAGCCCAGCCTGCAAATGTAAGACGTCATGTTGGTAAACAATGTCAGCCCAGCCTGCAAATGTAAGACGTCATGTTGGTAAACAATGTCAGCCCAGCCTGCAAATGTAAGACGTCATGTTGGTAAACAATGTCAGCCCAACAATGTCAGCCCAGCCTGTAAATGTAAGACGTCATATTGGTAAACAATGTCAGCCCAGCCTGCAAATGTAAGACCTCATGTTGGTAAACAATGTCAGCCCAACAATGTCAGCCCAGCCTGCAATTAATGTATGACGTCATGTTGGTAAACAATGTCAGCCCAGCCTGCAAATGTAAGACGTCATGTTGGTAAACAATGTCAGCCCAACAATGTCAGCCCAGCCTGCAAATGTAAGACGTCATGTTGGTAAACAATGTCAGCCCAGCCTGCAAATGTAAGACGTCATGTTGGTAAACAATGTCATCCCAACAATGTCAGCACAACCTGCAAATGTAAGACGTTATGTTGGTTAACAATGTCAGCCCAGCCTGCAAATGTAAGACGTCATGTTGGTAAACAATGTCAGCCCAACAATGTCAGCCCAACAATGTCAGCCCAGCCTGCAAATGTAAGACGTCATGTTGGTAAACAATGTCAGCCCAACAATGTCAGCCCAACAATGTCAGCCCAGCCTGCAAATGTAAGACGTCATGTTGGTAAACAATGTCAGCCCAGCAATGTCAGCCCAGCCTGCAAATGTAAGACGTCATGTTGGTAAACAATGTCAGCCCAACAATGTCAGCCCAACAATGTCAGCCCAGCCTGCAAATGTAAGACGTCATGTTGGTAAACAATGTCCGCCCAGCCTGCAAATGTAAGACGTCATGTTGGTAAACAATGTCAGCCCAGCCTGCAAATGTAAGACGTCATGTTGGTAAACAATGTCAGCCCAACTATGTCAGCCCAGTCTACAAATGTAAGACGTCATGTTGGTAAACAATGTCAGCCCAACAATGTCAGCCCAGTCTACAAATGTAAGACGTCATATTGGTAAACAATGTGGTAGTTCTCTCAGTGACCTACCATTGTTGTCCATGTGGTAATTCTGCCATTGACCTACCATTGTTGTCCATAATTCTGTCATCGACCTACCATTGCTGTCCATAATTCTGTCATTGACCTACCATTGTTGTCCATAATTCTGTCAGTGACCTACCATTGTTGTCCATAATTCTGTCATTGACCTACCATTGTTGTCCATAATTCTGTCATTGACCTACCATTGTTGTCCATAATTCTGTCATTGACCTACCATTGTTGCCCTTAATTCTGTCATTGACCTACCATTGTTGTCCATGTGGTAATTCTATCATTGACCTACCATTGTTGTCCATAATTCTGTCATTGACCTACCATTGTTGTCCATGTGGTAATTCTATCATTGACCTACCATTGTTGTCCATAATTCTGTCATTGACCTACCATTGTTGTCCATAATTCTGTCATTGACCTACCATTGTTGTCCATAATTCTGTCAGTGACCTACCATTGTTGTCCATAATTCTGTCAATGACCTACCATTGTTGTCCATAATTCTGTCATTGACCTACCATTGTTGTCCATGTGGTAATTCTATCATTGACCTACCATTGTTGTCCATAATTCTGTCAATGACCTACCATTGTTGTCCATAATTCTGTCATTGACCTACCATTGTTGTCCATAATTCTGTCAGTGACCTACCATTGTTGTCCATAATTCTGTCATTGACCTACCATTGTTGTCCATATGGTAGTTCTGGTAACTCCTGATGACAGCTGAGCACGTGGCACGGTCATGGCACTCGCCTGACTCCCCGTGGTGAATGAAAGCGTAGTGGGCGGGGTTGTGGAAGGTGGTGGTGCCGGTGGGGGCACGGGCTCCCCATTGGGATCTGGTTACAACAGTTGGACACGCCCCTGAAATACATTACCCAGATTTAATTTACATTTTAAAATATTTTTTATCATCTTTATTTAGGTTTTTGGAATTCTATGGTTGTTGTTGTTGTTGTTTATTTTAGTTCAAAATCCATTAAAAATGTGTAATTGCGGTGATTTCTGTAACAGCCGCTAGATAGATAGTTGTTGACAGAAAAACTCGATTTTATTTATCTGTTACTATAATGGGCGTCTTATCTACCGTGGTCAATGAATGCTTTCATCAATTGACGACCAATATTTCAATTGCCCCTAGACTAGAGCAGCTACTGATTGCCTCAACTTACGACATATGTTAGTGCTGGACGTCACATATTGTGGGTTAGTTGGGGGTCCTGTTGGCTGTGCATTTAATACTCTAAATAAAACTTGTTTGCTATTACTAATTTCTGTTCATCTTTAAACTCTTCTCTGTTTTACTTGGCTAAAGATATCTAATATCATTTTTTCAGATTATGATCATGCCAGAGGGCTGCTACTGGATGGCCACATCGATCCTACACCCTAATTTAACTAACTAACATGAGGTAAAATGAACTTACCCAGGGCGAGTCCAAGCTGAAGAGCCAGTAGGGCAGTAACGATACGGAACATTGTGTGGCAGGGGATGGGACAAACTTGAGTCGGTCCAATTCATTTATACCTTCCTGACATAGTCTGCAGTGTGTGTGTGGTGTGTATGTGTGTGTGTGTGTGTGTGTCCCTGTGGAGCTGTGTGTGTGTGTGTCCCTGTGGAACTGTATGTGTGTGTTCTCTCGTGGAAAACAAGGCTACCAGTGACGTTCTATTGTAGGGAATTTTTTAAAAACTTTGACAGCAAATATTCTTCCTCAGATACCGTTTGGAAGCTTGAGGTCACGTTTCTTTATCTTAGTTCTACTCTCTGAACTTTCGGCCGGTTGACATTTAAATCAAGTTACCTTTCGGCCTATTGGTCTTCTCACATTCAAATCAAGTTATCTAAATCAGTAATTATATCTATTGTTGCTTTCTTGTATTAAAAAGCAGTTGTGATAACTTCAAATTTAGCTGCACATACATTCTATTGTATAGTAAAATAGTCGATTCAGTCCACACAAAAAAGTAAATAGGCCTATTCATTTGCTTGGTAAAAGAAAAAACATTATTTGAAAAATTGCTAAGTAAAAGGTCAAATATTTTTTTAATTTTCAAAATTCCATTGAAATAAGTGTTAAATTTAATGGTATTTCACCTTAAAAAAATTGAAAATAAAAATTTATAGCTGTTTCTCTGTTACAAAAACTAGCTAGCTGACTCTATTGGTGTTAGTACAAGAAGGATCAATATGGGCGGTTTATATGTTACTTTATGAAATTTTAGAACTCCGCAAAAGGTAGTTTTTTCCAAGATGGCCGTCGTTTCAATGGAAACCATATTTTCAGAATAGTACCTAATACATGCAAATATTTTCCCTTAAATACCATTACTTATACATACACAAATAAATAAAAACGGCTTATTAATTAAAAAGTTTTTTTCTGTTTTTTTCCGGAGCCTACCCCCTTAAGATTGGTGTTTTTTCTAGAATTTTTTCTCAATCATTTAGTTTTTAAATCGAGATTCATTGAAATATTTCGACAATAAACATTTTGTGAAAAAAAGGTTTTGAAAAAAAGGGTTTCTTAAAATGTTATTAAGTTAAAATAAACCGGGGGTGATCTCCCCTAAACTTTCTCGAATATTCTTATATAAAACAACAGGGGATGGCAACTCGGGATATAGACATGATTTTTAATCGATTTTAAATATACTTAAACTTTTTAAAATAAAATAAAATCTCGTAGAAAATGAAATTTCACATATAAGTAAAAGATATAATTCCCTGCCTTCTATCAAATTTTGAGTAATTTCCGTTGACCGGAAGTAGTACTTTACGCTATTTTCGGTTTCTCAAAAAACGCATGTGAATTTATAAAGTACTAATAATATCCCGCATTATTATGCACATTTTGTTTGGCGTTCACTTGGTGTGCAATTCTTTTTTCTACGAGATTCAATTCTATTTTTAAAAGTTTAAGTATTTAAAAATGGATTAAAACTATTGTCTATATCCCGAGTTACCATACCCGTAGTGTTATATTAGATTTTTCGAGAAAGTTTAGGGGAGATCCCTCCCGGTTTATTTTTTATTCTTATAAACTAACACATTCATCGAAAACCAAAGCATAAAAATAGCAACAATAATTACAATAATCAACGTTAACATTATCAGTTATTTTTTATTTTACACTTTCTTGCTTTGATTAAGGTTACTATTTTTACATTTGTTATTTTAAAAATTAAATTTACTTTTTGCACACGGAAATCTGACCACTTTTTCAGTTTTAATTTAACCATTTGAATTCCTATACATCCACAGTTTTGCACACGGCGATGTCACATTTGAATCCAAAGAATCTACTGGTGGGTGTCGGGATATTTTGCACACGGTTTTTATATTCGCATTGAACCAGTCTGATGGCACGATTAGCAGCTGTCGCCTCCCGCCACCACAAACTCTGTGTACTGTTATTTCCGTCTAATCTCGGCTAGGTCAAGGTCAGGTGGGGGTCAGGTGGGCTGTTTCTGGGCTAATGCAACCCTCGCCCATTGGTTCAATAATATTTGTTCAAAATGTATAATGTTGTATAGAGCTGTTTTAGTATTTGAATCTATAACAGACCAGTAAGATACACTTCAACCCTTCGTAGATCTAGAATTTATACTTTTGTTTTAAAATATTGTCTAGATCCACCTCTCATATATCTATACCTTTGTTTAAAATAAATTAATCAAGACCTAGTCTCAATCCCGACATTTCCAGAAAAGCACTCACCTTTGTCTTGTTGCAACATTTCTCACTATATTGCTTGCAGTGTGTTCAACGCTACATTAGGCGGGCCCCCACTCTAAACCAGTGGTTCTTTACCTGGGTTCGATCGATTTCCAGGGGTTCGGTGAGTCACTCAGGGGTTCGGTGCAGGTCAAGGTACACACCCAAATCAAAAAGATTTACGATCGGATTTTTGTCAATGCGGACTTGGTTGGTATATTTTACATCCGGGTACTTGGGTTTCATTGTGTATTTTTGTGTCATGAAATTTTGACTTTCCCGGGAAATCCAGCGTGTTCCTGCCACGCTGTATAGATTTCACCAGCGCTTACGTGTACCCAGCAGACCATATCTGTGCACCCCCCCCCCCCCCTTTGCGGCAAAACTTAGCCTGAACAATCGGTTACGTTTGGCGAAAGATCATTGTGTACATCCTTGTGAACGATGTCGCCGTAAATATTTAAATTTGTAAGACGACACACAACACTTACAGACATGAGTTTCTTGTATTCCTTTAAATTCTAACTCTAACCCGCCCTTATACCGTGACTACACCACTAACTTAGACCATTACTTTACTTGTCCTTAGATCTTGACTACACCACTATCACATTCCGTAACTTAGACCATTACTTTACTTGTCCTTAGATCTTGACTACACCACTATCACATTCCGTAACTTAGACCATTACTTTACTTGTCCTTAGATCTTGACTACACCACTATCACATTCCGTAACTTAGACCATTACTTTACTTGTCCTTAGATCTTGACTACACCACTATCACATTCCGTAACTTAGACCATTACTTTACTTGTCCTTAGATCTTGACTACACCACTATCACATTCCGTAACTTAAACCATTTATTTACTTGTCCTTAGATCTTGACTACACCACTATCACATTCCGTAACTTAGACCATTACTTTACTTGTCCTTAGATCTTGACTACACCACTATCACATTCCGTAACTTAGACCATTACTTTACTTGTCCTTAGATCTTGACTACACCACTATCACATTCCGTAACTTAGACCATTACTTTACTTGTCCTTAGATCTTGACTACACCACTATCACATTCCGTAACTTAGACCATTACTTTACTTGTCATTAGATCTTGACTACACCACTATCACATTCCGTAACTTAGACCATTACTTTACCTGTCATTAGATCTTGACTACACCACTATCACATTCCGTAACTTAGACCATTACTTTACTTGTCCTTAGATCTTGACTACACCACTATCACATTCCGTAACTTAGACCATTACTTTACTTGTCCTTAGATCTTGACTACACCACTATCACATTCCGTAACTTAAACCATTTATTTACTTGTCCTTAGATCTTGACTACACCACTATCACATTCCGTAACTTAGACCATTACTTTACTTGTCCTTAGATCTTGACTACACCACTATCACATTCCGTAACTTAGACCATTACTTTACTTGTCCTTAGATCTTGACTACACCACTATCACATTCCGTAACTTAGACCATTACTTTACTTGTCATTAGATCTTGACTACACCACTATCACATTCCGTAACTTAGACCATTACTTTGCCTGTCATTAGATCTTGACTACACCACTATCACATTCCGTAACTTAGACCATTACTTTACTTGTCCTTAGATCTTGACTACACCACTATCACATTCCGTAACTTAGACCATTACTTTACTTGTCCTTAGATCTTGACTACACCACTATCACATTCCGTAACTTAGACCTTTACTTTACTTGTCCTTAGATCTTGACTACACCACTATCACATTCCGTAACTTAGACCATTACTTTACTTGTCATTAGATCTTGACTACACCACTATCACATTCCGTAACTTAGACCATTACTTTACCTGTCATTAGATCTTGACTACACCACTATCACATTCCGTAACTTAGACCTTTACTTTACTTGTACTTAGATCTTGACTACACCACTATCACATTCCGTAACTTAGACCATTACTTTACTTGTCCTTAGATCTTGACTACACCACTATCACATTCCGTAACTTAGACCTTTACTTTACTTGTACTTAGATCTTGACTACACCACTATCACATTCCGTAACTTAGACCATTACTTTACCTGTCATTAGATCTTGACTACACCACTATCACATTCCGTAACTTAGACCATTACTTTACTTGTACTTAGATCTTGACTACACCACTATCACATTCCGTAACTTAGACCATTACTTTACCTGTCATTAGATCTTGACTACACCACTATCACATTCCGTAACTTAGACCATTACTTTACTTGTCCTTAGATCTTGACTACACCACTATCACATTCCGTAACTTAGACCATTACTTTACTTGTCCTTAGATCTTGACTACACCACTATCACATTCCGTAACTTAGACCATTACTTTACTTGTCCTTAGATCTTGACTACACCACTGCCCCATTCCGTAACTTAGGCCGTTTCCTTACCCTTAATAAAATCTAACATTTATTGTTCATACTTTTTAGCGCAATATCCATACTGGGATTGCGATTATTAACTCGTCATTTCTGGATGGATGTGTGTCCGCAGCCTTTAAGTCGTATCTCCTCCTCAACGAAGCAATATCGGGGACTAGTTTCAAAAGCAAATATGTTAAGCAAGTTCCGAGGATGAACATAGGTCAAAAAATTCCCGGAATTCCTTCCTGGATTTCCCGGAAAAGCCAAAAAACCTCGAACAAATGCAGTTTTTTCTCCATATCTCGGCAACCAGACCACTTAGCGACTTGAAACATTTACCAATCGATTTCTGCCATAATTTAGAACAATATTGCCGAAGAAAGTTTTCAAAAATATCCTTTCGTTCGGTCACAAAAAAAAAATTTAAATTATTTAAACTGAGCATCGTGTAGGCCTAGGATGATATTTTAAACTGAGCATCGTGTAGGCCTACTCGTTAAAATAAAACTATTTCCGTTGATACTTTCTATTACCCCCTACACGTCCGCATATTTTTTTTTTAAATCTCGTTAATAAATATTTTTTTCTATTTTGTTTTGAATTATTAAAACTACTTGTGTTGCATTATTTATTTGCTGAATATATGATTTATCTCGATTTAAAATTGTTATGGATAACATAAGAAAATTGCGCTTAAATTATCACTACTTTTTATTAACTTGTTTTTAAAATGTTGATCGAGTTTTTTATTTTTATTTAAAAGTCTTTATTAAACCTCTCATGGAATTATAAACACAAAAATTTCCAAACAATCAATCACACCGAACAACAATTTATTTGAACCGTAATAGAACTAACAACTAGTATTGACAGGTCTTGATTCGATACTAAAATCTGCGAGATATTTAATTAGACTAATTAGTAGTGTGGCCAGGTCTTGATGAGATTGTAAAATCTGCGAGATATTTAATTAGACTAATTAGTAGTGTGGCCAGGTCTTGATGAGATTGTAAAATCTGCGAGATATTTAATTAGACTAATTAGTAGTGTGGCCAGGTCTTGATGAGATTGTAAAATCTGCGAGATATTTAATTAGACTAATTAGTAGTGTGGCCAGGTCTTGATGAGATTGTAAAATCTGCGAGATATTTAATTAGACTAATTAGTAGTGTGGCCAGGTCTTGATGAGGTTGTAAAATCTGCGAGATCTTTAATTAGACTAATTAGTAATGTGGCCAGGTCTTGATGAGGTTGTAGAATGCTGTACCAGGACATGCTGTGCTGCCCATGTCCCTGTGTCCTCTCAGGACATAGTTGGCCTGGATCTTGCCCAGCTCCACACCACAGGCGATCAGGTCCTTGACGGCCTTCTGGGCAGCAGCCGTGGGCACGTGACTCGTGAAGGTGCCCACAAAACAATAACCTGAAAATTTTATCAAACAAATGTATTCAACAAACGCTAAACACGTATACACAAGTAATTGTTTGAGTCATGGCTATACAATAAGAATTAAGATTTTCTCGAGATTTAAGACATTCCAATTGTCAAAAACTGCATACTATTTTCTAAGCATTTTTCTTCTTAAAGTAACCAGAAAATGGTTTCGATAATTTGTTATAATTATGAAGTATCTCGTGTAAAGAAGCGAATTGTTTCATATTTTCACGAAAAAATTAAATGTTAAGTACTTTTTAAGCTAATTAGTTTTTGGTAAAGTTAACATGGCCCAAAGAGCGAGAACTCACCGTATCCAACACTGTTGTAGTTGAGTGTGTGAGCGCCAACAACATTCCAGCCTCGACCTTCAAAGATGGAACCGTCGCCTCCAATCACAAAGGTGTAGCCGATGTCCGGCCAACCTAAACATTGGAAAACATTTCAATTAGTCTTCCTTTTGTTCTTTTAGCTGCTATGTTTATGAGGTTTCCTCCAACATAATTACTTATTACGTGTCATCACGTTATGCGACATAAGCGCTGGCAACGCGTTCAGCCAGATTTTCTGTTTGGATTTTCTTCCATAGCCTTTGATCTTACACAAACAAACTACAAGGCAGCAGTTATTTGATTTTGGAGTTTCCTCTCCCTGATGAGTTGCTGTCCTCAGCTATCGAGTCTCATCTGCCAGTGGGTTCGACTTTTTGGTTTATTACCCAATAGTTTTGCCGGCCAGACAACTCCTAAAGATGTTCAAATTGGGTTATCTAATTAAGAGCTTGACCGTGTATTACATGGCTAGATCTTACCATCTGTTATAGGGCTAGAACTGACCATGTATCAGAAGTCTAGAACTGACCATGTATCAGAAGTCTAGAACTGACCATGTATCAGAAGGCTAGAACTGACCATGTATCAGAAGTCTAGAACTGACCATGTATCAGAAGTCTAGAACTGACCATGTATTAAAGGGCTAGAACTGACCATGTGTGTCCATGTGATAGTTCTGGAAGGCTTTAACTTGCGCCTGGCATGTCGCTCTGTCATGACAGTCAGGACCAGCGGAATGGTGGATGAAGGAGTAGTGGACGGGGCCGGCAAGGTGGGTGACGCTACGGGGGGCTCTGGCGCCCCAGTCCGCCCTTTTGATGATATGAGGGCAAGCACCTGTTGACGGCAAGAAAACCCAACATATGACGTCATACTTCTCTTGTTTTTGTTATGCTTTAAACAAGTTTAACAACACACGGTTTCTTTTTTTAGATAAAATCATGGTTTAAAGAAAAGATTAGACATCTTATCAGGGAAAATATTTGTTATTAAAGTAATGTTATGCTTTTTGGGATTTAATAAGTTATAGCATGTTATAAAAGTAATGAATTATTTGCAAAATGAATTGTAATTTTTAAGAATATTTGCTTTGAAAGTAATACGTTTTTTTTTTAAAAATAATGATTAGTTATAAAAGCAACGATTTGATATAAAAGTAATGGTTGTCAATTAATGTAATGGCAGGCAAAGAATGTGTCACCATTGTACTCACCAAAGACGAGACTGACTTGTAGACAGACGAAGGCGAACACAAGAGCAGACGACATGATCAAAACTCGACTCAAATATTCAAGTGGTGGCGCTGACCTGCTGGAAGATTCTTTTATACCCGTCACGTGACCTTGCTGACCTCTTGTCTTTTAGTGAGAACAAACGTAGGTGAACGTGTGCAGATAGGTGCAGCACTTTAAGGCGGGATGATACGACCATTTGATATTTTTTACTTGCTTCCTTCAGTACTTGATTAAACTGTCATAAAAAACAATCAATTGTATCGTGAGAGACAAGGCTTGTCTAACTTGCTGTACCCTCAGCAGTGGCGTAGCGAGGTCGGGTGTCACCCGATGCGGCACTTAATGGTGTCACCCCCCCCCCCCCCCCCACAGAGGCATAGCGACCCTTCCCGGGGAAAACTTTCAAATTTTCGATTTGCATCCCCCCTCAAAATTTTGATTTGCACTCCCCCCCCCCCCCTCAAGTTTTTCTCTATATATTTTGCTATTTTTTGCGTTGGTGTCACCTCCCTAATTGGTGTCACCCGGTGCAGTCCGCAACCCCCCCCCCCCGCCCCCCCCCCCCTCGCTTCGCCTCTGACCCTCGGCCAGATTTGAGATGCAGCTAGAGCCAAAATATTATGATGAAACTACGCTGTGTAAGCAATGTCATAATTTTATACTGTTGCATGTATGGACGAAAACGGGGATGCGGACAGCAAAGGACCACACCAAAAGAGATGGTGACAGCAACAGAGATACAGAGATGGTGACACCAACAGAGATGGTGACACCAACCAATGAAGGGGTGACAACAACCAATGGAGGGGTGACATAGCCCCCCCCCCAAAAAAAAATTCAGCCGGAGGCTTAGTCCGCCCCTGTAAAAATGCATATATTAAGTTATTCTTGTATTTATAGTGTGGTCCGCTTGAAGATATTTACCTCTTTATGCTAATATCGTAACTGTATTACACAATCATTCATCTAGCTAATTATTAAATGTGGCATAAATTAAACTGACTGCTAGGAGTAGATGACAGGTAGATGTCAGGTGTAAAACATCTGACGTCTGCAAAACGTGTAATGCTGTCAGGTTAATTACAAAGTTTAATTACTAATGAGTGCATACGGTATATGTTTGTGTGTACATACTGTATATGTTTGTGTGTACACGGTATATGTTTGTGTACCCACGGTATATGTTTGTGTACACACGGTATGTGTTTGTATGTACACGGTATATGTTTGTATGTACACGGTATATGTTTGTGTATATACGATATATGTTTGTGTTCACACTTTATATGTTTGTGTACTTTTACAAAAGGACACACGTTACACATGTAGGCTTGCTGCATTACAAGATTGTGTTAAAAATCAATCCCAGTCATAAGAAATACACGAGCAGATTTCAATCTGCTTTGTTTGTTGTCTGCTTCTCTCTGATGCCGATATAAACTAATAAAAACGACGCTTTTTTTTTTCGTTGTTGTTTTTTTTCTCTACGTAAAAATGAATACATTCCTGAATAACTAATTAAGGAAGTTTCTTTTTTGTTGTGAAATCTGTGCAGGTACAAGTAAAATAAGGACAGTCGCCATGTTGAAAATGAAACATTTCATAATATGTCCAGTTGCTTTCCCTGACAGTTCAGAGTTACCGGTCCTTACAGCCTGACGAAATATATAGGATGTGTTAGCATTTTCTTGTGTGTCTAATGATAGGAACATCTATGTAACTAGTGCACACAGACGAGTCAGGTTTTCATACATTCTAGTCATAAACTAATATTATAATTATAATCCAAGCTTTTATTTAATATTGTTAACAATTAAATCCCTGTGTTAAAATTTGTATTATCTTTCGGAAATGTAAAATTTAATCTTAAATAGAGGAAGTAGAGTTGGCATCTAATAATGTGGCCATGTTTTTATTTCCGTGTAGAGAGTATCGCCCGGACACTGAGTGCTGACCATGTCCCTGTGCCCCCTGAGGGTGTAGTTGGGCTGGATCTTGCCCAGAGTGACGCCACATGCGATCATGTCCTTAGCGGCCTGCAGAGCTGCGGCTGTGGGGAGCTTGCTCATAAAGTTGCCGATAAAACAGAAGCCTGAAAGTCAATGTCACATTTCAAATATTAAAACGTTTCATCCAGTGAATATGCATCCCTTCACTTTAAAATTAATTCATCAAATAATGTATATCACATTACTGATTACAACTGTATCAACTGTTTTTTCCCTCTTAATATAATTCCGTTTCTATCAGACTATTTTTAGCCTGTAGTGGGAAGATCTGAAACCGAAAGTAGAAACTTACCGTACCCCACACTGTTGTAGCCCTTGGTGTGGGCCCCGACCTTATCCCAGCCACGCCCCTCATAGACAGCACCATCCCCACCAATAACATAGCTGTAGCCGATGTCGTCCCACTCTGGGAATCAAACATGTATCGTTATATATGGCTGTCATGTGTCATCATATGTGGTATACTGCAGCTCAGTCTAATTGCGGCTTGCAGCAAGAAGAAATGTCTTAGCCTGATATTATCCATGGCCAGAGTGTTTGACTATTTTAATAAGACAGGAAGATTGGCTTGCACACAGTACACAGTACACGGTGTACAAGTCAATAGTTACCATTGAAAGCGCTAAATAGTTTAAAGTATAGATAGAGTGTGTGTCGATATTTACTATTGATAGAAAATAAAGTCAATACGAGAAATTTTAGAATGTAAGTCATTACTCACTATAGGAAAAATGTAAGTCATAACTCACTACAGAGAGAATGTAAGTCATTACTCACTACAGACAGAATGTAAGTCATTACTTACTGTAGTTAGAATGTAAGTCATTACTCACTACAGAGAGAATGTAAGTCATTACTCACTACAGAGAGAATGTAAGTCATTACTCACTACAGAGAGAATGTAAGTCATTACTCACTACAGAGAGAATGTAAGTCATTACTCACTACAGAGAGAATGTAAGTCGTTACTTTACTGTAGATAGAATGTAAGTCACTACTCACTACAGAGAGAATGTAAGTCATTACTCACTACAGAGAGAATGTAAGTCATTACTCACTACAGAGAGAATGTAAGTCATTACTCACTACAGAGAGAATGTAAGTCATTACTCACTACAGAGAGAATGTAAGTCGTTACTTTACTGTAGACAGAATGTAAGCCACTACTCACTATTGACCTGCATGTGCAAGGTCTGGTAGCTCCTGACCTTGGCTGAGCAGGTAGCCCTGTCAGTACATTCACCTGACGCCCCGTGATGGATGAAGGCGTAACGCAAGGGGTTAGTGAGGGTGGAGCTGTTCTTGTGGGCGGCAGCTCCCCACTCTGCTCGTGTGACTACGGTGGGGCAGGCTCCTGAGGTAGGTATCATTTTAAAATATGCATGTATTTCTCTTTGAAGAAAACAGCTAATGCATTTTATTTTATATTTCTCTTTGTAGAAAACAGCTAATGCATTTTATTTTATTTTTCCCTTTGTATAAAACAGTCAATGTATTTTATGCTGTGCTTAGCGAGTAACTGTCATTTCCATCTATTTTCCTGCTACCACAGTCCAAGTACGTACTGAAAACTAACACTATAAACTCTGTGTTCACACCTCATATTAACTAGGCAACAGCTGTTCGTTATGTTACTTTCTACTTGCTACTGAATCCTGGGTAAATAAAATGCACTTACCCAAGGCAAAATCTATCCCAAGGACCAGCAAACAAAAAATTATGAGGTTCATTGCGTAATTTGGTCGTGTGTGTGTGGACACAGCAAACAGTTGAGGGGAATATATAGGGCCTCGGGTTTTACCGGTGTGCAGTAGGCGTCGGTGGAGGATATAGAATAGCGTGTATGGCGGACGGGAGAGTTGGGTGGGGGGGGGGGATTGTGTCATATTGAATAGCTAAAGTTGTGTGTGATTGTGTGACATTGAATAGCTAAAGGTTGTGTGTGATTTGTGATATTCAATACCCAGCGTATATATATATATATATGTATGTGTGTGTGCGCGCGCATGCGCGTGCGTGCGTGTGTGCGTGTGTGCGTGTGTGCGTGTGTGTGTGTGCATATGTCGCTATGTTTGTGTTCAGTTTTTAATTCGTTAAACAAAATAAAAGGAAGCTTAACCTGAAACTGGATTAAACACGAACATAATATAAACAAATGTAGTTAAGGTCAAGGGACAACTGGGTGAATGACAGCTAGGCAACGGTCGACTTGGACAAGTTTTCTTTTGACGTCCAAATTTAAAATTATTAGTGTCTAGTAGTTATTTTAATAAATAGTCTTTTTTTAATATATACGTGTAATAAAGGTCATTTATTTTCAGTCATATATTGTTGTTTTAATCTAAGTGTTAACTTTGAAGCTAAACCCTATCATACATGTAACATACGCTTGTCAAAATAAAAAAAAACATCTAGATTATCTATATATTATGTTGGACAAAAGAACAAAGTATGTCAAGGGTAATCTCTATGCTGGACACAAGAACAAAGTATGTCAAGGGTAATCTCTATGCTGGACAAAAGGACAAAGTATGTCAAGGGTAATCTCTATGTTGGACAAAAGGACAAAGTATGTCAAGGGTCATCTCTATGTTGGACAAAAGGACAAAGTATGTCAAGAGTCAAGGGTCATCTCTATGTTGGACAAAGCACCAGAGAGTGTCAAGTTTAATCTCTATGTTGGACAAAAGGACAAAGTATGTCAAGGGTAATCTCTATGCTGGACAAAAGGACAAAGTATGTCAAGGGTAATCTCTATGTTGGACAAAAGGACAAAGTATGTCAAGGGTAATCTCTATGTTGGACAAAAGGACAAAGTATGTCAAGGGTAATCTCTATGTTGGACAAAAGGACAAAGTATGTCAAGAGTCAAGGGTCATCTCTATGTTGGACAAAGCACCAGAGAGTGTCAAGTTTAATCTCTATGTTGGACAAAAGGACAAAGTATGTCAAGGGTAATCTCTATGCTGGACAAAAGGACAAAGTATGTCAAGGGTAATCTCTATGTTGGACAAAAGGACAAAGTATGTCAAGAGTCAAGGGTCATCTCTATGTTGGACAAAGCACCAGAGAGTGTCAAGTTTAATCTCTATGCTGGACAAAAGGACAAAGTATGTCAAGGGTAATCTCTATGTTGGACAAAGCACCAGAGAGTGTCAAGTTTAATCTGCCCATCTGTCCGTCATCAATCGATGACTTGACGGGAGTCACATGATCTAGTCAGCTGATGATGTCACAGATGATTTCAAAACATGTGTTTTGTGGCAAACCACACCACAACAAACCATACCATACCAAACCACACCAAACTACACCAAACCACACCAAACCACACAAAACAGTTCGCGTATCGTTTGAATAAAGGCTTGAAATGAAAGAATTTCGCGATCTAAAAATATGAAGAATTAATTGATGAATAAAAAAAACCTCCAATTTATTTAGGATCATCTGGTTGAATAATGTCAAGTCAGTGTTAAGTTAAATGTTTGAAGCTGTCACTTACCTGTCACTCAAAATATACAGTGTGGTTATAGGTGAACAATTTAAGTTAACAAAATGACATCACAGGGTAGGGGGTGGGGGGGAGGAGAGGATGACATGGTTTGACATTGACGATAAAGTTGAGGGCGAATCTTGAAAACGAAACAACACGTTAAAACGGCAGCTAAAACAATGTTAGTTTGCTGCGGTCTGTCTTCAGTTTAAGACATCTGGTCGTTACGTCGTGTGTTTTTTTGGTGTTTCTTTTCTTTTTTATATTTAGGTTTTTTTTTTCAAAAAAATTTTTTTTTTTAATTTTTAACGAGCTAACTACATTTACAATTTACCAGCAATGAAACAGGGCATCGAAATACTGCAACGGAGGCGACGGTGAAGCTAGCTGATAACAATCTATTGTTAACAGAGGTAGATCCTATTTCAACTTATATTTTATGATAGCCCTATACTATAATAAATTTTAAATGATAAACAAAAACAAACCGCTTTACGCCCAAACTACAATAACTAAAATACAACAAAAATACGATTACTGAATTCTTCTAATTCGATTTTAATAAAAATGGCTTAATATTTCAGAGAATATAATGATTTTCTTTTAATAATTATGACTATTTTCTTCATTCATCAAAATTCATGACGCCATCTCCCTTGATTTTTCAAATGATGTCATATCCGCTTCCATTGACGGAAGTCCAAGCAAAATGTCTGCCCTGCGCGTTTCACAGTAGCAGATAAGAGCAGGCAGACAAGATCTTGTGACTGGCAGATCACTAGGCCTCAGAGTGAAACCTTTGAGAAGAACAATTGAAATCGGCGCCAAGTCCAACCTGCAATGTCCGAAACCGTCCCTAGTCAGCCTTCCGATAGTCTGCTTCATTCTGACGTGCTGTTCCGTGTGTTGGGAGGGGACGCCATGCAAATCCTGAGGTGTGGGATATGCATGGAATTTTTCGACGTACCAATAGTCTTACCGTGTGGACATACTTTCTGCCTTCAGTAAGCCATAAACTTTTTGACGTACAAATAGTTTTACCGAATGGACTTAAAACAATTTTTGACGTAGCAATAGTCTTACACAGTGGCGTAGCGAGGTCGGGTGTCACCCGGTGCGGCACTTAATGGTGTCATCCCCCAGAGGCGTAGCGACCCTTCCCGGGGACAAACTTTCAAACTTTCGATTTGCACACCCCCCGCCCCCCTCAAACTTTCGATTTGCAACCCCCCCCTTAAACTTTTGATTTGCACCCCCCCCCCCCCACCTCAAGTTTTTCTCTATATATTTTGCTATTTTTTGCCTTGGTGTCACCCCCCTAAATGGTGTCACCCGTGCGATCCGCACCCCCCGCCCCCCCCCCCCCCCCGCACTACTATGGACATACTTTCTTCCTTCATTAGACCAACAGCTCTTTAGAGAACCTAAGATACAGTAGTTTTTCTTTTCAGAAGAGTTTCTGTCGATGCATTGTTTTACCTTCTTTCAATGTTTGTTCTGTTAACAGTTTTGGTTTGATTTGATTTGTATCGATATTCACATAAGTGGTGATAATGGTGATTTAACATGAAGTTTTTCATCGGACCAGGTAATCGGCTATTGCTCGGGGTAAAGTATCAGTAATACGTTTACACCAGCAATTAATGGGTCAGAGCTATTCATGTATCTGAATACTTGATTCATTATCTGTTGATAGCATCATGCCTATGTGACACGGGTAGTAAGTAACAAAACAATGTGAAGTTATCATTTCAGTCCTAATGGTCAACAGGCGGGGTTCACGACTATCTGTGACCTCGGCACATAAAGGGATAGTGAGGTCAGCGCTATGCCAAGCTGTCTTTACATACCCTAAAGTGAATCAGGTATTCATAAAACCTGGCTGAACTCTGCGACGTTAGAAGTCGAGATCTCTATCATCCGACCACGCCATCCCATGACCTCTTGCTCTCCCCCCCTCTCCTCACAGATGCCTGACAGAGATGTGCAAACATGCCAGCCGAAACTGTGTGCTGAGCCCGCTCAAAGATCTGAGGATAGGATGCCCCAACTGCCGAGTACTGATTTACGCCTCGCCCATACTGGAGCGCAACGTTACGTGCAACTTCATCATACAGTCGTTCATCGAGTGTCTTAGGGCGAGGGATGGGCGGCAAAGGGTTAGTACAACTTCATCATACAGTCGAGTGTCTTAGGGCGAGGGATGGGCGGCAAAGAGTAAGGATATTGGCGACATAGAGTGTCTAAAGGCGGCAAAGAGTAAGTATATTAGCAGCATAATGCACCAAGAGACGGCAAAAAGTTAGTATCTTGGCGGCATAGAGTGTCTTAGAGCGGCAAATATTAAGTACATAATATGCGCAGAAATCACCTTAGGGCGAGGGATGGACGGCAAAAGAGAAAGTGCTAGACATTACTCTGGTTTGAAATGATATCTTAGACGTCCTCCTTGTGTTTTCAGCTCAGCACGGGAGTCAACACTGATGAAGTGAGGGTGGGGCCAAAGATTCGGGCCGTCAGTGACTTGGAGATACAGAGGGTGATTAAAGAGGTAAGGGATTCGAACCCAAAACATGTACGTTCCAGTACGGTGTGGTCGAGTGGTCAAGTTCGAGAGTTCAGTTCTCAGACTGAGGTTTGTCACAAGTAGTTTTTGCTGTCCTTACACCCGATGAGACAACTTTATGTGTTCCTCCCCAAACCTACAGCCGGCTGAGCTGTAGGGTCAGTGCTATCTGTTACTGTCTGCCTGTCTGCAGGGTCAGTGCTATCTGTTACTGTCTGCCTGTCTGTAGGGTCAGTGCTATCTGTTACTGTCTGCCTGTCTGTAGGGTCAGTGCTATCTGTTACTGTCTGCAGGGTCAGTGCTATCTGTTACTGTCTGCCTGTCTGTGGGGTCAGTGCTGTCTGTTACTGTCTGCAGGGTCAGTGCTATCTGTTACTGTCTGCCTGTCTGTGGGGTCAGTGCTGTCTGTTACTGTCTGCAGGGTCAGTGCTATCTGTTACTGTCTGCAGGGTCAGTGCTATCTGTTACTGTCTGCCTGTCTGTAGGGTCAGTGCTATCTGTTACTGTCTGCCTGTCTGCAGGGTCAGTGCTATCTGTTACTGTCTGCCTGTCTGCAGGGTCAGTGCTATCTGTTACTGTCTGCAGGGTCAGTGCTATCTGTTACTGTCTGCCTGTCTGTAGGGTCAGTACTATCTGTTACTGTCTGCAGGGTCAGTGCTATCTGTTACTGTCTGCCTGTCTGCAGGGTCAGTGCTATCTGTTACTGTCTGCCTGTCTGCAGGGTCAGTGCTATCTGTTACTGTCTGCCTGTCTGCAGGGTCAGTGCTATCTGTTACTGTCTGCCTGTCTGTAGGGTCAGTGCTATCTGTTACTGTCTGCCTGTCTGTAGGGTCAGTGCTATCTGTTACTGTCTGCAGGGTCAGTGCTATCTGTTACTGTCTGCCTGTCTGTGGGGTCAGTGCTGTCTGTTACTGTCTGCAGGGTCAGTGCTATCTGTTACTGTCTGCCTGTCTGTAGGGTCAGTGCTATCTGTTACTGTCTGCCTGTCTGTAGGGTCAGTGCTATCTGTTACTGTCTGCAGGGTCAGTGCTATCTGTTACTGTCTGCCTGTCTGCAGGGTCAGTGCTATCTGTTACTGTCTGCAGGGTCAGTGCTATCTGTTACTGTCTGCCTGTCTGTAGGGTCAGTACTATCTGTTACTGTCTGCAGGGTCAGTGCTATCTGTTACTGTCTGCCTGTCTGCAGGGTCAGTGCTATCTGTTACTGTCTGCCTGTCTGCAGGGTCAGTGCTATCTGTTACTGTCTGTGGGGTCAGTGCTATCTGTTACTGTCTGCCTGTCTGCAGGGTCAGTGCTATCTGTTACTGTCTGCCTGTCTGCAGGGTCAGTGCTATCTGTTACTGTCTGCCTGTCTGTAGGGTCAGTGCTATCTGTTACTGTCTGCAGGGTCAGTGCTATCTGTTACTGTCTGCCTGTCTGCAGGGTCAGTGCTATCTGTTACTGTCTGCCTGTCTGTGGGGTCAGTGCTATCTGTTACTGTCTGCCTGTCTGTAGGGTCAGTGCTATCTGTTACTGTCTGCAGGGTCAGTGCTATCTGTTACTGTCTGCCTGTCTGCAGGGTCAGTGCTATCTGTTACTGTCTGCCTGTCTGCAGGGTCAGTGCTATCTGTTACTGTCTGTGGGGTCAGTGCTATCTGTTACTGTCTGCCTGTCTGCAGGGTCAGTGCTATCTGTTACTGTCTGCCTGTCTGCAGGGTCAGTGCTATCTGTTACTGTCTGCCTGTCTGTAGGGTCAGTGCTATCTGTTACTGTCTGCAGGGTCAGTGCTATCTGTTACTGTCTGCCTGTCTGTAGGGTCAGTGCTATCTGTTACTGTCTGCCTGTCTGTAGGGTCAGTGCTATCTGTTACTGTCTGCAGGGTCAGTGCTATCTGTTACTGTCTGCCTGTCTGCAGGGTCAGTGCTATCTGTTACTGTCTGCCTGTTTGTGGGGTCAGTGCTATCTGTTACTGTCTGCAGGGTCAGTGCTATCTGTTACTGTCTGCCTGTCTGCAGGGTCAGTGCTATCTGTTACTGTCTGCCTGTCTGTGGGGTCAGTGCTATCTGTTACTGTCTGCCTGTCTGCAGGGTCAGTGCTATCTGTTACTGTCTGCAGGGTCAGTGCTATCTTTTACTGTCTGCCTGTTTGTGGGGTCAGTGCTATCTGTTACTGTCTGCCTGTCTGTAGGGTCACTGCTATCTGTTACTGTCTGCAGGGTCAGTGCTATCTGTTACTGTCTGCCTGTCTGCAGGGTCAGTGCTATCTGTTACTGTCTGCCTGTCTTCAGGGTCAGTGCTATCTGTTACTGTCTGCCTGTCTGCAGGGTCAGTGCTATCTGTTACTGTCTGCAGGGTCAGTGCTATCTGTTACTGTCTGCCTGTCTGCAGGGTCAGTGTTATCTGTTACTGTCTGCCTGTCTGCAGGGTCAGTGCTATCTGTTACTGTCTGCCTGTCTGCAGGGTCAGTGCTATCTGTTACTGTCTGCCTGTCTGCAGGGTCAGTGCTATCTGTTACTGTCTGCCTGTCTGTAGGGTCAGTGCTATCTGTTACTGTCTGCCTGTCTGCAGGGTCAGTGCTATCTGTTACTGTCTGCCTGTCTGTGGGGTCAGTGCTATCTGTTACTGTCTGCAGGGTCAGTGCTATCTGTTACTGTCTGCCTGTCTGCAGGGTCAGTGCTATCTGTTACTGTCTGCAGGGTCAGTGCTATCTGTTACTGTCTGCAGGGTCAGTGCTATCTGTTACTGTCTGCCTGTCTGTAGGGTCAGTGCTATCTGTTACTGTCTGCCTGTCTGTAGGGTCAGTACTATCTGTTACTGTCTGCAGGGTCAGTGCTATCTGTTACTGTCTGCCTGTCTGCAGGGTCAGTGCTATCTGTTACTGTCTGCCTGTTTGTGGGGTCAGTGCTATCTGTTACTGTCTGCAGGGTCAGTGCTATCTGTTACTGTCTGCCTGTCTGCAGGGTCAGTGCTATCTGTTACTGTCTGCCTGTCTGTGGGGTCAGTGCTATCTGTTACTGTCTGCAGGGTCAGTGCTATCTGTTACTGTCTGCCTGTCTGCAGGGTCAGTGCTATCTGTTACTGTCTGCCTGTCTGTGGGGTCAGTGCTATCTGTTACTGTCTGCAGGGTCAGTGCTATCTGTTACTGTCTGCCTGTCTGCAGGGTCAGTGCTATCTGTTACTGTCTGCCTGTCTGTAGGGTCAGTGCTATCTGTTACTGTCTGCAGGGTCAGTGCTATCTGTTACTGTCTGCCTGTCTGCAGGGTCAGTGCTATCTGTTACTGTCTGCCTGTCTGCAGGGTCAGTGCTATCTGTTACTGTCTGCAGGGTCAGTGCTATCTGTTACTGTCTGCCTGTCTGTAGGGTCAGTACTATCTGTTACTGTCTGCAGGGTCAGTGCTCTCTGTTACTGTCTGCCTGTCTGCAGGGTCAGTGCTATCTGTTACTGTCTGCCTGTTTGTGGGGTCAGTGCTATCTGTTACTGTCTGCAGGGTCAGTGCTATCTGTTACTGTCTGCCTGTCTGCAGGGTCAGTGCTATCTGTTACTGTCTGCCTGTCTGTGGGGTCAGTGCTATCTGTTACTGTCTGCAGGGTCAGTGCTATCTGTTACTGTCTGCCTGTCTGCAGGGTCAGTGCTATCTGTTACTGTCTGCCTGTCTGTGGGGTCAGTGCTATCTGTTACTGTCTGCAGGGTCAGTGCTATCTGTTACTGTCTGCTTGTCTGCAGGGTCAGTGCTATCTGTTACTGTCTGCCTGTCTGTAGGGTCAGTGCTATCTGTTACTGTCTGCAGGGTCAGTGCTATCTGTTACTGTCTGCCTGTCTGCAAGGTCAGTGCTATCTGTTACTGTCTGCCTGTCTGTGGGGTCAGTGCTATCTGTTACTGTCTGCAGGGTCAGTGCTATCTGTTACTGTCTGCCTGTCTGCAGGGTCAGTGCTATCTGTTACTGTCTGCCTGTCTGTAGGGTCAGTGCTATCTGTTACTGTCTGCAGGGTCAGTGCTATCTGTTACTGTCTGCAGGGTCAGTGCTATCTGTTACTGTCTGCCTGTCTGCAGGGTCAGTGCTATCTGTTACTGTCTGCCTGTCTGTGGGGTCAGTGCTATCTGTTACTGTCTGCCTGTCTGTGGGGTCAGTGCTATCTGTTACTGTCTGCAGGGTCAGTGCTATCTGTTACTGTCTGCCTGTCTGCAGGGTCAGTGCTATCTGTTACTGTCTGCAGGGTCAGTGCTATCTGTTACTGTCTGCCTGTCTGTGGGGTCAGGGCTATCTGTTACTGTCTGCAGGGTCAGTGCTATTTGTTACTGTCTGCCTGTCTGCAGGGTCAGTGCTATCTGTTACTGTCTGCCTGTCTGCAGGGTCAGTGCTATCTGTTACTGTCTGCCTGTCTGTGGGGTCAGTGCTATCTGTTACTGTCTGCAGGGTCAGTGCTATCTGTTACTGTCTGCCTGTCTGCAGGGTCAGTGCTATCTGTTACTGTCTGCCTGTCTGCAGGGTCAGTGCTATCTGTTACTGTCTGCCTGTCTGTGGGGTCAGTGCTATCTGTTACTATCTGCCTGTCTGTAGGGTCAGTGCTATCTGTTACTGTCTGCAGGGTCAGTGCTATCTGTTACTGTCTGCCTGTCTGTGGGGTCAGTGCTATCTGTTACTGTCTGCCTGTCTGTGGGGTCAGTGCTATCTGTTACTGTCTGCAGGGTCAGTGGTATCTGTTACTGTCTGCCTGTCTGCAGGGTCAGTGCTATCTGTTACTGTCTGCCTGTCTGCAGGGTCAGTGCTATCTGTTACTGTCTGCCTGTCTGTGGGGTCAGTGCTATCTGTTACTGTCTGCCTGTCTGTAGGGTCAGTGCTATCTGTTACTGTCTGCAGGGTCAGTGCTATCTGTTACTGTCTGCCTGTCTGTGGGGTCAGTGCTATCTGTTACTGTCTGCCTGTCTGTAGGGTCAGTGCTATCTGTTACTGTCTGCCTGTCTGTAGGGTCAGTGCTATCTGTTACTGTCTGCCTGTCTGTAGGGTCAGTGCTATCTGTTACTGTCTGCCTGTCTGTAGGGTCAGTGCTATCTGTTACTGTCTGCAGGGTCAGTGCTATCTGTTACTGTCTGCCTGTCTGCAGGGTCAAAGCTATCTGTTACTGTCTGCCTGTCTGTGGGGTCAGTGCTATCTGTTACTGTCTGCAGGGTCAGTGCTATCTGTTACTGTCTGCCTGTCTGTAGGGTCAGTGCTATCTGTTACTGTCTGCAGGGTCAGTGCTATCTGTTACTGTCTGCCTGTCTGCAGGGTCAGTGCTATCTGTTACTGTCTGCCTGTCTGCAGGGTCAGTGCTATCTGTTACTGTCTGCAGGGTCAGTGCTATCTGTTACTGTCTGCCTGTCCTGAAGCCTCACTGCCGAGTACCACGTATCATGTGTACCTTGTGTTGTTGTAGCTGTTATACTGTCATCTCACTAAGATTGTCCGTACATGTGTACCTTGTGTTGTTGTAGCCGTTACACTGCTATCTCACTAAGATTGTGTTGTTGTAGCTGTTACACTATCATCTCACTAAGATTGTGTTGTTGTAGTCGATACACTGTCATCTCACTAGATTTTGTTGTTGTAGCTGTTACACTATCATCTCACTAAGATTGTGTTGTTGTAGCCATTACACTGTCATCTCACTAAAATTGTGTTGTTGTAGCCATTACACTGTCATCTCACTAAGATTGTGTTGTTGTAGCCATTACACTGTCATCTCACTAAGATTGTGTTGTTGTAGCCGTTACACTGTCATCTCACTAAGATTGTGTTGCTGTAGCTGTTACACTATCATCTCACTAAGATTGTGTTGTTGTAGTCGTTACACTGTCATCTCACTAAGATTGTGTTGTTGTAGCCGTTACACTGTCATCTCACTAAGATTGTGTTGTTGTAGCCGTTACACTGTCATCTCACTAAGATTGTGTTGTTGTAGCTGTTACACTATCATCTCACTAAGATTGTGTTGTTGTAGCCGTTACACTGTCATCTCACTAAGATTGTGTTGTTGTAGCTGTTACACTATCATCTCACTAAGATTGTGTTGTTGTAGCCGTTACACTGTCATCTCACTAAGATTGTGTTGTTGTAGCTGTTAAAGTGTCATCTCACTAAGATTGTGTTGTTGTAGCTGTTGCACTATCATCTCACTAAGATTGTGTTGTTGTAGCCATTACACTGTCATCTCACTAAGATTGTGTTGTTGTAGCCGTTACACTGTCATCTCACTAAGATTGTGTTGTTGTAGCTGTTATACTGTCATCTCACTAAGATTGTGTTGTTGTAGCTGTTACACTATCATCCCACTAAGATTGTGTTGTTGTAGCCGTTACACTGTCATCTCACTAAGATTGTGTTGTTGTAGCTGTTACACTATCATCTCACTAAGATTGTGTTGTTGTAGCTGTTACACTATCATCTCACTAAGATTGTGTTGTTGTAGCCGTTACACTGTCATCTCACTAAGATTGTGTTGTTGTAGCTGTTACACTATCATCTCACTAAGATTGTGTTGTTGTAGCTGTTACACTATCATCCCACTAAGATTGTGTTGTTGTAGCCGTTACACTGTCATCTCACTAAGATTGTGTTGCTGTAGCTGTTACACTGTCATCTCACTAAGATTGTGTTGTTGTAGCCGTTACACTGTCATCTCACTAAGATTGTGTTGTTGTAGCCGTTACACTGTCATCTCACTAAGATTGTGTTGTTGTAGCCGTTACACTGTCATCTCACTAAGATTGTGTTGTTGTAGCCGTTACACTGTCATCTCACTAAGATTGTCCACACATGTGTACCTTGTGTTGTTGTAGCTGTTATACCGTCATCTCACTAAGATTTTTTATACAGGTGGACCGACTAACGGACTCATTGGGGAAGCGGAACGTTCTCGACAACGCTTATTTTGAGGTGGATGAGATCAGGAGGCAATATCTTGCGGATGAGGCAAAGAGGCAGGAAGAGGAAGAAGAACAACTCAAGCATAAAACGTGGTAAGTAACGAGACAACTCAAGCATAAAACGTGGTAGGTAACGAGACAACTCAAGCATAAAACGTGGTGGGTAACGAGACAACAGGTTAAAAAAAAACATTACCATAGTAACCCGGATATTGTTGTACAACTTTCATAGAACTTGATTCTTCTGTCATAGATCGGAAATTGCGAGTGAAATCTCAACCACTTATACCGTACCGATTTCTTTTTTAAACATCAATTGCGACATGCAGTTTGACAAATTTAAATATCTAATAACTTCTTAAATTAAAGATTGTATTAAGTCCTAGCTTTATCGCGCTATTAAGTAAATTTTATTGGGTTTATTTACATCGCTAATTTTTTTAGCTATGAAATGTGATTCTTTTAAAAGTATTACATTTTTAATGTAATAAAGCTGTTATAAATAAGACTTTTAAATATACACAAAAAAAAGAAAATAACCTTATTTTCTTCAAATATATAACAATTCGCTACTATTTACTTTATAGTAAACGAGCCGTCCCGCGGCGTATCATACGCCGCTATTTAGTTGTTTTATTTTCTACAGTTCAGTAATTCATAGTTTGTGAATTCGACAGAACTAACGCTGCCACTGAAAATATTTGCTTTAAAACACTATCAGTAGCTCGTTAAAGGACGATAACCCCCCACCCCTTTTCCCCAACCCCAACTCCCCCCCCCCACCCCGTGTAAGTAAACTCCTCTTAGTTACCTCCCCTAAGTTTAAAATCGTTTCAAACTAAATTATCTGCCCCCAATAGCCGTCACTAAACCCGGCTCTACGAATGAAACATTTAGTGTGAACCACAGCTCACCAGACCATGTAGGGGTGGGGTGGTAGGGAGCGCGCTTACAGCTTGTTTTCTAGCGTCTCCCAGAAGAGAATTATACATATAGATTTAATTTAAAGAAAATCATTTAATTTAATTTTTTTAGTGCATACAACACTATGTTGTTATTATGTAAGTTTTTATTAAATACTTTAAACTACTTACGAATCATTGATCACATAATTAAACAGCTAAACGAAGATTTCTATCGAGTTATTCGAATTAGCGGGTTCTAAACTATAAGCCGCTAGGTAGTGTGTCAGTCAGTTGTATCGGCGACCGGGCTTCGGTACGGTGAGCATACACGGGAACGATGAGATTTTTAACTAGCCGGAACTGGCCTGGACACCGGCTAGTCAGACCGGCTAATTCCCTATAAGCAAGTTTACAGTGAGTACCAGTTTACTTTAAACTCGAACTTTCTGTTTCAGGAATCAAAACCGAGGTACTCACGTGGTTTCCAGTCAATTACGTCATCAACAGCCATTTTTACAACAACGCTCCAGACCTTTCACCTGGGATTTGATCAACAACCAGTCGATGACATTATCATCATCATCTCCGTTTCAACAGCAACTCAGCATACAACAGCCCAGTTTACAACAGCACAGCTCACAACAGCCCTGTTTACAACAGCAACTCGGCTTACAACAGCACAGCCTACAACAGCAACTCAGCTTACAACAGCCCAACTTACAACAACCTAACTTACAACAGCCCGGCTTACAACAGCCCGGCTTACAACAGCCCGGCTTACAACAGCCCGGCTTACAACAGCCCGGCTTACAACAACCTAACTTACAACAGCCCGGCTTACAACAGCCCGGCTTACAACAGCCCAGCTTACAACAGCCCGGCTTACAACAGCCCGGCTTACAACAGCCACAGCGACCAACTCAATATCCCAACCAACTCCAACAACAGGCGCATCCACCGCCCCAATCGGCGCACCCACCCCAGCAGACGGTGCACCCACCCCAGCAGACGGTGCATTCTCTGCCACCCCCGCCAACAAGTCAAAACCAACAAGCAGTTCAACCTAACGCCTGCCGGCTATCCCAACAACAACAAGTGCCACCCAACTTATGTCGGATATCAAAAATGGCGACTGTCCTTCCGCTGCAGCGATGCCCGGATGTGGGTCACGGCTCGGGGCAGCAGATGGAGGCGCACTCTCGTCTGGACAACGACCCGGCCATCATGTCCTACTCGTACAAGGCGGCGGCAGCGGCGGCAGGCAACAAATGACGGCAACCATCAGACTGCGTCTCTCCTTGCCGTCATTTGTATTCGCCTCGATAAGTGTATGGGGATTCGTGGCACGGAACATCACTTCTATGTCGAAGCCGAACCTCGCAACTAAACAGCAACGATCACACATGTTGAAAGCATCGCACACTTCACACTCTTCTACTTGAGCTGTCTTGTCACTTTGTGTCCAACTTGATGTCAGGATATCATCACACAACATCATTCACCAAGCTACGCAGGCCACGACAAATTGTCCACTCGAGTTCTTTCCCTTTTATGTTAAAACTTATTCTTTTGGAAATTTTCTAGACAAATGTATTTGTGTGGGAAGGTTTACATACTTTCAGATGTTAGCACTGGATAGCACCCAAGGATCTATGGTGATGACAATAAAATGTTATACAAGCAACAAGCCGTGTGATGTGTCACAAATGTGGTGTGGTGTTCGGGGGAAGGGGTTTGAGAGATTGTGACAGTATGTGGTTGGGTAAATGGCATTATGGGAAGGTGGTTGTGACAATCTGTGACAGGGGTAAATAGCACTGTGGGGAGTAGTCGGGGTGGTTGTGACAATCTGTGACAGGGGTAAAATAGCACTGTGGGGGGGGGGGGGGAGTCGGGGTGGTTGTGACAATCTGTGACAGTGGTGAATAGCACTGTGGGGGGGAGGGGTCGCGGTGGTTGTGACAATCTGTGACAGGGGTGAATAGCACTGTTGGAAGGGGTCGAGGAAGTTGTGACAATCTGTGACAGGGGTAAATAGCACTGTGGGGAGGGGTCGGGATAGTTGTGACAATCAGTGACAAGGGTAAATAGCACTGTGGGGGGGGGGGGGTCGAGGTGGTTGTGACAATCTGTGACAGGGGTAAATAGCAATGTGGGGAGGGGTCGGGGTGGTTGTAACGGGTAAACGGCACTCTGGGAAGTTGTCTATATATTCCAAAGTTCGATTACACTTTCAAGCTTTATTAACAACAGAGTTTATTGTTCTAGCGGTTCCGGCCAGGACTTAGCCCCGGCAGAGGTAAAAAGCTTTCACTTAGATTGACAGGTAGCTTTATGGTGGTAGGGGGAGGGATCTATTTTATTCAAATCTCCTTCATGTTGTTGCTGTTTTAAAACGTAACAACAAAAGTAGAAATTAAATACTATAAATTTAAATTAATTTAGATCCTAAAATGCAAAGATGAGAAAAGGCTCATTGCTGAAATTATTAACAAATTTAAGAATTTAAATATTTTTTACAGTTTATTCTTTATAAAATGGTGATGTAATGTAGCTTTATATATATATATATATATATATATATATATATATATATATATATATATATATATATATATATATATATATATATATCCGTTGCATAGGATCAAGCGAAAGTAAATATTATCAGCCTATCACATTTTAAAAGCATTTTGAAATTAGTAGATCAAGAAGGTGACCTAATCTGAACAGCATCCAGAGTTTATCTGAACCAGATACAAAACTTATCTGACTAAATAACTGACCAAGCAGCTGAGCTTATCTTAACTTGTTACGGAGCTTCTCGGGGACGACGTCGGCCCCCTGTGTAAACACGGCACAGTACGCTAAAGACACGTCCTCGCGATAGCTGCAAGACGTCCTGCTCTGCCACGAGTGGTTGACCCTGTCCAGCCAGGAGGACGAGATGGCCGAGTCTCCCCAGGACCTGGACAGGCCGGAGCGGTAGGCCTGCGACACGGCATCTCGCCACGTGTTGCTGTTGTAGTGGCTGGTCGAGAACGGTTTCCCGGAGAAATCGGTAGACGAGAACCTGTAGCGATCTCGTGGAGGAGACGGGAGTTTGGTCTCTGCAGGAGAGGAACTCAGGTTAAGGTCAGAGCTCTCAAAAGTCTTGATACTTGAATTGTTTGTTTCCGTGGCGACGTCTTGGTATTTGGGGGGAGATCGATACAGCAGCTTAGGTTGATTGGGTGGATCAATTAAACAGACATGAGATTGACTTGGCCGTAGTTTATGAGATGATCGAATGGAAGTCCTGTAATGGCTGGCGGCCTGGTTGTTGGCTGACACGTTCATTAGGTCCCGGCGTCTTTGGCTTCCTGTAAGACGTTCCTTTTTCTTACCCTCCTGGATCGTCGTCCTCTTCCTTGGCGACCTACCCACGGGGTCATGGTGACTGGCCCGCACGACACAGCCAGAGCCGCCTTGGTCGACCCTCGTGGTGCGTCTCAAGCTCCACCTGGACATGTGCATCACGGGCCATCCCGCCTGGTGGCTGAAGTAACATCCGGGCATGTGGGTGGTGTGCCAGCCGGCCAGTGACGTCAGGTGCCACCTGGACATGTGCTCCACCTGCCACTCCTTAGAGTGTGTCAGCTGACAGGCCTTGGTGTTAGTGGCGTGCCACTGGGTGACGGCCGAGCGGTCGCGGCTGATTCTCCAGCCCTCCTTGTAGTTCACGTGATATTTCGCCACCACCGGCGACACGTGGTAGCACGGAGTCCTGCGCCATCTTGAGCCCGCCCCTGTCATGTCATCAAAACATTTGACTGAGGAGTCATTTTTGCCCCTGGAGGTCACGTGATAGCCGTTGCTATCGGTCGTGTCGTAGGGATTTGAACTGGAGACACAGACTCGCGTTGATCTAGCTTGGATCATGTTGAGCAAGGTGCAGGTGGAATCTCACTGCACGTCAGTACACTCTGGGCGGGTCAGTGGCTAGAGAAAGATCTATGAGTCTGTTACTGTCTGCCTGTCTGCAGGGTCAGTGCTATCTGTTACTGTCTGCCTGTCTGTGGGGTCAGTGCTATCTGTTACTGTCTGCCTGTCTGCAGGGTCAGTGCTATCTGTTACTGTCTGCAGGGTCAGTGCTATCTGTTACTGTCTGCAGGGTCAGTGCTATCTGTTACTGTCTGCCTGTCCTGAAGCCTCACTGCCGAGTACCACGTATCATGTGTACCTTGTGTTGTTGTAGCTGTTATACTGTCATCTCACTAAGATTGTCCGTACATGTGTACCTTGTGTTGTTGTAGCCGTTACACTGCTATCTCACTAAGATTGTGTTGTTGTAGCTGTTACACTATCATCTCACTAAGATTGTGTTGTTGTAGTCGATACACTGTCATCTCACTAGATTGTGTTGTTGTAGCTGTTACACTATCATCTCACTAAGATTGTGTTGTTGTAGCCATTACACTGTCATCTCACTAAAATTGTGTTGTTGTAGCCATTACACTGTCATCTCACTAAGATTGTGTTGTTGTAGCCGTTACACTGTCATCTCACTAAGATTGTGTTGCTGTAGCTGTTACACTATCATCTCACTAAGATTGTGTTGTTGTAGCCGTTACACTGTCATCTCACTAAGATTGTGTTGTTGTAGCTGTTACACTATCATCTCACTAAGATTGTGTTGTTGTAGCCGTTACACTGTCATCTCACTAAGATTGTGTTGTTGTAGCTGTTAAAGTGTCATCTCACTAAGATTGTGTTGTTGTAGCTGTTGCACTATCATCTCACTAAGATTGTGTTGTTGTAGCCATTACACTGTCATCTCACTAAGATTGTGTTGTTGTAGCCGTTACACTGTCATCTCACTAAGATTGTGTTGTTGTAGCTGTTATACTGTCATCTCACTAAGATTGTGTTGTTGTAGCTGTTACACTATCATCCCACTAAGATTGTGTTGTTGTAGCCGTTACACTGTCATCTCACTAAGATTGTGTTGTTGTAGCTGTTACACTATCATCTCACTAAGATTGTGTTGTTGTAGCTGTTACACTATCATCTCACTAAGATTGTGTTGTTGTAGCCATTACACTGTCATCTCACTAAGATTGTGTTGTTGTAGCCGTTACACTGTCATCTCACTAAGATTGTGTTGTTGTAGCCGTTACACTGTCATCTCACTAAGATTGTGTTGTTGTAGCCGTTACACTGTCATCTCACTAAGATTGTGTTGTTGTAGCCGTTACACTGTCATCTCACTAAGATTGTCCACACATGTGTACCTTGTGTTGTTGTATCTGTTATACCGTCATCTCACTAAGATTTTTTATACAGGTGGACCGACTAACGGACTCATTGGGGAAGCGGAACGTTCTCGACAACGCTTATTTTGAGGTGGATGAGATCAGGAGGCAATATCTTGCGGATGAGGCAAAGAGGCAGGAAGAGGAAGAAGAACAACTCAAGCATAAAACGTGGTAAGTAACGAGACAACTCAAGCATAAAACGTGGTAGGTAACGAGACAACTCAAGCATAAAACGTGGTGGGTAACGAGACAACAGGTTAAAAAAAAACATTACCATAGTAACCCGGATATTGTTGTACAACTTTCATAGAACTTGATTCTTCTGTCATAGATCGGAAATTGCGAGTGAAATCTCAACCACTTATACCGTACCGATTTCTTTTAAACATCAATTGCGACATGCAGTTTGACAAATTTAAATATCTAATAACTTCTTAAATTAAAGATTGTATTAAGTCCTAGCTTTATCGCGCTATTAAGTAAATTTTATTGGGTTTATTTACATCGCTAATTTTTTTAGCTATGAAATGTGATTCTTTTAAAAGTATTACATTTTTAATGTAATAAAGCTGTTATAAATAAGACTTTTAAATATACACAAAAAAAAGAAAATAACCTTATTTTCTTCAAATATATAACAATTCGCTACTATTTACTTTATAGTAAACGAGCCGTCCCGCGGCGTATCATACGCCGCTATTTAGTTGTTTTATTTTCTACAGTTCAGTAATTCATAGTTTGTGAATTCGACAGAACTAACGCTGCCACTGAAAATATTTGCTTTAAAACACTATCAGTAGCTCGTTAAAGGACGATAACCCCCCACCCCTTTTCCCCAACCCCAACTCCCCCCCCCCCCACCCCGTGTAAGTAAACTCCTCTTAGTTACCTCCCCTAAGTTTAAAATCGTTTCAAACTAAATTATCTGCCCCCAATAGCCGTCACTAAACCCGGCTCTACGAATGAAACATTTAGTGTGAACCACAGCTCACCAGACCATGTAGGGGTGGGGTGGTAGGGAGCGCGCTTACAGCTTGTTTTCTAGCGTCTCCCAGAAGAGAATTATACATATAGATTTAATTTAAAGAAAATCATTTAATTTAATTTTTTTAGTGCATACAACACTATGTTGTTATTATGTAAGTTTTTATTAAATACTTTAAACTACTTACGAATCATTGATCACATAATTAAACAGCTAAACGAAGATTTCTATCGAGTTATTCGAATTAGCGGGTTCTAAACTATAAGCCGCTAGGTAGTGTGTCAGTCAGTTGTATCGGCGACCGGGCTTCGGTACGGTGAGCATACACGGGAACGATGAGATTTTTAACTAGCCGGAACTGGCCTGGACACCGGCTAGTCAGACCGGCTAATTCCCTATAAGCAAGTTTACAGTGAGTACCAGTTTACTTTAAACTCGAACTTTCTGTTTCAGGAATCAAAACCGAGGTACTCACGTGGTTTCCAGTCAATTACGTCATCAACAGCCATTTTTACAACAACGCTCCAGACCTTTCACCTGGGATTTGATCAACAACCAGTCGATGACATTATCATCATCATCTCCGTTTCAACAGCAACTCAGCATACAACAGCCCAGTTTACAACAGCACAGCTTACAACAGCCCTGTTTACAACAGCAACTCGGCTTACAACAGCACAGCCTACAACAGCAACTCAGCTTACAACAGCCCAACTTACAACAACCTAACTTACAACAGCCCGGCTTACAACAGCCCGGCTTACAACAGCCCGGCTTACAACAGCCCGGCTTACAACAGCCCGGCTTACAACAACCTAACTTACAACAGCCCGGCTTACAACAGCCCGGCTTACAACAGCCCAGCTTACAACAGCCCGGCTTACAACAGCCCGGCTTACAACAGCCACAGCGACCAACTCAATATCCCAACCAACTCCAACAACAGGCGCATCCACCGCCCCAATCGGCGCACCCACCCCAGCAGACGGTGCACCCACCCCAGCAGACGGTGCATTCTCTGCCACCCCCGCCAACAAGTCAAAACCAACAAGCAGTTCAACCTAACGCCTGCCGGCTATCCCAACAACAACAAGTGCCACCCAACTTATGTCGGATATCAAAAATGGCGACTGTCCTTCCGCTGCAGCGATGCCCGGATGTGGGTCACGGCTCGGGGCAGCAGATGGAGGCGCACTCTCGTCTGGACAACGACCCGGCCATCATGTCCTACTCGTACAAGGCGGCGGCAGCGGCGGCAGGCAACAAATGACGGCAACCATCAGACTGCGTCTCTCCTTGCCGTCATTTGTATTCGCCTCGATAAGTGTATGGGGATTCGTGGCACGGAACATCACTTCTATGTCGAAGCCGAACCTCGCAACTAAACAGCAACGATCACACATGTTGAAAGCATCGCACACTTCACACTCTTCTACTTGAGCTGTCTTGTCACTTTGTGTCCAACTTGATGTCAGGATATCATCACACAACATCATTCACCAAGCTACGCAGGCCACGACAAATTGTCCACTCGAGTTCTTTCCCTTTTATGTTAAAACTTATTCTTTTGGAAATTTTCTAGACAAATGTATTTGTGTGGGAAGGTTTACATACTTTCAGATGTTAGCACTGGATAGCACCCAAGGATCTATGGTGATGACAATAAAATGTTATACAAGCAACAAGCCGTGTGATGTGTCACAAATGTGGTGTGGTGTTCGGGGGAAGGGGTTTGAGAGATTGTGACAGTATGTGGTTGGGTAAATGGCATTATGGGAAGGTGGTTGTGACAATCTGTGACAGGGGTAAATAGCACTGTGGGGAGTAGTCGGGGTGGTTGTGACAATCTGTGACAGGGGTAAAATAGCACTGTGGGGGGGGGGGGAGTCGGGGTGGTTGTGACAATCTGTGACAGTGGTGAATAGCACTGTGGGGGGGAGGGGTCGCGGTGGTTGTGACAATCTGTGACAGGGGTGAATAGCACTGTTGGAAGGGGTCGAGGAAGTTGTGACAATCTGTGACAGGGGTAAAATAGCACTGTGGGGGGGGGGGGGGGAGTCGGGGTGGTTGTGACAATCTGTGACAGTGGTGAATAGCACTGTGGGGGGGAGGGGTCGCGGTGGTTGTGACAATCTGTGACAGGGGTGAATAGCACTGTTGGAAGGGGTCGAGGAAGTTGTGACAATCTGTGACAGGGGTAAATAGCACTGTGGGGAGGGGTCGGGATAGTTGTGACAATCAGTGACAAGGGTAAATAGCACTGTGGGGGGGGGGGGGTCGAGGTGGTTGTGACAATCTGTGACAGGGGTAAATAGCAATGTGGGGAGGGGTAGGGGTGGTTGTAACGGGTAAACGGCACTCTGGGAAGTTGTCTATATATTCCAAAGTTCGATTACACTTTCAAGCTTTATTAACAACAGAGTTTATTGTTCTAGCGGTTCCGGCCAGGACTTAGCCCCGGCAGAGGTAAAAAGCTTTCACTTAGATTGACAGGTAGCTTTATGGTGGTAGGGGGAGGGATCTATTTTATTCAAATCTCCTTCATGTTGTTGCTGTTTTAAAACGTAACAACAAAAGTAGAAATTAAATACTATAAATTTAAATTAATTTAGATCCTAAAATGCAAAGATGAGAAAAGGCTCATTGCTGAAATTATTAACAAATTTAAGAATTTAAATATTTTTTACAGTTTATTCTTTATAAAATGGTGATGTAATGTAGCTTTATATATATATATATATATATATATATATATATATATATATATATATATATATATATATATATATATATATATATATATATCCGTTGCATAGGATCAAGCGAAAGTAAATATTATCAGCCTATCACATTTTAAAAGCATTTTGAAATTAGTAGATCAAGAAGGTGACCTAATCTGAACAGCATCCAGAGTTTATCTGAACCAGATACAAAACTTATCTGACTAAATAACTGACCAAGCAGCTGAGCTTATCTTAACTTGTTACGGAGCTTCTCGGGGACGACGTCGGCCCCCTGTGTAAACACGGCACAGTACGCTAAAGACACGTCCTCGCGATAGCTGCAAGACGTCCTGCTCTGCCACGAGTGGTTGACCCTGTCCAGCCAGGAGGACGAGATGGCCGAGTCTCCCCAGGACCTGGACAGGCCGGAGCGGTAGGCCTGCGACACGGCATCTCGCCACGTGTTGCTGTTGTAGTGGCTGGTCGAGAACGGTTTCCCGGAGAAATCGGTAGACGAGAACCTGTAGCGATCTCGTGGAGGAGACGGGAGTTTGGTCTCTGCAGGAGAGGAACTCAGGTTAAGGTCAGAGCTCTCAAAAGTCTTGATACTTGAATTGTTTGTTTCCGTGGCGACGTCTTGGTATTTGGGGGGAGATCGATACAGCAGCTTAGGTTGATTGGGTGGATCAATTAAACAGACATGAGATTGACTTGGCCGTAGTTTATGAGATGATCGAATGGAAGTCCTGTAATGGCTGGCGGCCTGGTTGTTGGCTGACACGTTCATTAGGTCCCGGCGTCTTTGGCTTCCTGTAAGACGTTCCTTTTTCTTACCCTCCTGGATCGTCGTCCTCTTCCTTGGCGACCTACCCACGGGGTCATGGTGACTGGCCCGCACGACACAGCCAGAGCCGCCTTGGTCGACCCTCGTGGTGCGTCTCAAGCTCCACCTGGACATGTGCATCACGGGCCATCCCGCCTGGTGGCTGAAGTAACATCCGGGCATGTGGGTGGTGTGCCAGCCGGCCAGTGACGTCAGGTGCCACCTGGACATGTGCTCCACCTGCCACTCCTTAGAGTGTGTCAGCTGACAGGCCTTGGTGTTAGTGGCGTGCCACTGGGTGACGGCCGAGCGGTCGCGGCTGATTCTCCAGCCCTCCTTGTAGTTCACGTGATATTTCGCCACCACCGGCGACACGTGGTAGCACGGAGTCCTGCGCCATCTTGAGCCCGCCCCTGTCATGTCATCAAAACATTTGACTGAGGAGTCATTTTTGCCCCTGGAGGTCACGTGATAGCCGTTGCTATCGGTCGTGTCGTAGAGATTTGAACTGGAGACACAGACTCGCGTTGATCTAGCTTGGATCATGTTGAGCAAGGTGCAGGTGGAATCTCACTGCACGTCAGTACACTCTGGGCGGGTCAGTGGCTAGAGAAAGATCTATGAGTCTGTTACTGTCTGCCTGTCTGCAGGGTCAGTGCTATCTGTTACTGTCTGCCTGTCTGTGGGGTCAGTGCTATCTGTTACTGTCTGCAGGGTCAGTGCTATCTGTTACTGTCTGCCTGTCTGCAGGGTCAGTGCTATCTGTTACTGTCTGCCTGTCTGCAGGGTCAGTGCTATCTGTTACTGTCTGCCTGTCCTGAAGCCTCACTGCCGAGTACCACGTATCATGTGTACCTTGTGTTGTTGTAGCTGTTATACTGTCATCTCACTAAGATTGTCCGTACATGTGTACCTTGTGTTGTTGTAGCCGTTACACTGCTATCTCACTAAGATTGTGTTGTTGTAGCTGTTACACTATCATCTCACTAAGATTGTGTTGTTGTAGTCGATACACTGTCATCTCACTAGATTGTGTTGTTGTAGCTGTTACACTATCATCTCACTAAGATTGTGTTGTTGTAGCCATTACACTGTCATCTCACTAAAATTGTGTTGTTGTAGCCATTACACTGTCATCTCACTAAGATTGTGTTGTTGTAGCCGTTACACTGTCATCTCACTAAGATTGTGTTGCTGTAGCTGTTACACTATCATCTCACTAAGATTGTGTTGTTGTAGCCGTTACACTGTCATCTCACTAAGATTGTGTTGTTGTAGCTGTTAAAGTGTCATCTCACTAAGATTGTGTTGTTGTAGTCGTTACACTGTCATCTCACTAAGATTGTGTTGTTGTAGCCGTTACACTGCCATCTCACTAAGATTGTGTTGTTGTAGCCGTTACACTGTCATCTCACTAAGATTGTGTTGTTGTAGCTGTTACACTATCATCTCACTAAGATTGTGTTGTTGTAGCCGTTACACTGTCATCTCACTAAGATTGTGTTGTTGTAGCTGTTACACTATCATCTCACTAAGATTGTGTTGTTGTAGCCGTTACACTGTCATCTCACTAAGATTGTGTTGTTGTAGCTGTTAAAGTGTCATCTCACTAAGATTGTGTTGTTGTAGCTGTTGCACTATCATCTCACTAAGATTGTGTTGTTGTAGCCATTACACTGTCATCTCACTAAGATTGTGTTGTTGTAGCCGTTACACTGTCATCTCACTAAGATTGTGTTGTTGTAGCTGTTATACTGTCATCTCACTAAGATTGTGTTGTTGTAGCTGTTACACTATCATCCCACTAAGATTGTGTTGTTGTAGCCGTTACACTGTCATCTCACTAAGATTGTGTTGTTGTAGCTGTTACACTATCATCTCACTAAGATTGTGTTGTTGTAGCTGTTACACTATCATCCCACTAAGATTGTGTTGTTGTAGCCATTACACTGTCATCTCACTAAGATTGTGTTGTTGTAGCAGTTACACTGTCATCTCACTAAGATTGTGTTGTTGTAGCCGTTACACTGTCATCTCACTAAGATTGTGTTGTTGTAGCCGTTACACTGTCATCTCACTAAGATTGTGTTGTTGTAGCCGTTACACTGTCATCTCACTAAGATTGTGTTGTTGTAGCCGTTACACTGTCATCTCACTAAGATTGTCCACACATGTGTACCTTGTGTTGTTGTAGCTGTTATACCGTCATCTCACTAAGATTTTTTATACAGGTGGACCGACTAACGGACTCATTGGGGAAGCGGAACGTTCTCGACAACGCTTATTTTGAGGTGGATGAGATCAGGAGGCAATATCTTGCGGATGAGGCAAAGAGGCAGGAAGAGGAAGAAGAACAACTCAAGCATAAAACGTGGTAAGTAACGAGACAACTCAAGCATAAAACGTGGTAGGTAACGAGACAACTCAAGCATAAAACGTGGTGGGTAACGAGACAACAGGTTAAAAAAAACATTACCATAGTAACCCGGATATTGTTGTACAACTTTCATAGAACTTGATTCTTCTGTCATAGATCGGAAATTGCGAGTGAAATCTCAACCACTTATACCGTACCGATTTCTTTTAAACATCAATTGCGACATGCAGTTTGACAAATTTAAATATCTAATAACTTCTTAAATTAAAGATTGTATTAAGTCCTAGCTTTATCGCGCTATTAAGTAAATTTTATTGGGTTTATTTACATCGCTAATTTTTTTAGCTATGAAATGTGATTCTTTTAAAAGTATTACATTTTTAATGTAATAAAGCTGTTATAAATAAGACTTTTAAATATACACAAAAAAAAAGAAAATAACCTTATTTTCTTCAAATATATAACAATTCGCTACTATTTACTTTATAGTAAACGAGCCGTCCCGCGGCGTATCATACGCCGCTATTTAGTTGTTTTATTTTCTACAGTTCAGTAATTCATAGTTTGTGAATTCGACAGAACTAACGCTGCCACTGAAAATATTTGCTTTAAAACACTATCAGTAGCTCGTTAAAGGACGATAACCCCCCACCCCTTTTCCCCAACCCCAACTCCCCCCCCCCCCCCACCCCGTGTAAGTAAACTCCTCTTAGTTACCTCCCCTAAGTTTAAAATCGTTTCAAACTAAATTATCTGCCCCCAATAGCCGTCACTAAACCCGGCTCTACGAATGAAACATTTAGTGTGAACCACAGCTCACCAGACCATGTAGGGGTGGGGTGGTAGGGAGCGCGCTTACAGCTTGTTTTCTAGCGTCTCCCAGAAGAGAATTATACATATAGATTTAATTTAAAGAAAATCATTTAATTTAATTTTTTTAGTGCATACAACACTATGTTGTTATTATGTAAGTTTTTATTAAATACTTTAAACTACTTACGAATCATTGATCACATAATTAAACAGCTAAACGAAGATTTCTATCGAGTTATTCGAATTAGCGGGTTCTAAACTATAAGCCGCTAGGTAGTGTGTCAGTCAGTTGTATCGGCGACCGGGCTTCGGTACGGTGAGCATACACGGGAACGATGAGATTTTTAACTAGCCGGAACTGGCCTGGACACCGGCTAGTCAGACCGGCTAATTCCCTATAAGCAAGTTTACAGTGAGTACCAGTTTACTTTAAACTCGAACTTTCTGTTTCAGGAATCAAAACCGAGGTACTCACGTGGTTTCCAGTCAATTACGTCATCAACAGCCATTTTTACAACAACGCTCCAGACCTTTCACCTGGGATTTGATCAACAACCAGTCGATGACATTATCATCATCATCTCCGTTTCAACAGCAACTCAGCATACAACAGCCCAGTTTACAACAGCACAGCTTACAACAGCCCTGTTTACAACAGCAACTCGGCTTACAACAGCACAGCCTACAACAGCAACTCAGCTTACAACAGCCCAACTTACAACAACCTAACTTACAACAGCCCGGCTTACAACAGCCCGGCTTACAACAGCCCGGCTTACAACAGCCCGGCTTACAACAACCTAACTTACAACAGCCCGGCTTACAACAGCCCGGCTTACAACAGCCCATCTTACAACAGCCCGGCTTACAACAGCCCGGCTTACAACAGCCACAGCGACCAACTCAATATCCCAACCAACTCCAACAACAGGCGCATCCACCGCCCCAATCGGCGCACCCACCCCAGCAGACGGTGCACCCACCCCAGCAGACGGTGCATTCTCTGCCACCCCCGCCAACAAGTCAAAACCAACAAGCAGTTCAACCTAACGCCTGCCGGCTATCCCAACAACAACAAGTGCCACCCAACTTATGTCGGATATCAAAAATGGCGACTGTCCTTCCGCTGCAGCGATGCCCGGATGTGGGTCACGGCTCGGGGCAGCAGATGGAGGCGCACTCTCGTCTGGACAACGACCCGGCCATCATGTCCTACTCGTACAAGGCGGCGGCAGCGGCGGCAGGCAACAAATGACGGCAACCATCAGACTGCGTCTCTCCTTGCCGTCATTTGTATTCGCCTCGATAAGTGTAAGGGATTCGTGGCACCGAACATCACTTCTATGTCGAAGCCGAACCTCGCAACTAAACAGCAACGATCACACATGTTGAAAGCATCGCACACTTCACACTCTTCTACTTGAGCTGTCTTGTCACTTTGTGTCCAACTTGATGTCAGGATATCATCACACAACATCATTCACCAAGCAAAGCAGGCCACGACAAATTGTCCACTCGAGTTCTTTCCCTTTTATGTTAAAACTTATTCTTTTGGAAATTTTCTAGACAAATGTATTTGTGTGGGAAGGTTTACATACTTTCAGATGTTAGCACTGGATAGCACCCAAGGATCTATGGTGATGACAATAAAATGTTATACAAGCAACAAGCCGTGTGATGTGTCACAAATGTGGTGTCGTGTTCGGGGGAGGGATTTGAGAGATTGTGACAGTATGTGGTTGGGTAAATGGCATTATGGGAAGGTGGTTGTGACAATCTGTGACAGGGGTAAATAGCACAGTGGGGAGTAGTCGGGGTGGTTGTGACAATCTGTGACAGGGGTAAAATAGCACTGTGGGGGGGGGGAGTCGGGTGGTTGTGACAATCTGTGACAGTGGTGAATAGCACTGTGGGGGGGAGGGGTCGCGGTGGTTGTGACAATCTGTGACAGGGGTGAATAGCACTGTTGGAAGGGGTCGAGGAAGTTGTGACAATCTGTGACAGGGGTAAATAGCACTGTGGGGGGGGGGGGGAGTCGAGGTGGTTGTGACAATCTGTGACAGGGGTAAATAGCACTGTGGGGAGGGGTCGGGGTGGTTGTAACGGGTAAACGGCACTCTGGGAAGTTGTCTATATATTCCAAAGTTCGATTACACTTTCAAGCTTTATTAACAACAGAGTTTATTGTTCTAGCGGTTCCGGCCAGGACTTAGCCCCGGCAGAGGTAAAAAGCTTTCTCTTAGATTGACAGTTAGCTTTATGGTGGTAGGGGGAGGGATCTATTTTATTCAAATCTCCTTCATGTTGTTGCTGTTTTAAAACGTAAAAACAAAAGTAGAAATTAAATACTATAAATTTAAATTAATTTAGATCCTAAAATGCAAAGATGAGAAAAGGCTCATTGCTGAAATTATTAACAAATTTAAGAATATAAATATTTTTTACAGTTTATTCTTTATAAAATGGTGATGTAATGTAGCTTATATATATATATATATATATATATATATATATATATATATATATATATATATATATATATATATATATCCGTTGCATAGGATCAAGCGAAAGTAAATATTATCAGCCTATCACATTTTAAAAGCATTTTGAAATTAGTAGATCAAGAAGACGACCTAATCTGAACAGCATCCAAAGTTTATCTGAACTAGATACGGAGCTTATCTGACTAAATGACTGACCGAGAAGCTGAGCTTATCTTAACTTCATACGGAGCTTCTCGGGGACGACGTCGGCCCCCTGTGTAAACACGGCACAGTACGCTAACGACACGTCCTCGCGATAGCTGCACGACGTCCTGCTCTGCCACGAGTGGTTGACCCTGTCCAGCCAGGAGGACGAGATGGCCGAGTCTCCCCAGGACCTGGACAGGCCGGAGCGGTAGGCCTGCGACACGGCATCTCGCCACGTGTTGCTGTTGTAGTGGCTGCTCGAGAACGGTTTCCCGGAGAACTCGGAAGACGAGAACCTGTAGCGATCTCGTGGAGGAGACGGGAGTTTGGTTTCTGCAGGGGAGGAACTCAGGTTAAGGTCAGAGCTCTCAAAAGTCTTGATACTTGAATTGTTTGTTTCCGTGGCGACGTCTTGGTATTTGGGGGGAGATCGATACAGCAGCTGAGGTTGATTGGGTGGATCGATTAAACAGACATGAGATTGACTTGGCCGTAGTTTATGAGATGATCGAATGGAAGTCCTGTAATGGCTGGCGGCCTGGTTGTTGGCTGACGTGTTCATTAGGTCCCGGCGTCTCTGGCTTCCTGTAAGACGTTCCCTTTTCTTACCCTCCTGGATCGTCGGTCTCTTCCTTCGCGACCTACCCCCGGGGTCATGGCGACTGGCCCGCACAACACAGCCAGAGCCGCCTTGGTCGACCCTCGTGGTGCGTTTCAAGCTCCACCGGGACATGTGCATCACGGGCCATCCCGTCTGGTGGCTGAAGTAACATCCGGGCATGTGGGTGGTGTGCCAGCCGGCCAGTGACGTCAGGTGCCACCTGGACATGTGCTCCACCTGCCATTCCTTAGAGTGTGTCAGCTGACAGGCCTTGGTGTTAGTGGCGTGCCACTGGGTGACGGCCGAGCGGTCGCGGCTGATTCTCCAGCCTTCCTTGTAGTTCACGTGATATTTCGCCACCACCGGCGACACGTGGTAGCACGGAGTCCTGCGCCATCTTGAGCCCGCCCCTGTCATGTCATCAAAACATTTGACTGAGGAGTCATTTTTGCCCCTGGAGGTCACGTGATAGCCGTTGCTATCGGTCGTGTCGTAGAGATTTGAGCTGGAGACACAGACTCGCGTTGATCTAGCTTGGATCATGTTGAGCACGGTGCAGGTGGAATCTCACAGCACGTCAGTACACTCTGGGCGGGTCAGTGGCTAGAGAAAGATCTTTAATCCGTCCTGCAGGGTAAATAGTCCATTTCTTTCTAGCCAGTTGCTTGCTTTAGTTGCTCTTCTTCAACCTGAGTTCTCAAACACTGCACTTGTCAAAGCTGAAAAAGATTGAAGGCTTTTGTATTCACTCTTTAACAACTGTAGGGACTGTTGTTTCTAATTAGGAGACCTTGCAGACGGCTGGTGCTTAGTTGTCGGTGTCTCGTGCATTGTGTGTGTGTGGGGGGGGGGGGGGGCTGTTTGTCAGCAAGTTATAACGTGTGGGGAGAGGGGGGGGGGGGGGCTAGTATGAGTTTTAGCGTGCCTTGGGCTGTCAGTTTAAGACAGTCCGTAGCACGGATGGCTAGGAATCAGGAAAAAATTATAGGCACCAAATGCTTTCATTGAATGATACGTGTCATTTTGGGGGCATCAACGAGGTTAACCGCACTAGTCCAACAAATAACCTAGCTACGCCACTGGTTTAACACTGTTGCTCTTCATACCACACCCCAAATGCAACAAAATTAAGTTTGAAAAAGGTACTTTACACTCTTAAATTATGTATAGGATTTATTGTGCTTGTCTAGCTAAACAAATATTTAGCTATAGCTAATTAATGAGTAATTAATTAATTTTCTTGTAAACATCAAAGTACTAGTTATTCACCTGACTTCTACTCTAGCAATAAAACACTGGCCACTAACCACTATTTTCGAATACGTTTTCGTCGATAACGATACTTACCTTAATCTCTTTCGCTTAAAGTATCGTTGCTTGCGAAAATCAGTAGTTAGCTTTTTGGGTCTAAATACTATTACTAACCTATGCTAAAATAATTTGATTAGAGTTTAGAATGAGATGGTACTAGCGGTATTTTCAGTATTTAATTTTAGATTCGGTAATTAATAGATCTATATAATAACAGTTCGATGCTGCAATACAGTAAGTCTAGTTAAAACTACTTGATTCTGGTATACTACATCTAGCTGGATATGTTTTTGGTAAGGAAACTACTGGTTGGCGCCGAGGTTTCTAGAAGGTTTACGGCTACATGATGTTTATTGTTTTAAAAACAAGGAAGTTATTGCTTGTCTGGATCAGCCATTTTTTAAAAAGAGAGTTGCGGAAATTTACATGACGTCACTTCCTGTGAGTTTCTAGTACCCAAAGTTTTTAAAATGCAATTTATTTTCAGATTTTTATTTTTATTATTACTTTCTCGTATATACGAAGTATAGAGAAAGTATTGTAATCGTGCACAAAAATCACTTGAAATTTTAACAATTTTCACCGTACTACACCTCAGTCCTTCATCACATCCGAAGTATAGAGGACTTATTTTAATCGGGCAAAAATTATCAATCCAGATTTATCAAAATTAAGAGGTTTTGATGCCTAATCCAGTCTGAAAAACTGGGCTTTGCAATTCTGTCCGTATGTCTGTGTGTGTGTGTGTCTGTCCGTGTGTAAACACGATAACTTGAGTACCGTTACAGCTAGGTTGATGAAATTTCATATATAAGTATTTTATCAAAATCGTAGATCCGTATCAACTTTTGAGCGATTTCCGATAACCGGAAGTTGTACTTTTTCTACTTTGAATTTTTCAAAAGCCTATAACTTGAGTACTATTTCAGATAGATAAATGAAATTTCACATGTAAGTATAAGATCTAATTCTCTACCTTCTGTCAAATTTTGAGTAATTTCCGTTGCCCGGAAGTACTAATTTACGCTACTTCCGATTTCTCAAAAAACTAATGTAAATTTTTAAAGTACTAATAATATTGCGCACTATTATGCACTTTTTTATTTGGCGTTCACTTGGTGTGCAATCTTTTTTCTACGAGATTTTATTCTATTTTTAAAACTTTAAGTATTTAAAATGGATTAAAAATCATGTCTATAGCCCGAGTTCCCATCCCCTGTTATTTTATATAAGAATATTCGAGAAAGTTTAGGGGAGATCACTCCCGGTTTATTTTTATTTTGGATGCAGCAGTGAATTTGTTAGAGAGGTTATTTTTAAAATTAGAGTGGTTTATTAAATTATTTTTTTTAAAAACCGGGTGGAATATTTTTTTAACATGAATGTGTTTCTAAAAACTTTTTTGTCAGGTTTTTTGTCGGACATATGGTCTTCTTTCTCAAATGAAACCATTGTTGTATACATCAGTAAAAAAAAATACAAGATCCATAGGGAAAAATAGGATTTTGAGGTAGTGACCTCCACCATACAGACTGAAGGTCACTCTATCATTGGCTGCAGACGGGCAGGACTGTTGTACAATATCATATTCAAACAACAGCCAGTATGTATGTGTACAACAGCCAGCATGTGTATGTGTTCAACAGCCAGCATGTGTATGTGTACAACAGCCAGTATGTATGTGTACAACAGCCAGCATGTGTATGTGTTCAACAGCCAGTATGTGTGCTACATAAACCACTTACTCACACTCCCTCTCGAGAATACCTATTAGAACCTCAACATTATATACATGCGTAGTAAGAAACCTGAAATTGTATAAAATAGAAATGGAGAATTAGAGAGAACTGGATCAGATTTCTTACTTTGCCAGGCATGGACAGTGTAGACCAACCTTATTCCCCTACCCCAAACACTTACGGTTGGTGTTAACATTGGGATCTATTTGTCATGGACGAAGTGTAAAGAGAAGTCGACTTCCAACTTTGGTTTTGAGCATGGTATAATGGGGAGGGGAGCTGGCTTCAATATTACATTTATTCATAGTATAGTGGTCTCCCTTTATTTGTGTCCACAAATACTACTACCGTACCTCCTTGCCGGTCAAGGCATTCTTTTAGGTAGAAATTACTTTGTGGGCAGTTTTTAATCAGTGAAATATGGTTAGTCAGTGTATCAGGCACCCAGAGCATACTCCTACAGAAATTTCCCAACAATTCAAAAAACTTGTCCTCATCTGCCTCAGCTCAACATTCAGTCAACTAAATATAAAAAAATGACTCAAAATGCCAGATAATGCATTTATTTAATTTGTTTACACCATTAACCAAATAATAGTAAATAATTTAACACATTCAAAAACAGTATCCTTTAAATAGTTATATTTTCTTCTCATGGTAGTCTACCAAAAGCTTAACAAGTTGTCATTCCAATTTTGAGTAGAATAAATGCAAGATTTAAGTTATGTTTATAAATTGTACAGTTGTAGGTGCAAGACCAACACAAACTTGTTCATCATGCAATGCATGCAGTTATTCATCAATTGCACCAAACAATATTTTGCATCCTTTAACAAACTACTGTCACAGATTAGGTATTGAATAATACTGGCTCACTAAGCTACCTTGACTTTGCCAGTTGGTTCTACTATAAAGTTGGTAGCATTTGATTTTTTATAGTTTCAATTTAAGCAGTTTTTAACATTTAATAAATCTTATTTCAAGCAGAAGATATTTAAATTTTAAGAAACAAAAAATGTGTTGTTTTAAAAAAAATGTTTTAAAACCTTTGACATTAAAACTATTGCTTATTATTTTGTAAAAATGACTAAAATAATGCAATTTAAAATTGAACAGACATACTTTATATAAGATAGAGTTTACCAGTCTGAAACAAATATCTCATAGATAAATGAAAATCTCACATCCGTTGAGGTGTTTTTTGTATATCCAGTTTACTGTTGACAGAGATTGACTTAACAATATTTATCAAAACCTAGCTGTTACAATACATCCATTGTTTCAAAATCATCACAGTTATTTTATTTTGAATTTCATTGATTAGGAAAAAGAAATCTTACAAAAGAGTCATTTAAAAACGAAGTAAAATGATGAATCTTAATTTTTTTTAAATGTGCTGATCCACTGTCCTAATACAAAGAACTTGTGGGGGACAGGCAGGCCAGCAACCCCTACCATTTCCCTCCTTTTCCAGCCTTCTTCTTCTTTTTGTTGGCTTGCACAGGCTTTTGTTGGCGTGGTCCCTGGGGGATAGGTGTGGGGGTTGGGGTAGACTGAGGGGAGGACGTACTAGCAGAGGGGCGAGGTGATGCCGCTTCACTCGACACTGATTTACTTGCATCTCTGTCAACAAACATTTTCATGTCAATCTTTGGTAACAACAAGCAAAAGGCATCATCTGTTTTTAATTCTTAGGTGCAATGAAATAAGGCACATAACTCAACATTTTCATTTAATTATACTTTGGTATGAGAATCAAGGCACATAACTCTACATTTTTATTTAATTCTCTTTAGGTATTAAGAAACAAGGCACATAATTTTTAAACTACAAGGAAATAAATTCTGTTAAAACTTACAAAGAATCTGCCAAAGCTTGAGTAGCAGCAGTTAACCCTTGGGTACCTTTACCTGAAAACATTCACTTTTTGGTACACAAATGTAATCATAATATTTTCATTTTAAACATACCCAACATTATAAGAAAAAAAATTGCATATAATTTTCATGATTATATTTTAAATCCAGATAATTATAAATAATTATCATAAATATTCCAAATTGTAGCAGTTTTTTTACAAGCTATGACTAACCTATTTCCTTTCTTTTATCCTTTCTTTTGCCTCTGTAGTATGATCTTTCTTTTCGAGGTAACCATCTTTCTGGGTCAATATCACTACCTGGTTTGCAGTTTTTAGGTAATTTTCCTAGTGAAATGGAAAATTTAATGAATAAATTGTATTTATTAATTGTTTAAAATCATATTTATGATTTCTTCAATCTTTTTTAAACATTTTTCCAAAAACAAACAGCTTGTGTGGTCCAGTAAAGATAGTTAAACACTGAATTTTATGTCATAGGTATTACTTATTGTTATAGTAATAATTGAAAAAGATGCTAGAGTTAGTGGAAAAAGGGTGCATCGCCATCAGTAACCAATTAAGTATTTCTTACAAATTATTTCATACCTTTCTTCTTCTTCCTTTGTTTTTTCTTTTGCATCAGCGCATCTCCTGACTTAGTATCCCCAGATCTAGTGAAATAAAAACTTTACGTAAGACAAATCCTACTGCTTGAGCATTTGCTATTATTTAAAAATTGATTCCATAAGTAATGATGGTGTATGATGAGTTTCTTCAGCACTCCAGTGGGAACTCCATAAATTCTGGAGTAGTAAGTATGAAGATCAAACACAAACCAAGTTTATTGCGAGTCAAATGTTTTCCTTCCACATGGCAAACCAAAAAGAGAGTACCCTAAAACATGAAAATCATAAAAAATAAAAAATGACAAAAAACTTACGCCCCAGGTGAGGCCTCTCCCTTCTGAGGTTGTAATTTCTTCATGTATTTTGGCCCTAAGGTGCTGAATGACGCTTCCAAGGCATCCACATCTAGGCCAGCAATAATCTTGACAACAGATGGTAAATCTTTGCTAATTCTACGACGTAGTTAAGGAGTTTTATACTAAATATAACGCAATACTTCGTTTTAAATAAAATATCCTGTGTTAAATTATTTTTGAAAACTTTTGTTTTACAATTATTAATTGTTTAATTTTTTAAATTTAACTTTTCACACAATCGTAACACCATTTTGACAAATATTTAAAATTGCAGTGCAGAAATAAAGTTGCTAAGAAAATGGTCAAACAAAAACAAAAGTTGATCTGAATAAAAATCAATCCTAAAGGATACTGTTGAGCTTTTGCTGCATCGAACTGAGAGTAGGATGATATCAACTGCGCTAATACTAAAGCATCATTAGGATTTGCTCTGGAAAAAATCCAAAAAACAGAGGTTATGTCTGGTTGTTAACAATAACAAAACATGGCTTGTACAACTATCCTCTTTCCATTTAACTAATTAAATAAACAGTAAAATAACTGTTGAATATTTAGTTTTAGCCCAAAAGAAAACATCACATACTTGCGTAAATCCTCTAACATCTTAGCAGCCTCTTCTGGTTTTCCATTCCTTAGCTGGAAATCTGCATTTGCTCTTGTTAATGTCAACAGACTAGAAGATTTGGGCTAGAAAATAAAGGTTACTTTAAATGTCATAATGACAAAGTGTTGAGAACATTTTTTTAACAATAAGGTGTATACAAAATAGTTTATAAAATAATTTTTCTAGATGGGAACACTACATGTGGTCAAATTACATTTACAAATGCCCACTAAAAAATAAAAAAATTTCCAATGATTATTATAATTAGGCTGTATTTAAGTTTAAAGACTTATTTTGAGTATTCTGTAATAATGATGATCTCATCTTACCTCATTCTTTTTGTACCAATTAACAGCATTAATTAGAACTTCAGAGGCAGCATCCTTGTCCTCTTGACTAAGATACAATGTCACTAGAGTGGATACCTAATTTAAAGAAAAAAGTATGTATGTCTATCAAATATTGTTCTGCACATCAATAATTCAAGATTTTGTGGATGTCTCTTGAGACTACTCTAAATCAGTTATTTCACTTACAATGCCCAACTTATAAGCTTCATTTCCTAGAGCTTTTAGTGCCTCACACGCTTGGTAAACGCTACCCTGGTTCAAGTAGAGCTGGGCTATTATCAAGTGAGTCTTGGAGGCCATCTCAGGATGACTTTGTACATAACCCTAAAGAGAGACAATATACACTTGAGATAAGAAATAAAAGTATAAATCATTCAAATTTTGTAAAAATATTTCATCTTTGTTTATTAAAGTACATAAATCTAACACCAATACAGAGGTCCAAAGTTTACCTTGAGCAGATTAACAGCTTCATCAATCTTTTTGTCTCTGATAAACTGGGCAGCTCTGATTAATAGGGGGGCATGTAGAGATGGGTACTGGTCCATCAGCTTCTTAGCCAGCTGGTGGCATTGTTCACCCTAGGGAGATACCAAAGTTATCAGTTACTTTTGGTCATATTATTAAAAAAACATAACATGGAGACAAACCAAACAAATATGTTAATTAGATCAGGTTAGATTAATACCTGTAATGTTTTTTTTAAAAAGGCCATTACCTGATTGGAGTACAAGTGTACCAGACACTGGTTGATGTCAATGTGCTGACGTTGGGCTGTCACAGTTTTGTGTTTAAGATTATCACCTGTTGCTGCCTTTATTTTGCGCTTTGAGTCAAAGATGTTTTGATCCTAGAAAATTGTTAAAAGAATGTTAACTAAACAAACAACAGGCATGCAACAGTTATACTGTATTTTAAAATAAGCATCAAATATGGAAAACTTATTTTAATTGGCTAATTTACCTTTAACATTTAATGAAATATACTAGTTCCAATTAAATATTCTATTATTTAAAGCGTACAATTGTTGCTTTCATTTTTCAAACTCGAATGATAAGTTTTCAGAGAGAGTAAAGAGCTGAATGTAAATCACCTTGTTGATTGTCACAACATTATTAGAAACAACTGCAATCAGGCCTGCATCTGAGGGTTTTGTTTTTAAAACTTGGTTATACAACTGGGAAGCTTGATCATTTTTGTTTTGACGCTGGAGAATGTAGCCACGTTGTACCCTAGGAATTTTATTAAAAATTATACTCATGTATAATGTTTGTACACAGGCATTAAATTGTGACTGATGATTCCTTTACTATTAAGAGCATTACTACTAAATATATAAACACCTTATGATGGCCAATTCTTCATCTAATTCCTCTTCAGTTATATCCCCATCACTCTTTAATAGTTCTGAAAGATATACATTTCACTTATTGTTTAAGGAAAAGAATAAGAATATGGGGAAAAAAAATAGACAATCGCCTGTAGAATTTGCAAAAAAAGCTTCAATATGTTTATTATTCTTAATAAGCTCATACATAAACAATGGAAAATTAGAGGATAAAAATTAACAGGCAAAATTTCCTGATGAGATCAAATACATGACTTACCTTCAGCCTTGTCTAGTTTCTCTAAAGCTGTCTTTAGATCCCCCTTCCCAAGATAATAACAAGCATTGTTGTAGCAGATTTCATAGGAACTCTCATCTGTATTTAGTTCACCCTAGAAGTAACAAAAACATGCTCTTTAAATTGTCAAGAAAATGGTGAAACAACAGGCAGCACCTTAAAAAATGACCTTTTTCAATAAAACTATGAGAGCTCACCATGTCTTTTTGATTCCACATTTGAAGAGAAGCAACAACTGCTGCCATGTTAGTCTGTCTCTCAGAGTCAAAATCATCCTATAAAATATAATCCAGAGTTTTATGGTAGTATAAATGTGCTAAAAACAATAATTATAACTGAAATCGTACTACATACTGAAGATGATTTTTTTTTAATGATACAGGCCATAAGATTTTGACAAATCAACATGTAAATGTGTGATTTAATTTTGACATCTTCAGTTTTTAAAAAATTGTAATTTTGCAGACATCTTGCACTAGTTAATTTGCAGGTGAAATGCCTGTTTACAGAGAGCAACAAAGATTAAATTACCAACAAATACATGCTAAACATAAATTGTAACAATACCTACTTACATTTCCTAAGAATATCATTTCTCACTATGGTTATTTCTTTTAGTGTTTTATATATATACGAGCCGACCCGCAGCATATCTTACGCCGCTATTTAGTTGTTTTATTTTCTACTTTTCAGTAATTCATAATTTATGAATTCGACAGTACCAATGCTGCCACTGAAAATATTTACTTTAAAACACTATCAGTAGGTCGTTAAGAACGATACTACCCCCACCCTCCTTCCCCCAACCCCTACCCTACACCTCCCCCCCCCCCCCCCCAGTGAAAGCAGCCTCCTCTTAGTTACCTCCCCTAAGTTTAAAATCATTTCAAACTAAATTATCTGCCCCTAATAGCCGTCACTAAACTGGGCTCTACGAATGTAAACCACAGCTCACAAGACCATGTAGGGGTGGGGTGGTAGGGAGCGCGCTTACAGCTTGTTTTCTAGCGTCTCCCAGAAGAGAATTATATATATAGATATTTTTTTTTAATTGAAATAATAGTTCAGTTATTTTATATGTTTCATATTACTTTTAATAGTTATATGTTGATTATTAAGCTATTTTGACTTTAAAATAATAACTAAAACTAATTTCCTGCATAATGCTTTATATTTTAAAATATTTTTTTAATAAGTGTCTGGTTGAAACAGATTGTCATTTGCCTAGATAATAAACGATTCATACACTAAATTACAATTCTGTTGGTTCACACATACAATAATGACCAAAAAATTATTCTCACTTGGGAATTTTTGATGACGTCCCTATACAAGCTGTTACACTCTTCATATTCCTCAATTCTGTAAAGCTTTAAAAAAAAAAGTAGCATTAATTAAAATAACCCTCTTTAACTAAATAAAAGCAGCCTAATACTTTTCTAATGTAGATATAGATGACAATAATGGGGGATTTAGCTTCAGAGTATTGCTAATAATATTTTAAGAATTAAAGTAGGAGTTGGGCTAAGTGTTATCACTGGGGTTCACATAATACTGAATTCATTGTTATTTACATTACAAAGTAAACTATGAATAAAACTTAAAATTTCAAAATTATAGTGAATAAAAGCTAGATCGGCCCATATGATTTTATTAACTGTTAATAAAATACAACTATAAAACCAGGAAACAAACTTACAACTTGGCATAGAAGTTCTTTGCTTCTGGTGTCATGAGAAGTAATAGATCTTAAAGTATTCAAAGCTTCATTAGTGCGATTCAACCGATATTCACAATAAGCTTTTTCAAACTTCAGAGACCTAAAACACAAAAATTTAAAGGTTAAAAAAAGAAACTGAAAATATATTTCAAAATCTCACAAATAGTTACATTAGTTAAAAATAAAATAACAAAGTTAAGCCATCTCACAAATTTCAAGTAAAGTCTTAGGCTCAAATAACTTGTAATACCTTAACAGAAAAACTGATGTTACCAGCAGATAGGAGATATAACTGTGTTAAAATACGCGATAGGTGATTTGGCTGGAATGTGGATTATTAATATTGTTGATAACTTAATTCGTATTTTATAAAAACTAGATTGTACTTGTATCTGTTACAGATAACCTTTGTTGGTCAAAGAGGAACGTGGTACGCTTTTGATATGCTTGGTTGCATTCAAAATAAATTGTGCATAGCAATGTGCTATCACTCCAGCTGTGAGTTATGTTGTCTGTCAGGGATCAGCCCTTAAATGCACTACCATCAGTGGGTGACAATTCACTGATTCACTTGCTTCCCCACTGAGGAAGTGTTAACAACCAATAAAAGAAAGGCAGCTGAGCATAATGATAACCACACAATCCTTTGAACAGCTGAAATAGTTCACTAACATTGTCAAACAAAAAATCCATAAATTAGAAAGAGTAGCTCTTGGAATTAATTAATTTTATACAGAAAAATTTGAAAGTAATCTAATATTTAACTTAAGCTACTCTGTAAATGTACAAAGTGGTTCTACTCATTATTAACATACCCAGAATGATTTTTGTCTTTGTTGAGGGCAGTTAAAGCTTCATCAAAACGATCCAAGAGAAGAAAGCTGACAATTTTACAGTTGAAAGCAGAAAATTCATCTGGATATTGCTGTAAAACTAAAAACAAACACTCCTTTATTTAAATGTGATGATTGAAAATCTTTTATTAATACAATTGAAGAAAAATATATCAATAAAATTAGTCCTAAAACATTTCTGCTTAAAAATAAATAGGAAGACCTACACTAAAATGTATCTCAACAATGAACTGTTCCCATCTAAGGTTGTATTTTTTTAACCACCACCTGACAACAAACTCATCTATTCCAATTAATGCTATTAGCAAGCCTTATAAAAGTAAAATTAAGTAGGTCTACAAACAGTATTTTTAACCCATGTCCAACAACCAATTTTTGTATTTCTTTTACTTCTGCTTATTTTGCGCTTAATTTTGAATAAAGATCATACATACGACATAATTCAATAAATTGAATTTTAGTATTATTTGGAGGGGGGGGGTGACAAATTTTAGAGAGAGAGGGAAACTACATTTGAAGGTTATTTTTAGAAAGTTAAAACTCCATGCAAAAACTGTGTTTCTTAAATTTTGGACTATAACCCAATTATTTTTTCTGACATAGAAACAGACAAATCTTTCATTTATAATTTCACATTCAATTTATGATGAGGTCACATCCAGTTCACAGCCAGATGAGAATGTAAGAGATACTCCGTGTAATGCCGATATCAAGGATAGTTTTATGTTTATTTAAACGAGAATAGTAGTTGAATAAATATTGAACAAGAAAATAATAGGCATTGCATCAAGCGAATATCGCTTGTATCGTTGTAATGTGAATGCTCATGGTAGTGGTATTCTTTAAACGGTCGTAGATCGCGTCAGGTCAAACAATACCCTCTCATAGCAACCCTAACAATCATGTATAAATGGGTCATCTAGTCCATTTAGGTCTTTGTGCTAAAATTTCTCTTTGGGCATTTTTCTATTTGCACTTATTTCTATGCGCTTTTTCTGGTTGCGCACAAGGAGTAGTTCTCTATAAGATCTGCAAAAAAATAAGCAAGCAGACTAATAACTTCCAGGTCTTACAATTGTTAGCGCTATAATATAGTATTACTTGCTACCCTGGAAGCGTGGCTGGTTGCTAACAAATATAGAACGTTCAGAACAGTGAGACCAGATGCATGACTTCTTGATTTTTCGTCTTAGTTCCAGTGACATTCTTAGAATTGCTTTTAAAAATGTTTACCATGAGCTAAATGGTGGTTTTTTATGTTATAAAAACAAGCTATAGGCCCGGGTGGCAGGGCTAGCCAGAAAAGCATTTTCTCAGCCCCCCTGAGTCATGTTTAAATTCAAATTGAAAATTGAATAAATTTTAGATTTAGTGAGAAAATCTACTACGGCGGCAACATACGGAAAGTGGTCAAAATCTAGTCTAGATCTTGATCTATATTTCTGTGGTTCAGTTGGTAAAGTTAAAGTTAGTTTAGTAGGCCTACAGTTTTAAATGTAACTTGTGTCAGTCAAGTGACTCAAGTCAGTAGTGAGTTGAGTGGCCCAGTCAGTGGGAACCAGACACTGAGACAGCAGTCAGTTTTAGTTTTGTTCAAAAAAGATTTTGAGACCAGAAAAAATGTAAGTACTTTATTAAAAGTCAACATCTATAGTGTAATTACTTTTATTAGCTATTCGAATAGCTTTTTCGTATTCTTGTTTTTGTCCACAACGATTCAAGTCTGCATATAAATTGGTTAAACTACTAGCAGATGCTGCTTGCGCCATGGTGGCAGACACTGCCGGAGTTTAGTTGTGGTTTGTCTAATACCGAAATACGACGTTTATTTCAGTTTCATAAATGACTATAACACCATAACTAAGTCTTTACATTTTAGGCTAGGCTAAAGAATTAAGGCATTAACCTAGTCATCATGATGGCCAAAGATCGAGCTGACAATTCGAATAGGTCATTTCAATTCTCATTTCTTCGTCTTTTTATGTTATTTTTTTGTGTGAAATGTAGTGAACTATGCCAAATCTTGTAAACTTATTTAATCTAATCTAATGCATTTACATCCAGACACATTCATATCCTGTAAGAATGCAATATAGTCCATTTTCACTCTAATTAATTAGTCATAAATTAGTCAATAAAATTTATTTTAAACATTAATAAATGCAATAATAGAAAGATAAAATTAAATTTTTAATACCAGCAAATATTCGATCAGCTGGCGATGGCAGCCGTTTCTTTGATGCATCTATTCCGGGCAGAGTTTCTTCCAGTCATCTTTCGGGACTTTATAGAGAAAACAAATACTTTTACCACTGTCCGCCCCTCCCCCCCCCCCCCCCGAAAGTGCGCTCGTGTTGCTTTGTTTACAACTTCAAACTTTTTAATTTTATATAAACAAACACTACTTTTACGCTATTTAAATCAATAGCCTAAATACAAAACACGTATACAGGGGTGGACATCAGTGTTTCTTCCAGACTTTTTTCTCCGGGGGGGCACTTGAAATTTTCGGGGGGGCGGTAAACTTTCTTCGGGGGGGCGGACACTGTTAAAAGTATATATTTTCTATATAAATTATATAAATTTCATTTCGTTCGGGGGGGCGGTAACAATTTTTCGGGGGGGGCAAAGCCCCCCCGAAGAGATGCCTGGAAGAAACTCTGGGTGGAATGGCCCGCCGGTCTACCGGGGAAAATCCCGGTGTGTCCCATAGAAACGGTACTATACAGGCTATTACTATTAGTATTTTGGTTGTAAAAAAAAAAAAAAAAAAAAAAAAAAAAAAAAAGATTGAGTCGCGTAAATTTCCATTCAGCTGAGGATGATCATCCGGCTTTGATGGGAAAAATGCACAATGAAAATGTTAATCTGAGGTTGGTGGTCCCTTTTAAAATTTCCCGGGCCTAGATCTTGGACACTGTCAGTCCACCCCTGGACATCTACATCAAAAGTGGTCTTAAGATGTATGCGTATTTGTCTGCAGCCAATATGTCGGAATCCAATTTGACGGGATCGCATTTATCGTGACCCAATAATCGGTGATAATGACGGGATCCGTTTTGTCGGGAGCCTTATTGAAGGAAGCGGTGTCGCTAAAATTCGGATTTCACCTGGCTCGGTGACTATGGGTGTCGTCGCGCCCGTATGTCCTCCATCAATCTTGCTTTTTTTTTTTTTGGGCCGAAGTAACATATTTGTCTTAATTATTCCTTACTTAAATTGGATTTAAAAAATGTGAGAGTATATACGATGTTTCGATTTGCTGTCACCTTATTAATGCTCCCCGTGTCTCCGCGCCACCGCCCCTTGACATTAGTGTTGACGCAAGCCTATATGACAAAGTAGAGCGATTTTTTTTCTAAAGTAGACTGCATTTAAAGATACATTACTATTATTATATAGGCCTACATGATAAGATTGAGTCGATTGAGAATGATACAAATTAAGCTTATTTATTGATGAGGGGTTAGATATAAAGAAAACCACTCTACTGTGCCCAGAGCCGGCGTTGGGGGGTGGCGAACGGGGCGGTCGCCATAGGCCCCGCGCTTGAAGGGGCCCCGCGCTTCAGCACTGTCATTGTTATCTGAATGAGTTCGTAAACTTAAAAAAATTGTTGCTGAATTCAATTGGGAAAAACTAAATGGTCGAATGCCGACGTTGTTGATTGTTATAACCGAGGCCACGGTTGATGTTGGTGAGTCCCACCTGAACTGGGACAGGCCGTAATTCGATACAAAAATAGTGTCACGCCTTCCCTTTGTGTAGGGTACGGTCGCCTGGCATTTGACCTGATCAGCTGACTGGAGATGGCGGTCGAGAATCAGCCCACGACGTAAAGAGATACCCTATTGTATGCGGACCCATGAAGACGTCCTTTTAGTGAGCAGACGGGACCGTTAGTGACCTGACTTTCTTGTTGTAGATGTCGTATAATGTCGTATATGTACAGTGTTTCTTCCAGACTTTTTTCTCCAGGGGGGGGGGGGAGGGGCACTTGAAATTTTCGGGGGGGGGGGGGGGTGGTGAGAGGGGCGGTAAATTTTCTTCGCCCCCCCCCCCCCCCCCCCGAAGAGATGCCTGGAAGAAACTCTATATGTAGGCCTACTTGTCTTGTCGGGGAGATGAGGCTCGTTAGCTGGGGACAGCCACTCTTCTAGGAGAGACAACTCCAAAATTAAACAACTGCTGCCTTGTAGTTTGTTCTTGGTTGGACAAAGGCTATGGAAGAAAATCCAAAAAGAAAAGCAGGCTGAAATCGGAGTCAATGGCCTCAATGGCGCATAACCAGTTGACACGTAACGCTTAATTGTGTTGGAGGCGTGGTCGAGTCGGCAAAAAACTCATGGTTGATAAATTCGAACAAAATCTCGAGTTCAAACCCTCTGGCAGATATATCTCGATCCCCTTCAACACTAATAATTAAGAACGAAGAAGAAGAAGGTATAACAAAGTTAACATTCAGTTGCGTGCAGAGGGGTGGGAGGAGGGCGACGAGGGGGGGGGCGCCTTAGGATCTATATCAGGCCAGGGGCGGAACTACCATACCGCCAGACCCCGCAGTGCGGGGGGGCCCAGGACATTTAGGGGCCCATTTCCGACCAAAAAACAATAAAAAAAAATTTCAAAAATTATGTTTTCCATGCATCTTAAAAGTGGTTTTGTAAAAAAAAAAAAAAAAAAAAAAAAAAAAAAAAAAAAAAAACAGGTCTTCTATAGCAGAGATTGTTGCGTAGAAAAATATTTTAAAATCTCCAAGGGCTATAGTCTGAAAGGTAGGCAAACATTCACACAACTTCCATGACTTACTGCCCTTCTTTAAAATAGGGATGCCCACGAATCTCATTTACATAGTTTTGTACTATGTATAGTAAAAAGCAAATGATTCTCTGAATTGTTATTTAAATAAGACGTACTAAACAATGGTATAGATATAAAAATCAATGTTTTCAAAATTGATATTATAAAAGCCAAAAATGAAAAAAATAAACATAACGCGAGAAACCATTCACGAATTAAGCTTACGTCTTTATATATTTTTGACCCGTTTAAAAATAAGGTTAAAAGAGATAAAAAATGTGTCTAGTTCAGGGGTCGGCAACCTGCGGCTCGCGAGCCGCATGCGGCTCTTTTGGTGTCCAGTTGCGGCTCTTCAGCTCCATGCACAAATATTAATAATTATTTTTATTTTCTTTCAAAACTCATAAAAAATATTAGACTGCAACACTCGGTAGTAAACGATAAAACAAAAGATATAAACAATAAACATTCACTATTATATTATAATATTTAGTTACTCCCTATCTCAATGTACTTCCTATTACATTGTCCATTCCGAATTGAAACATCCAACTTCATAGTGGATATCACAAAGAAACTAAACCAGCTAAGTGTAAAACTGAAAGAAAAACCCGGACTATGTCTTGCTTGAAGAAGTGGTTTGTTTCGGTGAGCGGTAAATTACTAAATTACGAAAAATCCGAAAAAATATCGTTATAAAACCAATTCTACTATTCAATCACTTCAGCATTAATATAAACAAAATGAAGGATGTTTTCACTGAGAGATTTGAGCTAATCAAAACAAGTGCAAGTACTCTGACTTACTTAGTAGATCTTCTCAACACAAATTCAAATGAGATTATTTCATATATTCAAAGCTATTTATTTAAAATTACATATGTAATGTATTTGTTTAGGATTATATATATATATATATATATATATATATATATATATATATATATATATATATATATATATATATATATATATATATATAAAATCCTATACAAATATACTATTGACATACAAATGTTAGTGGCTCTTTAAAACCAGGCAATGTTGTATATTGTAACTTTTGGCTCTTTCGGCTCAAAAGGTTGCCGACCCCTGGTCTAGTTTGTTCTCTCAGAATGGTTATATATTAAAAAAAAAAAAAAAAAAAAAAAAAAAAAAAAAAAAAAAAAAAAAGAATGGTTATATATTGCAATGAAGTAGACTAAATTACTCTGTTTAGATACAGATTATATATATATAAATATATATTAGTGTCGTCACTGGCAACTTGATAGTGGTTTTGTAAGTAACAAACAGAATACAGATCTAATACAGTAGTGATGTTATATAGATAGTAGCTAAGACATGCTGTTGCGTAAAAAAATAAAAAAATAATAAACACAGCTGTAGTGTGAAAGATAGGCAAACGTTCAAACCATTTCCATAAATTATTTCCCTTTTTCAAATAGTCAAATAGGGGTGCTCAAAAGCTCTTTTTAATAGATTTGTAATAATCAAATTAAAAAGCAATTACTTATCTTAATTATTATTTAAAAAAAAATAAGTACTAAAGAATGGTATAGTATAAAAATGAAACGTAGTTAAAGTTAATAATATAAATACAAAAAAATAACATAAAAATAAACATAACACGAGACACCATTACTTATACAAAGCTTCATATACTTTTAACCGACTTAATGATTAGAAATATTAATCATAAATGAAAACAGAGATTTTCAAAACAGTCCAGTGCACTCATACACATGACATGGTGTTGTGATTAGATTTAATTGAATTTTTTTTTCAAAACCCGATCAGGCTAGAAATGAGTATCCTATATTCGTATTGTGTTTGTGTGTGTGTGTATGTATATATATATATATATATATATATATATATATATATATATATATATATATATATATATATATATATATATATATATATATATATATATATATACATACATATATACATATATATAAATATATAAATATATATATATACATAATAGGGGGGGCCCAAAAAATTTTTTTGCGGGGTGGCCCATTTTTTCTAGTTCCGCCACTCAGTGGCGTAGGCAGGGGGGGGTTAGGGGGGGTCATAACCCCCCCCATAGACCCCTCGGTATATATAAAAAGTATGAGGGGGGGTGCAAATCGAAAGTTTGAGGGGGGGGTGCAAATCGAAAGTTTGAGGGGGGGGGGGTGCAAATCGAAAGTTTGAGGGGGGGGGGGTGCAAATCGAAAGTTTGAGGGGGGGGGGGTGCAAATCGAAAGTTTGAGGGGGGGGGGGTGCAAATCGAAAGTTTGTCCCCGGGTAAAAATTGGAACCCCCCCCCCCCCCTTGAGACGATCCTGGCTACGCCACTGCCGCCACTGTATCAGGCGGCATTAAACAGAGTGATTTATTATTTATTTTTTTTGGAAGAAAGTTAAAACTGTTGTTATGTTGTGTCACCTTAAGGATTCACCCATTCAATAACTAAGACAATAATGTTTTGGGTTTTAAAATATTGTATGAATTCTAAACAAATTTTGAAGTCTATACTGTTTTGATACATCAGGCCGAGTTCGCTGTATTGTAAACTTTATTTTCCTAATTATTCGGCACGTGATTAAATTTTCTTAAGTGATTTGGTATGAATTACATAACTGTCAGAAGTGATTTAATATCTTATCAAAGGAAATAAAAACTACGAACATTGGGTTAATACATGGGAGAAATAAAAATCTGTTATTATAGTGGAAAGTTTGACATTAGCTTATAAACTCCTAAACATTTGTGTTATTATGTGTACATCACATTATATAGGCCTTTATACATACATACATATATATATATATATATATATATATATATATATATATATATATATATATATATATATATATATATATATATATATATATATATAATGGAAAGGCCCCGCGCGGATGGTTGGCCCGGGATTAGCCCGTAGTGGCGAAACGAAAGTACAGATATTTTAAACTTGGCCGTACTGGCGAAAATCCCGCAAAAATATTTTAAAGTAATCGAACAGCTAGGATCGTTGTTTATTTTACTTAAATAATTTGCGATGCCGGAACTAAATCCAACAGAAAACATAATAAATTGATTTGGTGGGAAATATTAAGATCTTTTTGTAGAAAATAAAATAGATCTTGGCACTGATTAGTAAATTACACAATAATTAGAATCTACATCTAGATCTAGATCTAGAAGGGGTAAAACTCCATGTTATTGTTAACGTATTTTATTCCCCGCTTCACGTTCACCTCCAGTTGAGCGTATTTAATTTTTAATTAATAATTATAGGCCCTAATATTAAAATTAATTATTAAATTAATATTAATAATTTATTACATTATTAGTATTATTACTATTAGGCTTAGGCCTATTAATAATGTATTAATATTCATTATTTATAACATTTTTATTGATAACCCTTGCCTTAGCCTATTAGCTAGCATAGCACGGGTGGGGGGTGCACTGCACCAGATGACACCATTTAAGGGGGTGACAAGGCAAAAAATTGCAAAATATAGGCCTACAGAAGAAAAATGTTGTTTTGCCAGTCCCATTAAAATGATTAATTAAAGTTAAATAGTCTTTTTATTTTAAGTACAAATTGACAATTATTACCATAATAGGGTGGGGGTGATAGCATGTCGTAAACGTACTAACTATAGAGAAAACATTGCTACATCCATGTTCCAACTGTATTATTAACAGACTAAAGATAAACATTGTTACTTGGGTGACACCCGATCTAACGATGCCATTGGGCCTTAGACCTAAGCACTTTATTTAAATTTTTACTACTTTCAAAACTTTAATCTTCAGGTTCTCTCAACTCATGGAGACAGGAATAAGACAGACACAGGGACAAAGATACCAACAATGTTTTAAACTTGAACACTACAATCAACTGATTTACAACCCTCTGTATTCAAGTGGCTAGAGTACTACCATGTATGTTACTTTAACAGTTTGGGTTTAGAATATGTTTACAGTAGGTCCATTAACAGTTAATTGTTCAGATCCCTTCATGTGACTTCTGTGGGGTGGGGGGCTATTCTACATTCTAAATTTTAAGTATTCCATTTAAGAGTGTAAACTAAATTAAGATATTAGTATCACTTTTAAGTACCATTTATACTGTAGTATAATAAAGTAAACTGATCTTGTCATTGTTTTGCAGGTGTTTTGTGCTTATGGGTTTATGATTACAGTAAAAAATAAAACCAAGTGCTGTGATAGGTTAAAACAAACGAGGTATGATTGTAAATATGAAAGAATTTCCAATCTGATTTAATTAAAGGTGAAATTTATTGTACAGACTTTTGTAGATAAACTAATTGCATTATAACAGTAAAAAATGTAACACTGAATAATAAAGCTGATTGATAAATTAAAAACCATTATGTAGAGCTGAACTGTTGTGATTGTATTTTGTAAATTTTTTTGTTTATTTGTACATGTTAAGCTTCCTTTCAGGTCCATGGGACAGATGTAGAGATCATGAGTTTCTCTGACCTTGGCATAGGAAGGGATAGTGTAGTCAAGTTCAATACAATGCTCAGCCACCTTTATTTTCCCAACCAGTTACTAGAGCATTTTATTAGAACTTGAGACTATCAGGTTAGTTATCCAATGTTCTGCTACTCACATACACTGTATTTTTTGTATATTGTTATATTTTATATATCGTTTGTTTATTTATCATTGTGAATTTAAGGTTACACTCACAGTTTTGCATAGTCAATATGAACTACTTTAAACTTATCAAGAATACACTAAACAAGCACCAACTGTACTGCAATGTACTTCCCAATGAGAAGTGGGGTGCAAACATTTAATTTAAAGCAAATTATGTAAGGTGATGGTTTGGCTTAGTTACAGAGAGCAAGACTGTATAACCCAAAATCTCAAGTTTGAATCTGGATTCAAGTCAGCAGAACTTCCCTGAGTCCACCCAGCTCTGATATGTACCTAACTCAGGTTAGGGAAAGTAAAGGAGACTGGGCATAGTGCTGACCACACTATCCCTTCATATGCTGAAGTCACAGAAACAGCTTATCTCTACTGCACTTGCCCCATTGACCGGCAGGCTAAATAAACTTAAGTTATGTGAAACAGATATTTTTAATTTGTTAACCAAAACATTTTGTTTGTCTGCAGCGAACCTGGATTAATAAAACAGTGAAATCTTGCTGGAAGGTGCTATCATAGTATAACTGGTAACTAAAAAAAATGTTGATGCTATTTTATTTTAATATTTAGTAGGGCTATATATGAGTTGAACTAAATTAAAAAAGATATTTTCATACATGAACTAATATGTGGGCACTATTGATTCTAAATGTAAAAAACTCAGATATCTTACTGTTAATTCAAAATTTGTGCTATATCAGTCAGCATGTTTGCCTAAGCCACATTTGAAATAAAAGGGTAGACCTTTGTAGACAATCTTTATTTTAGTACAATTTCCACACTCAAGATATTCCAGTGTTAATTACTTAATATGTCACCATAACGGCAACTGGTGGAGGGGGTCTCTTTAAAGATTAAACAGTTGTCTTTATTTTCTTACAGAATGTGTATTTTTTGTTTCCCAGGATTTAACAGCCTGAGGCTTAATGCATCCCTTCAAGATGGATGTTAGAACATCACAGTTGGTTATTTTTTCAGGCCACCTGATGTTCAGTTTGCTACACAGCCATTCATTATTGAAAGTCTCAGAACCATAGAGGAGAACAAATTTTACATTGCTGTTCAACAGTCATATTTGGAAAACTGTAGACAGCTCTTGACATCCATATTGTGTGGAGGATGTTGGATACTTTGCTGATATGGCTTTTGATGTCCTCATCTGCTCCCCCATTTTCTTACAACAGATTCTAGATGTGTGAAGCGATCCTGCTCCAAAATAGTCATTTCTTGTATCCTAAGTGGAACTCCTGTTTGTTGTTGATTCTTATCTCTTCTGTTTTTTTCAGTTGGTCATTAAGCCTATATTAAGAAGGTTCATCATAGTTTGCTTAGCGTGGATTGGGCATGTTGTCAATGTGAGAGTATAGCATCCTCAATATCTAGACCTCCAGCTAAGTGAGGGTCCACTGAATTCCACCCTTTTGGTCTGATGTACTTTATTGGTGAAAAGCTTATAACATTTCTGTGCTCACTGAAAAAGGGTTGGTTAACATGTGGATAATCTGGCAGTTGGAGTCTTTGTAGAGGTGTTGGATACTATTGCTGAATTTCTTAGCGATTGAATGTGCAAATTCAATTTTTTCAATAGGTTGGCTTTCATGTAGAGATATTCTGCTATGCAGTATTTGTTTATAGATGTGTATCTATCTATATATATATATGCATATATTTATGTTTGTGTATGAAACTAAGGTCTAGTTACACACAGTCATATAAAATTAAAAACTTGTTAGATTAAGATGTGGATTAGAGATTGTCTGTAGCCATCAAAGTTTTATTTATTCTGGAGGTTGTATGTATTGATTCCATTTTGTCTAGTTATTGAGCATACTGAAATCTGCTAATATTGATTTATCTACCTACTTACTTGTCCACTTGTAACCTATATGATCTATTACTTAATTGTAGCATCAAAAGTATTCTTTTAATGTGAATAACATTTTTAAACAAGTTAACTATTGCTTCTTGTTTGTTTTTTTGTAGTTCACTCAAGGTCATGTTACAGTATAAATAAGTAGCCAGTTTGTGTACCTGTAATTTTCTTGTAGTTGAAGGGCATTCATCTCACAGTGAAGTAAACATTTCTAGCATTTACTATGATTTACAAATGTACACTAGTATTAGTAAAAGTAATTCAAGAGAATTGCATATTTTTATGCATCTGTATTGGAAGATTAAAAAAAAATTATTATACACATTATCAAACTTCATAGTTAACACATACATTAAAGTATAGCAAAGCAGCGACGTCGCTAGTTCACGCCCTCGCTACGCCTCTGTAGCAAAGTGTATATGATATATCCCACTGACAAGCTTTTAAAAATGTAGGATACCAGCACAGGCGACAATGTCTCAATCACTAGTAAATATGCTTGAAAGTAATGGACTTGTACAACTAATTGAGCTGTAATATGTTGCAAGATATGTATGGCTTGATGACACTGACAGGTGCTTAATAAAAAGCAAGGGATTAATATACCAGTGTAGTTTTTATGTACGAGAGGTTTATGGGGGGTTAGGGCAAGTGTCTAATATCAGAAAGGGATGCAAGTTATGGCGCTTCATGAACAACGAGAGCTTCATTTATGACAGGATTAATCAAGTTAATTTCAAACTTTTGCTTGGGGGGGGGGGTGGATGTCAGATTTAGGGAATTTACAAGAGTACCCTAATGTTTGTTAGTAAACCGGTAATAAAATACTTTCTGGCTCTAACACCGATCTAGACTTCATGAACTTTTTAAGTAGGTACTAGTTAGTTACACGTCAAGTACATTACTCGTTAACTAAAATAGTGTTGTACATGTTCACCCCCGCAATCTATTTGCCGCTCTAAAAGAATGAGTTAGTCCAATGCCAACTTTCTCAAGTACATCCACTCTGGATTTAGTATTCATTCTGATCTAGAAGACGTACTTCTGATGCAAGGTAAGATACAAGAACCTGACGAAGAAAAGTTTACTCATGACCCAGAGAAAAACAAAATTTCACCTGGTCAGCCTCATTCACAAATATTGACAAACTTTAAGCGATTAGCCCCAGAATCCACGATGACAATAGTACAGAAAACAATACCAACGTAAGTCAAAGCTCGGCAAGGTGGGATGCGACTTCTTTATGATGGTTTAATCAATTTCAGAGAGAACAAATACAAGAACAAAGTTTCTTCCAGGCAGAGTTTCTTCCAGGCATCTCTTTCACCGCCCCCCCCCCCCCCGAACAAAGTGGAATTTATATAGAAAATATATACTTTCGACAGTGTCCACCCCCCCCCCCCCCAAAATCAAGTGCACCCCCGGAGAAAAAAGTCTGGAAGAAACACTGCTTCCAGGCATCCCCCCCCCCCCCCCCCGAAGAAAGTCTACCGCTTCCCCCCCCCCCCCTCCCCCTTGAATGAAACGGATTCATATAGAAAACATACTTTTACCAGTGTCCGCCCCCCCCCCCCCCTCCGGAAAATGTAGTCTCGTCCACCCCCCCTCCCCGAAAATATCAAGTGCCATCCTTGATAAAAAAGAAACACTAGACAAGAATATGATGTATTTTCGATGTTTGCTACGTACTGATTACAAAGGTAGATTGAGAACAGAAGAAGGGCCTAGATCTAAGCGAAATACTTAATAAATGGATGACGAAATAAAATAATTTTTTGCTCATTTTGTTTCTAACTCGTATGTGTTTCAATGAATTCATAAGTTACATTTTTAACAACTGGCAAAAAGTCTTTTTTCCCGCTCTTTAAGCTAAAGGTAAACGAGATTCGCAGGCGCTTAAATTTGTAGCTCTTCGGGGAAACCTGCCATTGAGTATGCTCAAAATTCACATAGTTTTTCATTTCATGTCGATCGGATGAAAGGTGTAATAATGCATAAAGGAACCCCCCCCCCCCCCACACACACACAGACATTTTGTTGTTCACTTAATTTTGTGACCAAATATTGACCTAAGCCAAATCATGCATAAACGTGAAAAAAAAAAACAATAAATTAAATTATCTCAATCGTTTTCTGAAACTAAGAGAAACTAAACGACTTAGGGGTCATCCATAAATAACGTCACGCTTTTTTTGACGATTTTTACCCCCCCCCCCCTCCACCACGCGTCGTCACAAAAAACCAGACCTCCACCCCCCTAAAATGACGCCACTCCTCAGCCTACAACCCCCTTCATAATTGCTGTTGAATTTTTCTTAAAACATCGATATTTTTCCAAATTCTTGTCAGAACTCTGTCAACATAGAGTATTTTGATCAATTCCTATTACAATTTATTAAAACATTTTTCTAAAATACGAAATAACGGCTAAAACTCGTTTTCTAAAATTGCTTTTTTATAATGCAAAAAGGTGACGTCACAAACTGATCCCCCCCTCCTCATCACAAAATTACGGCCCCCTCCCCCCTACGAGTGTGACGTCATTTATGGACGACCCCCCCCCCCTTATACAACGTTGAAAGCAAAACCAACCCATACTTTAAATTTACTAAACAATGCTTACAATCAACACCATAATTGTTTAACTAACCTAACTTTTCACCCAAAGCATAATCTAACACAACTCTAAGCTAATACATCAACGCGTATGATTATAATAAACATATATCTAATATAGATCATCACCATCTAATCTAAACATATAAATTAACTAAACTAAACTGAACTTAACTGAACTAAACTTAACTGAATTAAATTAGAATATGTAATCTATAGTAATGTATAGACTGCCTCTAACACACGATTAGAATAATTGTAACTCTAAGCGAACCCTAACCCTAACACAACACCAACAGATATTTTAACTAATATTTTACAAATCGTCACCCAACTTCAAATTAGGATTTCCCCACCCCTCACGCTCGAAGTGCTACATCACTTAGAATCACTTACAGATTTCCCTTCTTTTCCTTTTACTAATAATATTTTAGGGGTCATCCATAAATGACGTCACACTCGTAGGGGGGAGGGGCAGTAATTTTGTGACGGTGTGTGATGAGGGGAAGGGGGGGGGGGGTGTTCAGATGGTGTGACGTCACACTTTTGCATTATAAAAAAAGCAATGTTAGAAAACGAGTTTTAGCCATTATTTCGCGTTTTGCAAAACGATTTTTAAAATTAATAAATTCTGGTAGAATTGATCAAAATACTCTATTTTGACATACATCTAGTTCTGACAAGATTTTGGAAAAATATCGATGTTATGAGAAAAATTCTACAGCAATTTTGAGGGGGGGGGGAGGGAGGTTGTAGACTGAGGTGTGACGTCATTTAGGGGGGTGTCTTGATTTTTGTGACGATGTGTGACGGAGGGAAGGGGGGAAGCGTGATATCATTTATGAATGACTCCTTATTAAAAAATAAAAAGATTTCTAAGTTTAAACTTCGTCGGAGAAATCCAATTTGAACTACAATAATAATAATTTTCAGAAAAATAAAGCACGTGGAAATACCCTTCGGACCTTACAGTAAGTAGGGCATACTTCAAAGAAGAGTTTTCCTGTTTCCGTGACCATGGAAGACCCATAAGAAATGATAATAATAATGTGGTCGGTTCTAATATGACCTTTATTAAACATAGTCAGGTACCCATCCAGTGGCGTAGCGAGGTCGGGTGTCACCCGGTGCGAGGACAAACTTTCAAATTTTCGATTTGCACCCCCCCCCCCTCAAGTTTTCGATTTGCACCCCCCCTCGAATTTTTCTCTATATATTTTGCAATTTTTGGTCGTGGTGTCACCCCCCTAAATGGTGTCACCCGGTGCGGTCCGCGGTCCGCACCCCCTCGCTACGCCCCTGTACCCATCAGATCTAAGTCAACTCAGATACGTCCTAAGTACTTGAGTCTGGGATCTAAACTCAAGACTTTCGGATAGCAGTCAAACGCCCAATAACCAACCTTTTTATATAGACAGGTGACAGGAGAGTGGGCCATTTAACATATAGGCTACTCAAGACTTCAAACTAGGCTCAGCTAACCCATCTAAATTTAGATTAGAATTAGAAACCTTGAAAAACACAATTAAAGTTAAATATTGCACTTTGAAATGTTTTTGGGTGCCCGGTCGCAACAAAATGAGACTGATATAAATTAAATTTGTTGAATAATACTGATAAAAAATATAACAACTGTCCTAAAAAGAATAAAATAAAATGACTATCTTTAAACAAAATAATTAATGCACCACATAAACCAACTATATATAATATAAATAGAGCATGGGTCGCTGTATATTATGCATGGGAGAAGGGTGTATATATAGTCACGAGCAGTTATGTAAATATGGTGCAATATTATGTTTAAAGCTAATAATTTTTTGTCATCATGTTTTAGTTCTAGATTCTAGATCTACATATTTTTAGTGCAAGCATATATTTTGTTACTATTTACGTTTTACTTTTTTAAAAAAGGCTTATATTTATTATATATAGGCCTTAAATTATAAGTAAGGCCATAGAAATATTTAATTAATTTTAAAAAGGAACGAAACACCTCTAATTATGTCAAAGTTCGTGGCACATTGCATTGTCAGATCTTAACCTAAGTGACATTCAAGTTTAAACCCCATCGGTTCGGGTATAATTTTGTTTTTTGTTAGCAAAGTTTCCACCCAGGCCAGTGTTTCTTCCAGACTTTTTTTTCACCTGGGGGGGGGGAAGCGGACACTGATATAAAATCCATTAACCCCCCCCCCCCCCCTGAAGAGATGCCTGAAAGAAACTCTGACTCAGACAAGAGAGAAATAGCACGAGGAATCAAGTTAAATAAAAGCTTGTAAAAATGCTCTTAACTGAGTTTTTAAATGACGATTTCAGTTTTTGTAAATTCAAAAACGAAGAAATATAATATTTTATTTATTTCAGTAATTTTTGTTTTGGTTCGTGTTTTAGACATTTTTTTCCCCTTATAATAATCGAGTATTAACACGTACGATTATTTTGTAACACCGATTTACGCTGCGATTATTTTTTTTTTAATACACAAAATTACATATTGTATTTGTGATATATTTTGAGGAAATCAAAAACGTTTGTAACTATAATCAATATCTAATATTTTAAATAGCAAAAAATAATTTCGCCAGTACGGGCAATACTAAAATTTTTGTACTTCCGTTTCGCCACTACGGGCTAGACCCGTTGGCCCTAGGCCCCGCGTATTCCTAACGCCGGCTCTGACTGTGCCTATACTAGTATATACAATTGCTCATGTCTATACACACCCTGCTCGATAGATTATAGCCTATGATCAGTAAATAGGATAAACCATGCAACACTTTTACTTATGCAAAACAATATTACTATACAATAATTAATATGTGAATAATCCTAAAGCTGGTTTTCCGAGAAAATATTGATTTGTTTCTTTGTTCTGTCACGAGTTTTTTTTTTCTATATTTAGAGTCATAGCATACTTTTTAATCACATGATTACCAAAACAAAAAAGATGGCTGAAGCAGTCAGGCCTAAAGTGCGAAAGATAAACAAAAAAGTATGTTGATGTTTCTAGATCCTCTAGACATTGAATTACATTAATTAATTTTTATAATATGTCTGATGTTTAAGAAACAGAATTGATTTATTCAAAATATTATAAGGTAAAATCTTAGTTTAGCGTCGTAAATTCCAACTTAGCTAGTAATGTGCGATGAAGGTAACTAATGAATATTTCTTTCATTTGGCCATATTTATGTCATATTTTACATAATATAACAGATAATTGAATACCAAATCACAATCCAAGACCAAACCAGTCATAAATATCCTGGAATAAACTTTAAACTACCCCGTTCGAGACAACAATGAGTAAATACAAGCAGCGGCCATGTTTTAAAAACAATAAATTGTCTATTCGCATGTCTTTTGTGTTGATTTTGTGGTTTAATATGATTGTTTTGTATTGTTTTAATATATGCCGGGGGTCGTCCATAAATGACGTCACACTCGTAGGGGGGAAGGGGGCCCGTAATTTTGTGACGTTGTGTGTGAGGGGGAGGGGTTCAGATGGTGCGACATCACACTTTTGCATTTTAAAAAAGCAATGTTACAAAACGAATTTTAGACGTTATTTTGCGTTTTAAAAAACTGTTTTAATACATTATAATAACAATTGATTAAAATACTCTATTTTGACAGAGTTCAGACAAGATTTTGGAAAAATATAGCTGTTAAAAAAAAATTCAACTGCAATTTTGAGGGGGGGGGGTGTAGGCTGAGGTGTGACGTCATTTTAGGGGGGGGGTCTGGCTTTTTGTGACTACGTTTGACGGAGGGGAGGGGGGGGGGGGAGGTAAAAAATCGTCAAAAAAAGCGTGACATCATTTATGGATGACCCCCTGTATAGTAATTTTTCTTTTTTTAAAAATATAGTTGACATGAATGACTAATAGACCATATCAGACTTAATAGTGTGCATCCAAGACCACAACAATTGTTGGGAGGTCGAACTTTTTAACACTTTATTTGCAGTAAGCAAATCAATATTAGATCGCTCATAAATGACGTCGCTCTCAAGATAGTAATGACAGCGTGCATTATTACAGAGCAAACATATGAACATATTGTTTCAGATAGAAATTCTGATTTGTGGTGGGGAGAGGTTGAGAAGAACTCAGCGATGTGATTTTGGAGACTGGTCAGGTTTTTTTTCTCGTGAAAACGGGATGGTTGTGGGAGAAAGACCAGCTGTAGAAGTATGACGCGTCATTCATTGGTGATCCATTTTCTCAGTGGGGACGAAAGAACTATTAAGAAAGGTCAAGAAATGTCAAAAGCTTGCCGAGTCGCATTTCTTGAACCCTACCTTTTTCATTCCCCCACTTAGCACATCGTCACCGAGTTAACGCTCGCACGTGACGTCATGTAGCGGTACCGCCGACCGTTAGGCTAATTTTATAGAAAAAAAAACAACAATAAGCATTGTCTTTTTGACGCTTTCGCGACGTTTAGTTTGATTACATAAGTTGGTGTTCATTAAACAGCCCCTAACACATCTATCACTCGTCCATTTAAACGTACGTAGTTATTTCTGCAAGCTTGCTGTCTTGAGACTTTCGGCCCTTTAAAAATGTATTAAGCTCACACCGTATAGAACTAGACTACCCATATTAAGCTCCAAAAGAAGCTTGGTGAAAACAGGATGGCCGTCCGATTTTGTAGCTGCTCTACGCTTTTTAAAAACCACAATAAACGATAAGATGACACTTATATTAAAGTAAATTATAGTTCTGAATCTTGATACATTAAAAGTGATATTCGGAAATTAAGAGCCAGACCAGACAGTCAACATATTTCAATTTAAGTCCAAGAAAATAAATTTCCTCAAACGATGGAACATTACTAAATTTTCGCGCAGTTTAGCGAAATTGAATTTAAGTATTTACGTCATCTTACAAAGCGCGATAGCCTACTGGTGCTCTAACGTGGCCCATGCTAATGGCCGTATTCCTAACGCCCCGCATTAGACGCGGCTTATTCGTCGGCAGGCATTTGGTGGCAAGCCTTTTTGACGGGGATAATGTGTTAAGGCCGTTTTGCCGAATGTCTTAAACTAGCAGGCTTGCGACATTTGTGTTTTAAGCAAGGTATACGTATACTAATGCTTATTTATCGTTATTTTGATTGAACAAAGCATTATAGAGGTTCTCCATCAATCACCTAGGTATTTTTCCCCGTTCACCTCCTTTCATGAGACCGACACGTCATAAATTGCAAAGCCGCCCGAGTTGACGTCACAAATCTTCACTCACTCCCGTAGCAAATCATATGTGACATCATTGTGACATCATTTATGGACAACCCCATATCACTCTCTTGTGTACTTGATATTGACGATTTGACAACAAAGGATAACCAAAATGTGTCTGGCAGGTGGAGACTTGGGATCGACCATAATGACAACACGCGCTTAAGGGGTGGACGGGCTCATTGTTTTAGATGATGTTTTACGAGGGAAGCTGGTGGATAATACATTTGGTCTCTTTGTATATGTAAATGATGACAAACATTTAATGTTGTCAAAATTATGGTTAGAGATCTTAGATAAGGCAGAGTGAAGCGTAATTTTTTACATTATGACTTGTTGTGACATTGACGACAAAAATATGACGGAGGTTGGGGTTTAATTAAGGTAAAGAGAAGTAAAAAAAATGTCATAAGTTACGATAGAATTACTAACTGATGAAAAGAAAAACCTGAAATGAAAATAGTGAACATTCAAACAATAAGAAAAAACTCACAACTATTTAGTAATAGTAAGATCAGTAGCGTAGCGAGGGGGACGGGGGGGGGGGGGGGACATATGTCCCCGGGCGCCGACCTTAGGGGGCGCCAAAATGGGTTGGAAAAATAAATTGAAAGGTTGAGGGGAGTGCAAATCGAAAGTTTGAGGGGGGGGGGGGTGCAAATGGAAATCTCGAGGGGGGTGGGGGTGCAAATTGAAAGTTTGAGGGGGGTGCAAATCGAAATCTCGAGGGGGGGGGGGGTGCAAATCGAAAAGTTTGTCCCGGGAAGGGTCGCTACGCCTCTGAGTAAGAAAAAACGTGATTTAATACATGGATACAAGGTGCATCTCACAATGCTTCTAGAATTAATAAAGTTGTTTGTTAGGAAATTCACATTTAAAAAAATGCTTTGTAATACGGACTATACAACAAGACGATCATATTTAAATACATTTTCATATGAATAGAAATGAAAGGGAAGCTACTCTCAATAACATTTTCTTAAGATGGCTGCTGTTTTTAATAGCAAATTTACTATCTCGAACAGGGTCGATAAAAATTAATTTCAGGATATTTAAATTGATTTAACCATCAATGGTGATCTATTATTCAATTATTTATAATATTTTATTAAAATATACGAAAATATACTCATATTTAATGACATATTCATTAATTCACTCTCTCCCACATTACTAGTTTTGGCCGAATTTACGACGCTAAACTAAGATTTTACCTATTATAATTTATACAGCCTTAGTAAGATAAATTACTTGATGTTGTGGTTGTCTGTTGGTCAGCTGAGTGAGAATTTCGATCAAAACAAGTCAGACTGAAGTCTGAAGTCACAAATTTATGAAATAAAAAATTTCACAATAAAAAAAATTAAGTAAAATGATAGTCGTAAAGGTAAACCTCCATTTTAGCGTATTTTATTCTCCATTGCTTGTTTACCTCCAGTTGAGCGTATTTTATTATAACAACCGAAACACACCAAAACATTAGGAAAACACGATTTATTATTTGTATTGTATTTTTGTTTTCACAAATGAATAAAATGAATGTTTAAAAAACACGACTTGTTTATTTGTATTGTATTTTTGTTTTAACAAATGAATAAAAAAACAACAAAGAGACTGACTGAAGTGCTTTGTTCGTTGGTTACAAAAATAGAGATGCACACTTTGTACAATTAAGTGTTCCAATTTCAACTAAACTGAATAAAAGTATTAAAAGGCACAATAATGCTGCTAAAAGTGGGCCGGGGGGGGGGGGTGGAATTTGGTGAGGGATGGCTTGGAGTGTTAGAGAAAGTGTGACAACTCACGTCATTTAAAAAAAAATAATGTTAGAGGTCGTCCATAAATGACGTCACACTAGTAGGGGGAGGGGCAGAGGCGTAGCGCGGTTGACACCATTTAGGGGGGGGGGGTGACACCAAGGCAAAAAATAGCAAAATATATAGAGAAAAATGATAATTCCACTTAATTAAGTGATTAATACGAGTGTTAAATAGTCTTTTAAGAGGTGCAAATCGAAAGTTTGAGGGGGGGGGGGGTGCAAATCGAAAGTTGAAAGTTTGTCCCCGGGAAGGGTCGCTACGCCTCTGGGGAGGGGGGGCGTAATTTTGTGACGGTGTGTGTTGAGGGGACGGGGGTTCAGATGGTGCTACGTCATTTGGGGGGGGGGTCTTGCTTTTTGTGACGACACGCTTTTTTTACGATTTTTTCCTTCCCCTCCCCTCCGTTACACGTCGTCACAAAAAGTCAGACCCCCCTAAAATGACGTCACACCACAGCCTACACCCACCCCCCCCCCCCTCAAAATTTCTGTTGAATTTTTCTTAAAACATCGATACTTTTTCCAAAATCTTGTCAGAATTCTGTCAACATAGAGTATTTTGATCAATTCCTATTACAATTTATTAAAACCGTTTTCTAAAACGCGAAATAACGGCTAAAACTCGTTTTTCTAACATTGCTTTTTTTATAATGCAAAAAAAGTGACGTCACACCATCTGAAACCCCACCCCCTCCCCCTCATCACACACCGTCACAAAATTGCGGACCCCCTCTCCCTTACGAGTGTGGCGTCATTTATGGACGACCCCACGTCAATTTTTTTTTTAAAAGCCAGAAATTTACTCACACAAAAAATCATACTTGATACATATATCAAAATATTTGGAAGGATGGTAGATTTACTATGAATTTAAATAACATACAACTCTATAGTAAAAATATTTTTTTCAGTTTTGGCGAAATTGTCAAACAAAAAAACACAGAGTTTGTACATTTATTGCATAAATACAAAAATATAATACAGAATAATTAACAGTGTATCAGTTTCACCATGAGACAAATGCCTTTTAAAAAAAATACAATACAAATAAACAAGTCGTGTTTTTTAAATATTCATATTTATTCATTTGCTAAAACAAAAATTATACAATCATACAATGCAATTAATAAATCGTGTTTTCCTAATGTTTTGGTGTGTTTCGGTTGTTATAATAAAATACGCTCAACTGGAGGTAAACAAGCAACGGAGAATAAAATACGCTGAAATGGAGTTTTACCGTCGTAAAGATTAACCTCAAGCTCACAAAAAGTCTCAAGTATTGAGTATCCTAAGAGGCTAAGCTAAGACACTGCTCAACTCAGCCTGATTCTCAGGTCTCAGGAGAGTTGAGCATGCATAGATTATTAGATATGGTCTAGTCAAAATCAAAATCCTTTTGAAAAAAGGGAGTAGGCCTAGAATCTAAGTCGTTTAAAAAATCTTACTCTGTCTCAACTCTCAACAGTATTACCTGTTACTTGTTATTAGATCTAGTAGGCCAAATTGTAGAAAAATAACTCTGCACAGACACACACACACCCAAAGTAAATTATCAAAGTTAAAAGGTGCTTGAAATTTCTCTTTGGCAGGTGATTTTGTCTTCTTCCCCTCGCCCTCCTTTTTCTTAAAAAATCCTGGAGGACTCCATACAATTTTTAAAAAATCCTGTCTTAATTTCTGGCTGTCTGGTGATAGACATCACACTTGTAGCTAGTTTCTTCAATGTGTCAATCTTCATCTTCTTTCCCTGAACTTCTTCCTCCACTGAAATTTACTCCCATCCTTTCCCATTTTGTGTTAAGTACTGGAAATTTGTAATTTCCTTATGTAACTAATCATCTTTATTCTCACTGTAATTGAATTTTATTAAGAGGCTATAAGGATATTTTCCATTCCATACCAGAAAATATTAGTTACACTGTTACAGTTTGATTATCAATTAAGAAATGTGGGTCTTTCTAGGAAGTTTCACAATTAACACTTATAGAAATTAAAAATGGGACAGCAAGGCAGTAGAGTGCATGAATGCCTGGTATGAAATCTCTAGCACAAATCCCATGCTCAAGTTTGTATGATACCCATGAGTTGACCCAGCTTTAAAAGGTACCTGACTTACATTAGGGAAGGTTAAAGTGAAACTGAAACTGACCACCATAGCCCTGCATAGGCTGAGGTAATTGTAAGAAACAGATGAACTTTACTTCATTAGTCCATCACATCTAAAAGTAACTTATTTATAATAATTAAAAACTAAATGGCTGGCTCTAGGCTAATCACCCACTTCTAGTTTTTACAAATGTTTCAAATAAAAAAAATGCAGTTACTAAGAAGTCTACACAACTTATATCAATATGTGATAATAACATTTATAGTAAAATCAAATAGTTATCAAATTATTTTAAGTATTTTTATGCCTCTGTAATTGATGTGGGGAAAAAAATTATCCTTTTTCTATTTATTATTTAAAATTATTATTTAAAATGCGTATTTAAAAATCACATAGCTTTTAGAATTAATGGATCCACAATAAATAAAAATATGTGAAAATCTTTATAACAAAATTAAAATAAAATAAATTGATTTTCATTAAATATAATAATAATGCAACATTAAAAAAAAAATTATAACAATTGATTTAGTTTTTTTGTTATTGATATTATATAGATTATCATTGTTTGTTTTTTTTTGCAAAAATTTCTGGACTACCTGCTATTAATATATAAACATCCTTCACATTTACTATAATATTATATCCACATTTTGGGGAGAGGTAATTTAAACATTAAATTGAATGATTTTTTTTATTGATGTCCTCAGAGAAAAGAGCCAAAGCCCAAGACAGATGAAGCAGATACTAGAATAGAAGACGTTAGCTTGGTACCAGCAGATAACAATGTTGAGAAAGTTGAGGAACTTGATGGAAATAGCTCAGTAAACCAAACCCAGCCAGAGGCATCAACTACTTTGACACCAGCAGTAGATGATGATAAAAATGTCCAGCCTGATGATCACCCTAAAATTGACTCCAGCCCAGAAAAACAACTGATTTCTCAGCCTTGTGAAGTACTTAGTAAGCCTATACAGCTCATCTCTCAGCCTTGTGAAGCTCCTAGTGAGCCTGTAGCCCCTGATGTGGGTGTTGAGCAAAGACAGCCAACTAGTTACCCTAAGGTATCAGAAGTGGAAGACCCTCACAGTTCTATACAAAGACCACAAAGCCTAGCCACATTAACTAGTAGTCTTAAAACTTTGTCTGTGAATAATGCACCAGAAGAATTTGTTACCCTCTCCTCTGATACAGGTCAACACACACAGAAGGTTTCAGGTTTACTATTTTCACCAGATGTTATTGAAGATCCCGACACACCTATGTCCAGAACAACCTCACCCAATTCACCTAAACCAGTGGCAGAAGCAATAAAACATTCTCCTACTGTTCCAACTTTGGTGTTAGAAGAGAAAAGCCCAAGTTTGTTAGCACAAGAATCATTAGCAAGAAGACAGTTTTTTAATGTAGAGTCACGTGCAGTTCAAGCCTTGCCAGATCAGCCAGACACCCAAGAGACATTACCATCAAATTTAAATTGTGCAGCTTTAGATGCTGCAGAGCAGAGTAAAACAGCTGTGGTTGTGACACAAGAGCCAGAAGAAAATGTCCAATCCCCTGTTGAAAACACAAAGAGTGTTGCCCAGAGTAGTGAAAGCAGTCGAGTATCTTATCCTCGGCTTGAGCTGGAAAAATCTAAAGAGAGAAGCAAAGCCCAAGTAGGACCTATGCCACTCTCAGATGTACTTGCTCTTTATTATAACCCACAACTCGCAAATAATGAGAGATTTGTTGATGACTTTATAAAGGTACAACTTTATATTAAGAAAAATATTTAGATTTTGTTTATGCATCAACTTCTAAACATCATTTTGCATTATAATTACTGCATATAGTTCTTAAATTCATTGATAACATTCTAAACTGAACTTCATATTAAATTACAGGCAGAAAATAATAAGGAGCAACACGAGTTTCATGAGATTTTATTAAGTTATTTTCGAGCCAGGCACCAACTTACAAGTGTGGAAGAAGACATCAGAACATTGCAAAAAAAATGTGCATCTTTACTCAATGATGTTTGGATTACACATACCAAAAACGTCATTGTGCAGGTAGTCTCATGATAGAAGGAAATGCCTCACATAAATACAATTATTTCATGAAGGGTATAATTAGTTCTAACTGATGTTCAAGTTTATATTGTTAATGTATAATTTTTACCCCACTGAAAATTTAAATCAATGGCAGTAAATTGTAAATAGCTGGATTTTATCATAGTAATAGGCTTTGTTTAAGAAAATAATATAATATAAATATAATATTTATTTTACTATTACTCTCCTAACTGATGTAAATATTTAACTTGACCCCTTCAGGGCCATTGTGCAGATCAAGCCCGTGTCCAGACAACCCACTCGTATGAACAGTGTCAGTTTGTTCCCGTTGCCCTCTCTAAGATTGGTGTAACACTAGAGAGCATTAGACAACAGATCAGTGACAACTTGGCTCTTTTTGCATATACTTCTCAGATTTCTAAGTTAGTCTTCTACTTATATTTTACGACCATTTTTACTTTTATACTTCTCAGATTTCTAAGTTAGCCTTCTACTTAAATTTATTGACCATTTTTACTTTTGGACTTCTACTTATATTTTGTGACCATTTTTACTTTTATACTTCTCAGATTTCTAAGTTTAGTCTTCTTCTATATTTTATTACCATTTTTACTTTTATTTTATTATTCTTTGAAACCCTGGTATATTTTTCAATGTATATTTTTTCAAATGATGTATCATTTCAGATTGCAAGTTGAGTCCTACATTCACAATTTATATCTATCATGCCCTGTTCTTCATGACCTTCCTAAAAATGCCACTATTCAATGTGAGTTTTACCTCATAGTTTCAGCTGGTACAATCATATATATTCACTTATATCATATAATTTGTATTAAATAGAAAGAAACTCTATACTTATGTAGTAACTTTGGAGCTCAAAATAAGTTGTTTTTTTTTTAGAATATTTCAATTTATATATAAATTGTAAAACTCTAATATGTACCTTTTATTGTTTTTACTAATGCTATTTTTACAATAGCTGCCCCTTCATTAATTATGTTGAATAAGGTAGTTAAATGACTGTTTCACCAACAGCACGTCAACAGTCTTTAGCATCTGAACGTCATGACATACAGAGATTGAAAGATTGCATTAGTATTCTTTTTATGTTTCATCGCAAACCAACCCATGATACTGAATTTGTCAACAGCATCCGTCAGTGGACAATTAAACTGGTAACATTTTACTCTTTTTATTCCTTGAATTCATAAGTCTAATTTTAAAATTGATGGATAACAACATAGGGTTTGTTAATTTTCAAGCACAGCACACAGTTTCAACATTTTCATGTAGTTATGTAATGAAAGAAATGCTTATGCATGAAGTTGAATTATTCATTACTTATGCAGCACTTAATAAATTTCACATCAATATTTCAGACTTCGTTTCTACTTCGGGTTGGCACCTTCTCAGATCAGTTGTTTATTTTGAATCACCTCCTGCGCTGTCCAGCAGGGGTTGGAAAATGGGCTGTAGAGTTACTGCAGTTCCCTCCCCTCAGTTGTAGCCCTCTTCAACACCAGAACAGTTTGGGGAATCCTGTCATTGAGCACCTCGTTACTGCCTTGGCCACCATTTTGTTACCTGTCAAGTTTGTATTCATTACATCTGTTTCAGTAGCTACAATTTTACATTTTACAATCAGCCATAAACAAATTAAAGTTTGTTTAGTGTTGTCACTAAATTTTATATTAAAAGTATGCACCATTGCCTTTATCTGGTTGTAAAATGAATGGTTTTACCTGTAGAGCTAGAGAAGAATTCATGTGCCACATGAAACTGAACATCACAGAACAGAGCATTCAGGAAGAAAGAGCTTGGATACTTGTTGACTCTGATGGAGAAGAGGTATTCAAATTAACTTAATTTTTTTACTTTTACTTAGCTATTGGCATGTCTCTGTAGAATATTGTTCATTGTCCCTCAATACATTTAAATTGAGAATCTGTCTTGTTTTTTTTTAAGTTCATATTTTTCAACATCTTGATTTTACATTGGTTATCAACTTGTTTCATGTACACAATTTTTATTTTTACCATGTAGCTAAAGTTAAAAAGCTAATCACTCACAACAGCAAAGTTAATTTTGTACGCTAGTAATACAACATATTGTGTGTCATGTTGTTTTACCTGAATTGCAGGATGAAGACCCATCCAATTCCTGGTTGTATCTCCATGAGAATGACATTGTGTCTTTCCTTGGTCAGTTTCCACTTGCTGACCTTTTTTCTTCAATTCTTCTGGCAACTATCTCAGACACAGGTGAGTTCAACAATTGTCCATCTGTCAAATCGTTTTTCTAACTCAAAAATATGTTTGAGAACCACTGAAAAGCTATTATAAAACATCATTGGCTAAAAGTTATGATAAATAAATGACTTGTTAACAAATCATCTTGAGCATTGACTTCCCTTTGACAGGATCTGTAGATTACGACATCCGTAGGAGCACAGAGCCTATGATGATTCGTCTTTTTTCATTTACCACTGTCTTAATACAACTCATTGGTAATGGACTAGCTACATACAGCATGGCACGCTATAGACAACTGAATAAGCGGCTTGGAAGACTTATCAGGTAATGTTCATCTTAACAAACAGAATGTTATCTTGTAATGTTGATAGTCTCAACACAGTTCACCTGCTAATGGCTTTCTTTGAATTTGTCTGTAAGATTGATTTATAAACTTTACATAATAAAAAGTCATGTACCCTTTCAGACCTGATGGCCAATATATGAAATAGAGTTTGGCTGTTTCTTTTACTTAAGCATATGAAAGTATTGTGTCAGCATATAAAAGTATTGTGTGGTCAGCATTATGCGTAGCCACACTTTGAGCTGTGTCCTGACTCTAGCTCAGAAACCAAACAACATGTGTATATTAGCAGTCATACCACAACTATAAAAACCCATGACAGTCTTTTTAGTAAAGCAATTGTTCCTTGAATGCATTCCCAGACAAACAATATCCTTTGTATCTGACCACTGGCTGAACTTCAGGACCTACTACGGGCCGCTAGCTCCACAAGCCAGCATAGAGAACCTCCAGATAGAGTTTGATCAGTTGTTCATGCGGGCCACTTACAGCATACTTACTGCTCAGAAGTAAGAAATTTTATCACTCACAAGCTTGTAATAGAGAGTAATAGTTTTATTAAGTTTTAGGGTAAATTTAATGCGAAATGATTGTATCATTTGTGAGGCTCTGCCTGATGATGTTTTTAATTCTGTTTAAAATAATTAGACAAGCACACCCTTTCATGTAAGTTGAGCTAGTTTTTTTTATAGCTTGTCATGTGTTTGCTTCTTAGACCTACCTAAGTCATTGTTGCTTTAGACGATCTTTTTGCTAGACTAGAGTACGCAGTCTTTAACAGTCAGCTGGCAGCTGTTTATTGGACGTTTGTTTACATTGTTGTATGTGAGATTGGGTTCAATATTTTTTAAATTAAAAAATGTGTTATGTTATTATAATACATGTTGTATTGACAACAATTGAAAACAGGATGTATTACAATTATTTTATGTGAATGCTAGTGGTTTAAAACATTTTTAGTGAACATTATATAGGTATATTTTCTACTTACTCTTCTTTAAAGAAAGTTTGTATTCACGTTTCTTTCAGAATTTTAAAATTCATTCAAATTTTATTACAAAATAAATTTTAAATTTGTTCTCATATTTCATCACTAAGTATTAAATGTTGTCACATTTTTTGCTGTTAAAATTGTACAAAACTATGTGTCATTTTCCTTTAGCACCATTTTTTTATGGCACAGTGGTTAACTGTTGAGAGTACAGAGCACATAAACACAACTGTTGTGTAAATAATGTGCATGGCTGGTTGTTTTTAATTTATAGCTAAAACTATTTAAAAACTTTTTATTGGGGTCACTCATTTATCACTCATTAAATTTTGAAGTATTACGCTCACTTATTATATTTTTGTCACTAATACTTCGCTCAATCAATGTGGAATTATTTATGCTAGCTATTTATACAGATATCTGTTTTCTTTTTTTTTTTTATATGTTAAGATTTCATAAACGGAAGGATATTTGTCAACAGTCTATATAATAGATGTGCATTGACAGCTGTATGTCTTGTTAACATTAATCATGTATTGTAAGATTGGTGTAATCTGTAAACATTTTACTACTTTTATCTCAGTGTTTGTCTCCCTTACCTCTTATTTTTATCAACAATGTCACAATCTTTGTCTCCCTTGCCTCTCATTTCATCAGCTGTCACACTGTTTATCTCCCTTAGACTTGGCTCATGGCAGTTCATGGCAGACATGCCATACACCTGTGTCTCCATCGACAGTATGTGGCAGCTGTTGTGGGTGCTTCACCAGGGAGAGGGCATTAACCTCGACATGTTGCCCCCAGTAGCATCCTGTAAATCTTACTTAAAGGGTAAAAATTTGTTTCATTTCCCAACCATCTGACTTCATATTCTTCATCAATTCTAAAATTAGAATGACCAATTAATTTTTTCCTTCAACACATAGCTCAGGCATAATATCATATTGATAATATCTTACAGATAATATCTGATTGATAATTTTATTCTTTTAGTACAATTCTCATGCTATGCCTTTATTAAAAAAGATTTTAAAAAGAAATACTGATCAACTTTTTAAAAAACCTGCCAATATAATTTGTGTTTGTTTCCTAGGGCCAGATAGCTGGCAGCAACTGGCTGATAACTTGATGCATATGCCAACATCAGAGGCCATTTATCTCCTAACAACATTTGCCAACATGGCAGGTTGTCGCTCTTCAGAAGAGGAGGAGTTTATACGCCTGATCACATTAGAAGTTTTTGAGGTACATTTGATCACATTCTTACATTCCTAACTTGTCTAGAATAATTACATTTGTTTGTACAAAACGACCAACCTAAATTAAGCACAAGATTAAGCCTAAACAATTTTATATATAAAATTTTCAGATTGCCTATATCTGTAACCATACACGGGAGTTCTGCTCAAAAGTAGGTCGTGAACTTTTGTCCAGCATCATCCAGATTCACCCTCATGCTTTCAGCTTTTTGCTGGGTCGGGTTAAAGAGGTCATGGACAAACTTGGCAAGGTCAGTTGTTTTTGAGTTAAATTATTGTTGCTTAGGCTGATTAACACCAGACCAGGCACAAAACACCTGGCATGTAGTCTTGAACTAAGAAAATCTATCGACCAAAAAACGTAATTTATCCTAAGACGTTTTTAATTTTTTTTTACAAATAATTGGAAGTAAGATAGTGTTCATGCTGTGTTAAACTTGTTTCTTATAAACAGATAGTCCTACACCATTAATGAATTCCTATTTGGTGTCTGTCCTCTGATGGCCATTAATAAACTCCTATTTATTCTCAGATGGCCCTCTACCTCTTTCATGAGCTCCCCATTTGCATCTGGCAGCCCACTGACCCTGACATGTTGACACTAAGGCAGTGGCTCTTGAACTTTGACCTAAACTCCTCAGAGAATCAGCTGGCGCAGGTTGTCTTAAGCAAGATGAACTGGGATGTCTTTGAGGAGGTGAGAGAAATTTCTTTTCTCTGCTTTTTCTAATTTATATATTTTATTTTTTAACATCTTAAACTGATTTGCAATTCTTATTTCCTAGTCTGGGCGTTTGGTTGTGGATATAAGATTTCATCGACAAATGGCACTTCTCTTGGTTGAGGCTTACACCAAGTTTATTGCTGATAAAAAAGCTGGATTCTTTATAACAGAAGGGATGAAACTAGTAGGTTTTAAACTGTAAAATAATTAGGAATTGTATTAATTGAATGGTATAATGTTACTGTCAGTTACATGTAATCATCTATAATAATAATTGCATTCTAATTTGGGGACATTTTCTAAAGAAATGTTCCATTTAAATTCTATTTTTAGATGGCCTCTTATGTAACATCTGTCCAAAGTCCAGAGCAGAAATTCAACAACTGGGCGTGGGAGTTGGCCCTGAGACTGAAGCTCCACCAGAGGAGTGTAGTGCTACATTCGTCCAGGGCTGTTGATGCCAGATTTCAACCTCCTGTCTTTGGAGCTGATGCTTGGTTATCTCCCCTGCAGCGGGCCACATCAAACAAAACTCCCATCGCTTGTTTTGTGGCCATCACAATGACCAACATTGGCCATGAGTAAGTTCTTATCCCTTTGTGGCCATCACAATGACAAACATCTGCCATGTTTTTATCCCTTTGTGGCCATCACAATGACCAACATTGGCCATGAGTAAGTTTTTATCCCTTTGTGGCCATCACAATGACCAACATTGGCCATGAGTAAGTTTTTATCCCTTTGTGGCCATCACAATGACCAACATTGGCCATGAGTAAGTTTTTATCCCTTTGTGGCCATCACAATGACCAACATTGGCCATGAGTAAGTTTTTATCCCCTTGTGGCCATGACAATGACCAACATTGGCCATGAGTAAGTTTTTATCCCTTTGTGGCCATCACAATGACCAACATTGGCCATGAGTAAGTTTTTATCCCTTTGTGGCCATCACAATGACCAACATTGGCCATGAGTACGTTTTTATCCCTTTGTGGCCATCACAATGACCAACATTGGCCATGAGTAAGTTTTTATCCCTTTGTGGCCATCACAATGACCAACATTGGCCATGAGTAAGTTTTTACCCCTTTGTGGCCATCACAATGACCAACATTGGCCATGAGTAAGTTTTTACCCCTTTGTGGCCATCACAATGACCAACATCGGCCATGAGTAAGTTTTTACCCCTCTGTGGCCATCACAATGACCAACATTGGCCATGAGTAAGTTTTTACCCCTTTGTGGCCATCACAATGACCAACATTGGCCATGAGTAAGTTTTTACCCCTTTGTGGCCATCACAATGACCAACATTGGCCATGAGTAAGTTTTTACCCCTTTGTGGCCATCACAATGACCAACATTGGCCATGAGTAAGTTTTTACCCCTTTGTGGCCATCACAATGACCAACATTGGCCATGAGTAAGTTTCTACCCCTTTGTGGCCATCACAATGACCAACATTGGCCATGAGTAAGTTTTTACCCCTTTGTGGCCATCACAATGACCAACATTGGCCATGAGTAAGTTTTTACCCCTTTGTGGCCATCACAATGACCAACATTGGCCATGAGTAAGTTTTTACCCCTTTGTGGCCATCACAATGACCAACATTGGCCATGAGTAAGTTTTTACCCCTTTGTGGCCATCACAATGACCAACATTGGCCATGAGTAAGTTTTTACCCCTTTGTGGCCATCACAATGACCAACATTGGCCATGAGTAAGTTTTTACCCCTCTGTGGCCATCACAATGACCAACATTGGCCATGAGTAAGTTTTTATCCCTTTGTGGCCATCACAATGACCAACATTGGCCATGAGTAAGTTTTTACCCCTTTGTGGCCATCACAATGACCAACATTGGCCATGAGTAAGTTTTTACCCCTTTGTGGCCATCACAATGACCAACATTGGCCATGAGTAAGTTTTTATCCCTTTGTGGCCATCACAATGACCAACATCGGCCATGAGTAAGTTTTTACCCCTTTGTGGCCATCACAATGACCAACATTGGCCATGAGTAAGTTTTTACCCCTTTGTGGCCATCACAATGACCAACATTGGCCATGAGTAAGTTTTTACCCCTTTGTGGCCATCACAATGACCAACATTGGCCATGAGTAAGTTTTTACCCCTTTGTGGCCATCACAATGACCAACATTGGCCATGAGTAAGTTTTTATCCCTTTGTGACCATCACAATGACCAACATTGGCCATGAGTAAGTTTTTATGCCTTTGTGGCCATCACAACCTTGGCCATGAATAAGTTTTACTAGTGTTATTGTATTCAGCTACATAATTTTTATTTAAGATTTAACTCATGTTCAGCCGTAGTTGAGCCCAAAATTGTTTTTTCCAGTGTAGCAACATTTATATCAGAGGCAACTATAGTTGAGCCTAAAATTGTTTTTTTCCAATGTAGCAACATTTATATCAGAGGCAACTATAGTTGAGCCTAAAATTGTTTTTTCCAGTGTAGCAACATTTATATCAGAGGCAACTATAGTTGAGCCTAAAATTGTTTTTTCCAGTGTAGCAACATTTATATCAGAGGCAACTATAGTTGAGCCTAAAGTTGTTTTTTCCAGTGTAACAACATTTATATTAGAGGCAACTATAGTTGAGCCCAAAATTGTTTTTTCCAGTGTAGCAACATTTATATCAGAGGCAACTATAGTTGAGCCTAAAATTGTTTTTTCCAGTGTAACAACATTTATATTAGAGGCAACTATAGTTGAGCCCAAAATTGTTTTTTCCAGTGTAGCAACATTTATATCAGAGGCAACTATAGTTGAGCCTAAAATTGTTTTTTCCAGTGTAGCAACATTTATATCAGAGGGTCTGGACCTGCTGTCAGTCCTGACAGGCAGCTGCCAGTACACAACAGCCATACATGCCCTCGGCTGCATTGTGCCACTCTACTTGGACACACAGGACTACTTGCTGGAGAACAACACGTAAGCTCTGCACCTTCTCTCTAAGCTTTTAGACTTGTGAATACCCAGATTAAAAACTAACACATAAGCTCTGCTTCTTCTCTCTCAGCTTCTCTCAAAGATTTTGTGTACCCAATACCTGGACTAATACTAAGAAAAATAATCTAGACAAAATACCTCAATAACTGTTTCATAAAAATCTTAACCAGAAAGGTTTATTAGTATAATCATTGTTGCTTTAAAATGCCTAAAGTTGCCATAGTGCAGTTGTTGTTTTTTAAATACCTTTTTGTTAATAAATTTTGAAATTTCTAAAAGAAAAACTTTTTGTGTTGCAGGTTCTGTCAGATCCTCCAGACATTGTTGATGGCAGATGAGTCGCTGATCAAGTCAACCAAGTCAACAATCATGACTGTAGAGTTCCCTGGGATAGTCACCAAACAGCTGACTGAGATGATCCAGGTGAAGCCAAACTTTTCTCTCTGTCTTTGTTGGGACATTAGTGTTCATTTCTATGTAGGGACATTAGTTTCCTCCATTTCTTGGTAGGGACTTTAGTGTCCATTTCTTGGTAGGGACTTTAGTGTCCTCCATCACATAACAAGTCAGACTCCTGTGTTACTCCTTGCTTGTTTCCCCCCCTCTCTCAGGCCTCCATCACAAGTCACCTCACCCTACTGAAGGCAGATCAAGTCATCATTTTTTGGTTGAAAGCAATTTTCAAAGTTTGTAAATTCTTCACTGACAGGTTAGTATCAAATAGTACCTCACCTGGCACTTTCCCCTGTATTTGCTGGTATGTCTGTTGACAATCTTTTCTTCTCTCCTGCTAGGAACAGCTGCTATGTGGCTGACACATTGATTCGCTGGAGCTTTGTTAAAAAGGGGGTCCTGGATATTGTCACCGACATTTTCAAGGAAAACTACAAGGTTGGTTTTCTACTCTGTTTACAACTGTATCAGTTCACATGTCCTGCTACTCTAAATACAAACCTCATTTTTTTATAAAAGATTATAAACATGATTTTAATTTAAAATATAAATATATTATTTTTGTAATAATAGGCCAAAAAATAAATTCAAAATGTTTTGATATCTACTAAAGTTTAATTGTAAATAAGATCAGTTATAATCTTACATGTATCCCACAATGCCCCTCTACTTGACCTAACATTGTATCCCACAATGCCCCTCTACTTGACCTAATATTGTATCCCACAATGCCGCTCTACTTGACCTAACATGGTATCCCACAATGCTCCTCTACTTGACCTAATATTGTATCCCACAATGCCGCTCTACTTGACCTAACATTGTATCCCACAATGCCCCTCTACTTGACCTAACATTGTATCCCACAATGCCCTTCTACTTGACCTAACATTGTATCCCACAATGCCCCTCTACTTGACCTAACATTGTATCCCACAATGCCACTCTACTTGACCTAACATTGTATCCCACAATGCCCTTCTACTTGACCTAACATTGTATCCCACAATGCCCTTCTACTTGACCTAACATTGTATCCCACAATGCCCTTCTACTTGACCTAACATTGTATCCCACAATGCCCCTCTACTTGACCTAACATTGTATCCCACAATGCCCTTCTACTTGACCTAACATTGTATCCCACAATGCCCCTCTACTTGACCTAACATTGTATCCCACAATGCCCCTCTACAGAAGTTTTGTGCTGCAGCCAAGAACCGGCAGAGCCTGGTGACATCTATTTTTAGCTGGATCGCCAACACCAACACCCTCCCCTCCTACATGGACAGTGCCTCCCTGCCAGAGTTCCCCTGGCTGGCTTACATCATCCTGATGGTGGAGGGGGAGCAGGAGGTCAACTCACGTCTCTGGCAGACCCTGGTCATGGAGCTGCATGCCCACAGCAGGCCCAACATAGAGATGGCTCTAAAGGTTGGTTACATTAGGTAGTTTGTCACATGCTTTTGTTTACATTAGGTAGTTTGTCACATGCTTTTGTTTACATTAGGTAGTTTGTCACATGCTTTTGTTTACATTGGATAGTCACATGATTTTGTTTACATTTCACTGTCACATGTTTTTGTTTATATTTGAAAACTCTTACAGTTAATGGTTGTGGTGAGATTTTATTTTGATGCCAACTTTTGCCCTACAGGCTGCTGTCCTGAAGCTCCAGCTTGACCAGGCGCCGTCCGCCAGTCGTCTGACCATCTTCAGGTGGGCCCAGCAAGCACTGGACACGCCCTTTGATCACCCTTTGTTGCCAGTTCTGTGGCAGAGGTTTTTTGGGCTGTTTCTTGGAAGACAGGTGTTTGAATCAAGGTATGTTTTTACAGAATCAGAATCAATTATCACTAAGCAAAGGATTACATGCATTATTTACACAACTAAAATAAGGTTGTGGTGTGTTTTCACTCAAAGACTTACTGTTGAATATTGTCCTCTCTCATCACCAGCCCAGCACAGAGGACAAGCGTGGGCGAGAGGTTCTTTGAAAACATTTACTACACCAGCATGTTGAAGAAAATGAGAAAATATTTGTCTGACGCGGCAAAGTTTCACTTAAGTTTTGACCCCGCCCAGGGAGGAATGAAAAAAAGAAATTCGTCACAAAGTTCTCCTGGAACCCCTCCAGGGGGAGATGAGAACTTTGAGTTTGGATCAGGGACGGAACAGGAGAGCATGGAATACACAAGTTCCAAGGAGTTTCATCAGATGTTGGCCAGGTAAATGTTGAGTTCTTTAAATAGCTCAATCACATGTTGGCCAGGTAAATGTTGAGTTCTTTAAATAGCTCAATCACATGTTGGCCAGGTAAATGTTGAGTTCTTTAAATAGCTCAATCAGATGTTGGCCAGGTAAATGTTGAGTTCTTTAAATAGCTCAATCACATGTTGGCCAGGTAAATGTTGAGTTCTTTAAATAGTTCAATCACATGTTGGCCAGGTAAGTCTTGAGTTCTTTAAATAGCTCAATCACATGTTGGCCAGGTAAGTCATTTACTAAGTTAAACAATCAGCTGTCTAGGTGGTTGCCAAAAGTAGATATAGGGCAGCAAGAGTATTGATAGTAAATAACTTAGCCTAGGAAAATTCGTGATAAGTTGTGAACATAGGTCTTGATTATAAGGATGTTGTATGACAGAGAACTACTAGATTCTGTCAAGTACAGCATCATGTTGGATGACTTAAGATTGTCAAGTACAGCATCATGTTGGATGACATAAGATTGTTAAGTACAGCATCATGTTGGATAACATAAGATTGTCAAGTACAGCATCATGTTGGATGACATAAGATTGTTAAGTACAGCATCATGTTGGATGACATAAGATTGTTAAGTACAGCATCATGTTGTATGACATAAGATTGTATGTTGCAGGCTGTACCAGACGTACCAACTGTGGCTGGAGGAACCACGTCTGCATGACGGGAACTTGTATCTTCCTGCTTTACCTGTTCAGTACGAGGCTGCTAGACTCAACCAGGTGTTCCAAGGATTTATGGTCAGATTTTTATCAATCTCATTTCTTTTAAATTTAACTGTCCCATTTTGGCATGTTAAATTTGTGGTCAGATTTTTATAAATTACATACCTTTTCAAATTTTACTTCCTTTTTTATTCTTCAGGTTTTTATGTCAAATTTCTTTTTAAAATTATTTTAAAAGAAACTGTAAACTTCTGTAACAACCCATAGTTTGACTCCTGGCATTTCTCCCCATAGGGACCATGGTATGAGTTTATGGACCTGGAGGGTGTTCAGTACAACCTCAGCTGTTTGGCAGCAGACTGGAAGAAGCGTCTGACATCTGCCAAATCTGCTGCAGTTGAGGCAGCTGTCAGGAAACATTCCATGAACTTGGCTGGAAATGGTGAGGGGTCCAATGTTTAATGTCACTGTTTTAACACATGTAATCACTGGGTTAGAAATGGTGAGGGGTCCATTGTTTAATGTCACTGTTTTAACACATGTAATCACTGGGTTAGAAATGGTGAGGGGTCCATTGTTTAATGTCACTGTTTTAGGTCATGTAATCACTGGGTTAGAAATGGTGAGGGGTCCATTGTTTAATGTCACTGGTTTAGGTCATGTAATCACTGTGTTAGAAATGGTGAGGGGTCCATTGTTTAATGTCACTGTTTTAGGCCATGTAATCACTGTGTTAGAAATGGTGAGGGGTCCATTGTTTAATGTCACTGTTTTAGGTCATGTAATCACTGGGTTAGAAATGGTGAGGGGCCCATTGTTTAATGTCACTGTTTTAGGTCATGTAATTACTGGGTTAGAAATGGTGAGGGGTCCATTGTTTAATGTCACTGTTTTAGGTCATGTAATCACTGGGTTAGAAATGGTGAGGGGTCCATTGTTTAATGTCACTGTTTTAGGTCATGTAATCACTGGGTTAGATTATGATATCTGCAATATCCTTCTGACTCCAATTACTTTCTGTCCTGACCACTATCAGCAACTGAGAGAATCACACGACGGCTGCAGAGGTATGAAACTCCCAAGCCTCCTCCCCCCCTACAAAACATACAGAGTGCTGTGCCCATGATAAACTCCGGCATTGTTGATGAGAAGTCTTTGTTTCTCAGTCTAGTGCGAGCAGATCTAGAGATTCTCCTACAGTTTACTAAGTGAGTTTTTTTTATTGTAGTCTTTAGTCCATTATCTTATTAATTTTTTAAATATAGATTCACAAATTTATTTATTTATGTATTTTCCCAGAATTTTGTAAAATATTTTGTTGTTGAGAATGGATTATAAATTTGTTATCATTGCTGTTAAAATTTTTCTCTGCCTTATATTTTAAATTATTATTTGCCTGATTAAATTTCCCCCACCAATTTTGTGTAGAATATTCTCAGCCCGTCTTGCCCACCACTGTGCTCTGGACTACAATTTCACGGAGTTACTGCCCAGTTTGTACTCAAACATCACAAAAACAGTGAGAAATATTTTGTTTTATCTGATAAATTACTTTCTATTCTACTTTAACCTGAGACAGAAATAGGGATGAACATTTTATTTCATTGTCTAAGAAAGCAAGATTTTCATAATACTTTGTGTTACAAGGCAATAAAATGGATGATTTCAAGCTTTATACGAAATCGAAACTGATCAACTATATTTGGAATAAACTACATTATTAGTTGACTAGTGAGCTTAGTTTTTACCTCAGCATTTCAACAACCCAGGATCAGAAAACAAAACATGATTCTGAATTGATTTTACCTAGTGGAATTATAGAGTGACAAGTGGATTAGTAAACTATTTTATCCTTGTAGAATTATCAAGTGACAAGTGAATTAGTAAAATATTATTGAACAGCTGTTGAATGATTGCCTTGTTTCTTCAGATCCCTATAACAGCTGAGTGTAAAAGTAAAGTGAATCCCTTACACAGATGCAGTGGGCCAGCTATTCTACCTGTCACGGTAACTCAATCAAATATTTGTGTCCTTTGATTGATGAGAATAGTTTCGTTTTTCACAGAAATGCTTGATCCCCTCAAGTTTTTGAACCTCTTGTATTTGTGGAAATCACTTTTAAACAACATAGTGGTTAATTTTTTGAACATCTTGCGCTAGATTGAGGTGAAAGAACTGAATGAGATCATCCAGAGAAGGCTGGATGAGAACAGAGTGGAGCACAAACAGGTCATGATAGAGTCTCTCCTGCCAACAGCCCCAAACATCTGTGTAGCTGTTGTACACACGGAGAATGCTATCACGTAATGGCTTTATTTCTTGTTATTATATCATGTAATTAGTTTATTTCTTATACATGCTGAATATCATATCAAATAATTAATTTTTGTATACACCCTGATAATGCCAGGCTAACACATCAGTTTCTGACACACCTGTAACATCTCACACCTGTAACATCTCACACCTGTAACATCTCACACCTGCAACATCTCACACCTGTAACATCTCACACCTGTAACATTTCACACCTGTAACATCTCACACCTGTAACATCTCACACCTGTAACATCTCACACCTGCAACATCTCACACCTGTAACATCTCACACCTGCAACATCTCACACCTGTAACATCTCACACCTGTAACATCTCACACCTGTAACATCTCACACCTGCAACATTTCACACCTGTAACATTTCACACCTGTAACATCTCACACCTGTAACATATCACACCTGCAACATTTCACACCTGTAACATTTCACACCTGTAACATCTCACACCTGCAACATTTCACACCTGCAACATTTCACACCTGTAACATCTCATACCTGCAACATTTCACACCTGTAACATCTCACACCTGTAACATCTCACACCTGTAACATTTCACACCTGTAACATCTGTCCTTACAATAAACTTGTTACTGAAACAATCCACTGCTGTCCTTGTTACTGAAACAATCCACTGCTGTCCTTGTTACTGAAACAACCTACTGCTGTCCTTACAATAGACTTGTTGCCACAGGTGCCTGATCAAACAAAGTCAAACAACAACAGATGCAGCCCGCGCAGAGCGTCTGAATGACATTGGCTGCACCCTGTTCTTTTATCTGGTCAACCTGGTGTCTGATGAAACAGATTTCTACCCACCCTCCCGCCAGTTTCTTACCTCCTGTATTGAGATCCTGGGACAGGTAAGTGACGTGTCACCGGTATGTCACATTTAACATCATGTCATGTTGGTGTCACATCGAACATCATGTCATGTTGGTGTCACATCTATCATCGTTTCATGTTCGTGTCCCATCTAACATTATGACATGTTGGTGTCACATTTAACATTATGTCATGTTGGTGTCACATTTAACATTATGTCATGTTGGGGTCACATCTAACATGTCATGTTGGTGTCACATCTAACATCATGTCATGTTGGTGTCACATCTAACATCATGTCATGTTGGTATCACATCTAACATCATGTCATGTTGGTGTCACATCTAACATCATGTCATGTTGGTGTCACATCTAACATCATGTCATGTTGGTGTCACATCTAACATGTCATGTTGGTGTCACATCTAACATCATGTCATGTTGGTGTCACATCTAACATGTCATGTTGGTGTCACATCTATCCTGTTGATGTCAATGGCATGTATCCTCCTGTCATTTCTTGGTGTCACATTGATCCTGTCATTTATTGGTGTCACATTGATCCTGTCATTTATTGGTGTCACATTGATCCTGTCATTTATTGGTGTCACATTGATCCTGTCATTTATTGGTGTCACATGTCCTTAACCTTCCAACCCCCAGGAGTTTGTCAGCCGAGACAAGAGTCAGACCTCGACAGTCCTGCAGCTGTGCCTGGACAAGCCGTCCATTTCTGGCCTGGTCTCCCCCCACTTTGTCCCCAACAGCTGCCCAGAGAAGCTGGTCATCATGTATGGTCAGCTGCTCAACGTCCTGCAGTCTCAGAACATGGAGCTGGGCTTCATGCTGCTCACCAAGGTCAGACAACTCTTTGTTTATACTTGCTGCAGGCCTCTCTCTAATACAGGCTCTAACTAGTAGAGATTTGAAACCATCCTCTTTACATTCATGAGTAGAACTAGTAGTGTTACTATAGTAGTGTAACTTCATTTGTTGATGAAGAATTCCAAAGAAATGGTAGAGTACATGACTGGTAATGCAATAGTCTTGGGCTTGGATCTTAGGCTTGAAACCTGGGCTAGAGTCCATAGCACATACTTGAGTCCACCCAGCCGTAACGGGTGCCTTACTTACATCAGGGAAAGTAAAAGCTGCTGGACATAAAACTGACCGTACTATCCCTTCATATGAATTGTCACAGTAAAAGGTTAGCCCTACTTCACCTTGCACACTGACAGTCATTCACCACAAAGTATCTTTGTTTTGCTATAAAAACTTAAATCTTGTTAGAGAGTTATCTACTTTCAAGTATGCTTCAATGTGTTTCCCAGTTTAACATCCAACAATGGCTGCTGTTAACTCCCCCTGCTGAAGCTGAGAGAAAAATTCTGATAGAAACTTTGGGGTCTGCCATCCTAACCTGTGGCACTGAGACCAAACCTGAAACCAAGTTGGTTTTTGAGGTAAGGACAAGTGGTAGAAAATCTTCATTTCTTTAGCATGTACGTGTTTTATGGCTTTACAGAAGTGGAATAAAATGTATTCAATTTGTGTTTTAGTTTACTTTTTAGTTTTGTTTTGTTTTAGTTTCGTTTAAAAAAATTTTATATCTAGAATTTTATTGTTAAAATTTAATTTTAAAAATTGTATAAAAATTTATTACCAAATAGAATAAGATTATTTTAGTAGAAGAGTTTTTATACTGATTTATTATCAGACATACTATATTCTATTGTACTTGAATGACAAAAGTTATTCAATAATTTTCAGTTTTATATTGTTAAAGTTATTCAATAGTTTTCAATGTTCTTATTGTTACATATTATTTACAGCTCTACCTGAGTCATCTGAAGACAGTACTAGAGAGTAACTTCCCCTTGAACTTGTACAATGTGCTACACATAATCCTACAAGGTCAGTGGTGTTTGTCATCTTGTAGATTCTCAAGGTCCATGTACAGTGGTTTTATTTAGATCTCTCTAGACATAGTTCATATATTTGTTTATAAGAAGGTTTCCAGCCTTTAGAATGTTCCAGGGGTCGGCGTGGTCGAGTCGGTAAAGCTCATGGTTGCTAAACCGAAAAGTCTCGAGTTCGAGCCCTCGGGCAGATGAGGCTCGTTAGCTGGGGACAGCCACTCTTGTAGGAGAGACAACTCCAAAATCAAACAACTGCTGCCTTGTAGTTTGTTCTTGGTTGGAAAAAGGCTATGGAAGCAAATCCAAAAAGAAAAGCAGGCTGAAATCGGAGACAATGGCCTCAATGGCGCATAACCAGTTGACACGTAACGCTTAATTGTGTTGGAGGCGTGGTCGAGCCGGCAAAAAGCTCATGGTTGATAAATTCGAACAAAGTCTCGAGTTCAAACCCACTGGCAGATAAATCTCGATCCCCTTCAACACTAATAATTAAGAATGAAGAAGAAGAAGAAAGAAGAATGTTCCCCATGATAAAAAAATGTCTACCCCACCAGGCTCAGCATCTGACCAGCTCCACCCTCAAGTCTGGCAACTCCTGCTCATGTCCTGCTTCACCAGCCACCTGCTCTACCAAGATGGTGGCCAGAGGGACAGCACTGACACGTTTGATGGCCAGCTAGTGGACGACTGTTGTGACTCACCCCTACACACTGCTCAGGTACAAACAACAAATATGTTTTTAAACTGATTATTTGAAAATCTGTTTGTTTGAAAATCTGATTATTTTAAAATCTGGTTGTTTTAAAATCTGATTATTTTAAAATCTGATTATTTTGCTTTACATAAACTTTAACCCTTTATCTACTGACGGTACTTATAAGTACCACTTTAATTAAGTGCCTGCATTATTTTTAATTTAATACGAATTTTAAAAATTTTGGATGTAATTAATAGTATTATCTCCCCTGAGTCGCCGGTAGTTGGAGGGATTGATGTATTTTGAAACTTTTTGGTGTGGCGCCAATTTCAATGGCTTGCTGTATCAGTAGTTTACAATTGTTCTGTAACGTTCTCACAAACGTTCCTGATTTCCCTTTGTTTTACCTTATTCTTGAAGTTTTCATCCCCAAATATTTTTTATTGGCACCTTCTATAGTCAGGCAAACGCGTTTAACTTCTAGTTATACAATTTTAATCAAATTGTCTTTGTATTAGATCGATGTTTACAAGTGGACTTATAAGTACCGTCAGGGCACACGGTCATTTTTTTTAGGATTTTTAGGAAACGGCAGATTTTCGATGTGGAGTGACATAAATATTATTTTGATAATTGATTATCATAATGTACTCAAAAAATGCTATTTACACATTTATGAGAAGGTTAGCATATGGTTTACCTAAGAAATATTGTAATTACATGTTGATTTCTCGTAGTAAAAGAATAACAAGAATAAAGGTAGCAGTCGCAGGCTCGTGTAATAGGTTTTGTATACTTCATTTGTATACCAAAGCCTAGTTCTAGTAGTAAGATTTAATTTGTTAGTTAAATTTACTGCAATAAAGTGTCTTGCCTACAATAACTAGTACTTATGTAATGTATTCCTGTAGACTAGTAATAGTCCATACTTCTGCATATAGTATAGATCTATATGGTAAATTTTAATCCGTAAACAGGAAACAGTAGGCCACTTCGGCTATCCTAAACACATTGAGCTCACTTCTATTTATGAACTTTACACAGTAGTGTAGACTTGTCATAACATTCGAGTAGGCTACAATTATACTAGTATTACTAGTAGTTGTGTACTGAATGACTAGGCTTTTGTTTGTTTATGCGGCTCATTGTAAGTAATAGCTATTGGAAGCTTCCAGCAAAAGCATTTCAGTCCGGCAACCGTTGCTACACCAGAATGACCACAGACAAGACTGAGGGAGCATGACATGTCGGCAGCTTTTGCTGTGTTTGAGGTCTAAGATGTGTTTTGATAGAAAATCCAATATAAATCGTACTCAAAATAGACTTTTGTGCTGTATTTATGTGTGAAAATTACAAAAAATGACTGTTATAATGATTGCCATGTTATTAGTTAATAAATTGCATTGTTTGTTCCTGTTTTGTAAAAAAAATTTTTTTGGAAAAAATGTCCTACATTCCTGACGGTACTTATAAGTACCAATATCTTTTTGGGCCATAAAAAATTTATGAAACGAAATTTCCTTCGACATATGCTTTAAATGTGCCAAAAGCAATATGATAATACATTGTTTAAGAAAAAATTCATTCAGAACCTAATTCCGTAAATAAAGGGTTAAGTCTAAAATTCTAAAATCTTATTGTTTTACTTTACATAAATTAAAATTGTAAAATCTGATTCTTTTGCTTGACATTAACTCTGACTAAAATTTTAAAATCCTATTGTTTTACTTTACATAAACTAAAATTTTAAAGATTTTTTTTGTTTACAAGGTGAAAGAACTTTTAGACTGGCTGAGCTCATTTTTCTTGCATGGACGAATGAATGACAGCAAGAACTTGACCTTTGGCCTGTACTCCCATTGGAGCAGATACACAGTGTACATCAGCAAACTGATTGGGGTGTTGTGTCGCAGCTACACCACCAAGATCATCAATGGCTCCGAGGGCATGTCCACATACCAAAGTAAAACCACTTTTCTCTACACTTCAACTGTTCTGTTCATTGATTTTTTGTTTCTTTTAATCATGTAATTATATATGCTTAATGGATAATTAAAATATGTTTCAGGGTGGGGGGGGGGAGGTAGTGGTAATCAAATAAAAAATTGTTAGTTTTAAAAATTGTTAAAATCTGGTTTCTTAGTGAAGTTAGTAAACAATGTTTGAAGGGCCCCTAAGAAGAAGATTTGGAAGTTAACCCTTGAATATAATCTGTCGACAGTTGTGGAGCTAATTTGGCATCCCGTGCTGGTAGTTTTCTCCCCCTGGCTCCAGCCTCTCATGCAGACCAGTGGCAGTCTGGCCATGCCCTGGGTGGACACTGATGACACCTCTGCCCAGTACATGGTCTCAGCTTTTTGCAAATGTGTCTTGTACATCTACCAGCTCATGGATCGTAAGTGTTCAATGTTCAACTAGTTACTTTAAAGTCGTGGTAAGTGGAAAGTTTTCAAGTGTTTTAATGTGTTGTTCCCATCTGACTGAATGAGCAGGAAAATTCCCCAACAATGGCAGCGGTGTCTTGTCCTTACTGCTGATGTACTACATGACTGGCCTGAGTACCAAGACAACCCCAGCCCACATCATCTCAGTCTTGGTGTCAGAGTTCAAGGTCTTGCCCTGGGAGGAGCTGCGGCCTGACCTACAGCTGCTGGAGACTATGACCAAGGTCAGTTTTGTTTAAAGAGGGGTCAGATGTATGGTGGTCACTTCACCGGGGGGGGGGGGGGTTAATTTGTCATTCAGTTCACTTTGTAAAGTTGGTTAGAGAGTAAATTGATTTGTAAGGTTTGTTAAGATTATCACTTGAACTTTATTCTCCCAGAGAAGTTGTTTTTTTTTAAGAGGAGAAGTCATACATTATTTTAAACTACTCTTTTCATTATGTTTGCTTGTGTATTACTTATATAGTGTTTGAAATAAGTGACAAGTTCTAAATTTCTTAGCTAAAAACTAATAGAAACAGGCTCTAAATACAGATAATTTGGTTTTAAATTTCTTTAAAACTGAAACAGCTGGTACAATGTGATAGTTGGTTTGAGCTCAGCAGTGTAACATATAAGATTCAAATTTCAGATGAAAGAGATTGCTGCCCCTTGCTGTTTCTCCCTCTTGGGCCAGATTGTACCCCAGGTCCAGTGGCCAGATGTTATCAACTACTACATGACACAACCAAATCTAGAGATGGCTTCATGCATGCAGGAAAATCTGGCAGTCCTACTCATCCAGTGCTATGTTGATACTGAACATGGAGAGGTCAGATAAACTGTCACTGTCTTTTTATTAAGGATGTCTGATACTTTAACTATCACTGTTATAATGTTAGTACCTTTAAGACTAACTAATGTAGAGTAGCAACCACCTGTCAATGTACCAACTACTTTAGAAAACACCTGATACTGTACCAACTAATGTATAAAACACCTGATACTGTACCAACTACTGTAGAGAAAACTTTGTGTTTCTCCAGAAGCCAGAGATGTACAACTTGCTGCTGACCGCTGAGAAATATGACTGGCACCTGGTGACACCTGAAGGCTTCACACGTGTCTGTAACTGGTTCCTGCAGCTCTGTGATGCCAAGTGTGTTCTGGCAGAGAGGTCATCCAGGCTGGCCTTAGGAATCAGGTGACTAATCTTTAGGAAATCTTTTGGCTAGCCAAGTCACACACTCAAACTAGACCAGCCAAGTCACACACACAAACTAGACTAGAAAATCTTTTGACTAGCCAAGTCACACACCCAAACTAGACCGGCCAAGCTATACAGTACCAAACTAGACACTCATGTTTTCCTTACAGGCTACTGAAACAAATTTCTGGCTTTGGGCCTGAAACTCCATGGAGCGGTCAAGTTTCATTAAAGAGACAAACCTATGTCCACTGCATCATGCAGCAGCTGTGTCATGTGACCTACATGCAAGGTGTCAGTCCAGACATGCTGAGCACAGTCCTGGTCAACCTGCTCTCTGATGTGGAGGCCATGGAGACTGCAGGTTTGTGGGGTTTTTTTTAAATTAAACTAAAACATGATGTAACTCCTCACAAAACATGGACCTATTATGCCTATATTAGGCTTCTGTGTTGGTTCCTCAATGCCAGTGTTGTTAACTTAAATGCCTCATCCTCAAATATAGGGAAGATAACTCAAATTGTTAAAATTCTAATTGGGTTTTATTTTTTCAGTTCCAGATGTAACAAGTCAAGAGATGGAGTCCAACAATTTATTAAAAGAGATCCTAAGTCTCCTAAACAACAGCAACCCTGAGGGTCAGTGGCTGGAGACCATCATGTCGGCCTTCACTGGCTGGCTGCGCTCGTCACCCCACAGTTTACTGCTGGTGCCCTGCATGAAGGCAGCGTCAAGGTCTCTGGCCTCACTCAAGCAGATGTCTGCGGTCATAGAGGCTGGCATTGAGGTCTACTTTGTTGGATGTAAGTCATACTTTGTTGGATGTAAGTCAGACTTTGTTGGATGTAAGGCAGACATTGTTGGATGTAAGTCAGACTTTGTTGGATGTAAGTCAGACTTTGTTGGATGTAAGTCAGACTTTGTTGGATGTAAGTCAGACTTTGTTGGATGTAAGTCAGATGTTGTTGGATGTAAGTCAGACTTTGTTGGATGTAAGTCAGACTTTGTTGGATGTAAGGCATACTTTGTTGGATGTAAGTCAGACTTTGTTGGATGTAAGGCAGACATTGTTGGATGTAAGTCAGACTTTGTTGGATGTAAGTCAGACTTTGTTGGATGTAAGTCAGACTTTGTTGGATGTAAGGCAGACACTGTTGGATGTAAGTCAGACTTTGTTGGATGTAACTCAGACATTGCCACCTGTCTCAACTGTTTCCCCCTGCTACAGTGGACATGTCCAGCACTGACCTGAAGGGCTGGCCATTCATCCTGACAGTGTTCCAGGTCCCTGAGCTCAACCAGGCTGGCTACGTCCAGGACTCGCTGGCAGAGAGCGCCTTCCTGGTGCTCTATGCCTACCTACAACACAAGCTGCCATTTTGTCAGAAGCTCAGTGATGAGCTCTTGATTATGGACGAAATTTTAGAGTGGTCAACAAAAGCCCAGCCCAGGTGAGCTGTTGGGGTTACCTTAATGTGTTTCATTTACTGTGTTAGTGGAGAATTTAATTTTTTCAAAATGTTTTCATATATTGGAGTTTACATCCTGTTTGGATGAATAACATTAACATAGTGAAAATACAATATTCCCTTAAATTGTTATGTGTAAAGTTGTTATTAAATTATAGCAGAATAATGCATTAATAGGATATTTGATTTTATAAAATACTTCATGTCGGGGACTAAAATAAAAGCTTAGCCCTTGAATTAAAAAAAAATTTACTAATGACTTTCTCTATTTTTAGCGCTGTTGATGAATCTAAGCTCATTCTGTGGTGGCATCTCCTTCTGCGGCTGTTTGTAAGACAAGTAGAGTTCTCTCCCCCTCCCCTGACTGGGACCATCAACAAGATGAGCAGGTTCATCAGTTACCTTAATGAAGTTGGACTTGAAAGGACAAATAAAGGAATTCTGGGTGCCCTGGGCTTAGGTCAAAGGTCACCATTGTCTCAAAAGTCAGTCAACACTTTCTTTCTTTCCATTTTTACTTATTTTGACATTTTACAAGTGTCCCTACTTCTCATAATGTGACAGTCATTTTTATATACAAATACAGAAAGTCTAAAATTTTAAATAAAAAGTTATTTGGACCACTGCTGCCTCAGTTTTTTTATTCTCCTAACACATTTTATTTCACCCCAGAATGCGCCTGCTCGCCAAGACTCTGTCAGTATTTCTTGCCTCTCAGATTGTGAGCGCTGACACCCTCAGGACAAACTCAGCATCACGCCAGTCCAGCAGCTCCAGCTGTAATGAGCTGAAGGCCCTAAGAAAACATAAACTTTATTCCCAGATGGCATCAACCATTGATAGCTCAATCACGTTCATTCAAGATCCAAACCACACCATACATCATGTAATGACATTATTTGCCAGAGTCGTCAAAGATTTATTTGTGGACAAGAAGTATTTGTGTGATGTTATTAACCTTACATAAAACGACCAGGTACAGCAATCTGAAAATACCGTGGTCAGTCATCACATGATGTCAATACTGAGTCAACATGTTGACAGGAAAAAGTTGTCCATGTTCTGCCAAATGAAGTTGCCATAGATCAACACAGAAATGCAACTCTTCTAGCCTGAAGTTTTCTTGATGGTTGTTGTTGCAATGGTTGTTTTCTGTATCAATTCCATAAATTGTGAAGCTCCTACACTAAGCTTATATAAATATATTGGACACCTAGTGAAATTATTAGAAGATATAGTGTAGCTTATGTGTTTACATGCAAAATAAAAATGCAATATGTGAATGAGATATGCATTTCTTTAGTGTTTTAAATTATACATAATCTGTTTAATTTTTTTTATTGTTGAATCCTTTTCATTATTGGCTTTATGTTGTCAGTCTTTAAACTTGCTCATTTATTTAAAGTTATTACTTATGTCGTGACCTTGATAAAAAGGTAAAAATTGAGCTAAGTGTCTTTCAGTACCTTTTAAACTGCCATTGTATGCCAACTTAATTTTAAAGCCTTATTATATATTTTTAATGTACAAAAAAATATTGCATTTTAATTTATAATATAGTATTTAGATTTATGTTAATTGTTTGCAATATTTTAGTCTTTCATCAGATCACTATCTTTAAATTCTACATCAGTTTCCTGTACATATCTCACACAAACTGTATTTCACAAGTCTTCTGTTGTAACATTGTTGTGTAAATACAAATAAATTTATCCATACCATCAGCACTATTCATTTTTTTATTTTCCATTCTGATCAGTGTTGGGAAGTGAGTTGATACCAGTAGACATGGTGGCTCTTAGCAGGTGTCAAATTCTGATACAAATATCAAGTTACCTGCATATTTATTCTTGTCAGCATCAGTCACTACCTGAGTCCAACAAGATGCCTGCACATTTCTTCTAGGTATAAGTCACCCCCTGCATAATTCTTGTCAGCAAGTCCAACAAGATGCCTGCATATTTTTTCCCAGAATTTCAAGAAAGAGTTGCATCATAATTAAGCCAATGCAATTTGGTGGCAACTATAATTTAGTAATTGTTCTCAAGAAAAGTAAAATAAAGACATTTCAAAGCATTTATTCTTGTTTTTTTTTAAATAAAAAAACTTTAAACCATTGCAACAAAAATCTCAATACAGTATAGTTTAAAACTCATGTTCACCTCAAATCTATCATGGAACACCATTTTTAGGGTGACATTAAATTTTGGTTGAAAGTAAAAAGTTGCGTTGACATTTTAAAAAAATTTTGTCGCCTATTGAACTAAATACACCATTCACTCACTGGTTACCAAATACACACAAACATTGTCATACATGAGTAATATCAATTATCTTACATAAATTATTACAGTAGCAAAACTGCGGTGCTAACTCAAAGCACAGGTATAATTAACATAATAAATAAATATGAAAAAAAAAATCCTGATCTGCTTATCTAGCAATGGTAAAAACTCTTTCAAATGACACGACTACCAATGCTAATACATCAAACAAATAAAGCACATTTTAAATTTAGTATCAAAAATATTTTCAAAGCAGCAGTTGCAAAACTTAAGTGATCAGAGAAATGTACAACTAAACACTTCAATACAATATTGTACAAGTATAGAATTAGTCAAAAATTGCACTTGTAAAAACTGATATGAAAAAGATATAAAAATTGTTTTATTTTGTAAAAATATAAAAATAATGTTCAAATACCATGTGATGTACTGGACTTACAGACTTGACTTAAGAAAAGTTTTTCATGAAAACATGCATTTTATGTCTGGTTGTCAACCTGTTCATCAGCTACTACTGCCACCTGGCAATGTTAGTTGCATGAACATGGCCACTCAACCATTGTGACTGTATAAAAATCATTTGTTCCACCAGACTAGAGTCTGTCAACTTTTTTTCAATGTGATGCCAAATTAAAAGTATACAAAATAATATGTACAATAGGCAACACAGAAAACTTCTTGTATAAAATGCTGCTAGGAAATGACAATACTGAGAATAACTTTTTAAATGTAAATTTTTGATTCAACAGATTTTAAGTTGAAACTGATGATATTATGTAGTTTTCATGATAAACATTGAAATGACTTTCATTTAGATTTGATATCAATATCCAACTTCATAAAAAGACATGTATCTATCCTCTTTCATCTCAAAAAGACTTAAAATATCTAAGAAAACATGACTGAGCATACCAATTGTATGTGTTTATTTTTACATTTAAAAATTATTCAATTTTAAAAATAAGAAGTACAGTAAAAATTAAGTGCTTTGTTTTTATTTAGACAAAAAGGTATCTTAAAAAACATGTTTAGTATGTTTATAATGTACCAACACACAAGTTTGTATTATTTATAACACACAAAATGTCAAATGTGTATGGCAGATTTTATTTACATTTATACAAGGCGATCCAGAGAACTTCACTCAACAGTCAACATCTAGACAGCACTAGCTTGTAGGATTATAAATAAAAATGGTAGCATATTCACACAAGGGTGATCCAAATTTTGATAGAAATTATTATCAGTATTGTAAAAAAAATATAATTGGTCGTTATAATTAAAGTATTATATCTTTAAATTATGCTATCATTAAATTTACAATATGGTTTTAGGAACAAATCAATAACCACTAAAATATGTAATGAACTAAAACCTATTAGCTCTGAAAGACAAAAAAAAATTTGGCATCATTGTATCTATATTCTAAATAAGATAAGTTTTAAATTGATAAATATAAATGTTTTATATTTATTCTGAAACTTTTAAAATCAATGTTCTGTTAAAAAAAAACAGAACTGACTTCTAAAAGAAGAGTGAAGATACTGGACACTTTAATGCCCAGTAGTACTCTATCCCAGTTGAAATTTTATACCTGTATGTTGAGCAGCTTCACAGTTTGTGACAAGAAAACAAACAGTTCAGACATAGACTGGTTGTCCTAAGGCACTCGGAGCCTAGAGATGGTTATTGTCTTAACATATGCTTCATGTATGCTGCTGAACTACTACAGATGCTAAAATTTCCAAATATTTAGTTGGTCATACATTATTTTTCAAATAAAAAATAATTACCTGAAAACAATAAAACCTATTCAAGTAAGGCATTTTTTTAACCCATTCTAAGAAATTTGAAGAATACGTGAATGAGAGTTGTAGATGATGCTGGTGAATGAGATCACAAAAAAACAAAAGATAAAACAAGGCAAGAACTGTGAGGTAAGATATTGCTGAGATTCATAGGTCCACCAGAGCTGCAGTTCCATGCTGAAAAATCTGACCAGTGTGGCACATTTTTCAACTGAGTTACTATTGCACTTTAAATGCACCCTTTTAAATGCTTGTTTTGATTTCACATATGCTGTTTAATGTCACCAACAGATGTATCCATGGTAACAATGTAATCCCTCCTACAAACTTCAAATATAATTGTGGATTCACTCTAATAATGTTATTTCCTTTGAATCTAACTACTGCATACAGAGCCGTCATAGGTTGCTTCCAAGTTAAAAATTTGATGGCACTCACAGATCACTTCACCTCCCAGTGAGCAAGTTTATGATAAAAGTCTTCACTAGAAAAGCTTGGTCCAACATTTTATCCAAATAATTCCTTATATTCTTCTGAACCCCCAACCTCGACTGATGCAGTCAGAGACTGGGACTCAGGCTTGACATCCTGGCCTGATTCTGTGTCGTAAGGGCCGAGAAATTCAAGGAGTCGAGCAAATCTAGGTCGATCAGCTGGGACTGTTTGCCAACAGGAAAGTATTGTTTGGTACCTGAAACATAAATAGATAGTTGAGCAATCTAAGCTGAGAAATCAGGAAATTATAAAATTGGCTAATCAATTTGAACTAAGATATTAGGGATAAAACATGATGGCTAATTTTTTAAATGAGTGTTTTTTCTACATCAACATGAGCAATCCTTGAACTTCTGCTCAAAAGTGAGTTGTTTTCTCATGTGCACATAGCCAGTAACTCACACAGCCAGGGTCAAATGTTTACTGGCAGTGATCTTTTGACCAAGCAACACTTACACATTCTCAGGACACTGTCTGGGTTTGGACAGCCTCTTCCCCGACTTGACCTGTGTGATGACGTCACTAGGTGAGATGTTTGGGTACGGCTCCACTCCTCTGGTCAACACCTCCCACATGACAATACCAAATGACCACTGCAATCATTGGCATACATTCAAGTATTGTAGAAAACAGAAATATTTGAAATTTAAAATATTAAGTCTAAGGAGAATTTTTTCTAAAGGGATTTAACCTAATCAGCTCTAAGGAGTCAATTTTAAAGCCTTAGTTTATTAAACTCGCTGGCTGACAGAATCCTGTGGTTAAAAGTAATTTTTTTAATTTAATTTTTTACACTTAAAAAATATTCAGTATGGCCAGAAGATTTTGTTTCAGTTCACTTTTTGTATCAACTTACAACATCAGAGTGGGAGGAGAAGATGAAACTCTCCAATGTTTCTGGCGCCATCCACCTGACCAGTTCAGAGACCTTTCCATCTGCAGCCACATAGAACTCTTGGGGGAACAAGCTGGCTGTGATGACATAATCCGTCAACTTGATTGATGCTCGTTTGCCGTCGGTTTCTGTAATTCTATTAGAGGAAAGTAGCAACAATTATTTTACAGGATCTGGGTATGGATTTACGAACTGAGGGATGGAAACAAAAGGTGATTTCATGATGACTGAAATCTTTGAGCATGTGTTACTACTTAACATAAGGAATGGATTGAAAGAATCCTGTATCTCAACTTACATGCAATTTCTGGCAGCAAGATTTCTATGTACAATGTGTAGGTTGTCCAGGTAAGCCATGGCATCAGCTATCTGACTACAGTAGACCAACAGATCTGTCAGACTTAGAGACTGTGGATCAAGAGAATGCTTGCTTTATATTCTATATAGTTAGATAGCACTGGACCTACTTGTAAAATAAATGTTACCATCTACATCAGACAATTGTATCAAGTTAACTAGCACTGGACCTATTGATAAAATAAAATGTTACAATCTTCATCAGAGAAGTGTTCTCACCTTGGCTGGTTCCCTAACATAGGACCCTAGGTCTTCTGTGGCCATGAAGGGCATGACGACTATAGGGTCATCACTGGGACTGACCACAGCACCAACAACTCGCAGAAGGTGGGGGTGGGACAGGTCTCTCACCATGGCAACATTCTGCAAAAATTGCTGGAGTGCTTCCGCCTCAGATCGTGGTGCTAAAAATTGTTCAATTGAATCATAGATTAGAATGGTCATCTTGTTAATCAAGGAATTTTACAATAGCTAGATGAATCTAATTAACCAAGTAATTTAACACAAGCTTGACAAATCTAATTAGCTAAGTTATAGTAATTTAGCAAGAGCTAGACAAATCTTCTAATGACAATAGGTAGACATACACCAGTGTATACTACAGCTAATAGCTCACCTTGTAATGTTTTAACAGCTACATCAGCCTGTTTGTCATTTTCTGGGTTTTTGTACACAGCTTTGTAAACCACACCATAATGACCTGATAACCAAACAGTCGATTTCAATATTAGGTCAAAAGGTGTAACAATCATTCAATTATAAATAACTTTCTACTTAGTTTATAGCACTTTAATATTAATACATAAATACAAAATTAATAAAATACTTAAAAAAAACTTTTTAAAAAACCACGTTTTTCTTGTGGACTAAAAAGTAGAAAATAACTATTTACATACATTTGATGACAAAAAACGTGGGTACGTTCACCATCAAATTTCCCGACCCATCTGCCCGACCCACGTTTTTTGTCATCAAATGTATGTAAATAGTTATTTTCTACTTTTTAGTCCACAAGAAAAACGTGGTTTTTTAAAAAGTTTTTTTTAAGTATTTTATTTTCTCCTTTTTAGTCCGTTGCTACACATGAAAAACGTGGTTTTTAAAAAAGTTTTTTATATAGTTTATTTTCTACTTTATCTAATGACTTGATTAAGTATGAATTGACTAAGTGTTTATAAATACACGGACTAAAAAAATCTTGAGCGACCAGGATTCGAACCTGGGTTGTCGCGGCCACAACGCGAAGTACTAACCACTATACGATCACGGCCAGCGCGCTCACATCGATTGGGGCCGAAGTAACTGTGTCAACAAGCCTCCAGTCTTGTCGGTATCTTTAGAAATCATGTCCTCAATTTTATGGTCCTTTGGGCGTAATTAAATTAAGCTAATTACGGTCTCTAATTGCTAGTTTTTATGATTGCATCTGAAATTGTTAGGCGAAAGTAACCTGCATGCCAAATTTCAGATCTATAGAGCAATCAGAAGTGGGCTAATTTTCGATGTCAATTTTAACAACAAACACATCCACGCGAAGCTGAGTTAATAAAAACGTGTTAAAATACACAAATTTTCCTAAATGTACCGTCATAAAAAATATTTTTAAAAATTAAAAATGTACCTTTTCCAACTAAATCACCAATATTCAATTTTTTCCTGGAGATCAGAGCTGCAGCAATACTTTGCTTCAACACTGGCTCTTCAAACTTCCCAAGCAGCTCATTAATGTAAGGTGTAGAGTCTGAAACCATTACAGAAACTTAATGAATCTAACACAAGCTGCTCATTAATGTAAGGAGTGGAGTCTGAAACCAATACAGATATTTAATGCAACTGATCTGAGTGTTGCTCACAGATAAAAGACCTCAGTAATAGAAAATTTAAAACAGAAATCAAATACTATTTTTACAAGTATATCAAAACTTCCTTCTATACTTAAGTTGACATTATGGACCTGATAGTCAATATGGCAGATGAAGTAGATTTCATCTGGGTTTTTTTTTGCAGCATGTGAAGGAAAAGTGTGGTTAGCATTATACCCAGCAGCATTTACTTTCCCTAACTTGAGTCAGGTACCTATCAGAGCTGAGTGGATTCAGAAACAACCTGCAGACTCGAATTGGATATCCGAACACAACTTTTAGGTTAGCAGTCGAGTGATCTACTAGTAGCTGCACCACCCTGTTCCTTCTACATTGCTAAATTAAAAGTGTTAATAGAATAGATGCCAATCACCCTATCACCTGACAGGATAAGAAAATATTGATCATTTTCTACACACCTGAGTTTTTGTCCAGCTGACCACCATTCATGTCCACCTTGACAGGGAGGTTATCCATGGTAATCATCCCCTCCTCTTCTGGTTTGGCACCCTCGTAGTCCTTGAGAACATCTGGGATGTAGTGCTGATCTGGCTTGTGTTTGCGATGGCGGCGCAGCACGCAGAAGGTCAGCAGGACCACGATCAACAAAATGGGCAGTGCCACACCTAGAACAACTCCCAGTCCAATAGACTTGTTGGACTCAGAGGGAGAGTAATAACGCAGGTAGCCAGGCATGGACTTCATGTTGCCAATATGGACCTACAGAAAGTAATTCATCTAAGTATTCATGTACCACTAGACAAAACTATATACATATCATTACATAATTAGTGATTAAAACTGGCAGATTAACTGTAGTCTAGTTAGACTGATTCTGTTGCAGCAAAAGTTTTTAGAGAACTTACTGTTACAGCAAAAAATTTTAGAGAACTTACTGTGACTGGAGCTTTGCCAGTGATGTCTGTACCATCTGGTTTCTCACTAGGTGGCAGGCATGTAATGGACAGGTCACTAGCAGACGTCTGGCTACACAGCTCCTCCCCCACAAACACTTTAACACTGGCCATCAGCACATTCACCACACGAAAACGACCCTGGTGTTTAGAGAAAATAATGTCAATGTTAGTTGTTGTACCAACCGTTCCCATAGATTCTTAACTGTTAGATATGTCAGTTATCAAGTCGAATTTTGTTTTAGAATTACAGAGACTTGTTGAAATGGGTTTTTAAAATGTCTACTGACAGCAAATCTAAATTTTAACAAAGCTATCTCTATGCTATATCTAATGGACCAGCATTGTTGCCACATTAAAACTGTAGAAACAGGAGTATCCAAACTTTTAGAACTTCTAGACATTACAAGTATATTAGAATGTTAAACCAAAATATTATATCCTCTAGACTATATCAGAGTATATCAGAATGGCAAACTTCCACAATACATTTACTGAGCGAGTCAATAAAGCTGATATATACCTGAATAGAAAGCAAATCTTTATCTTGGAACTTTTTAGTTTTGTCCTCCTCAGTGAAGGGTGCTACATAAGGGTCTGGGTAGTACCACAGGGGCCCAAAAGCTTTGTCGTATGAGACGTTCTCCAGAGCAGCCACTGAGGCCATGACAAACCCGTAGTGGACTTCCAGTGGGCTGGTCTCTGTCACATTAACACCTGGGGCTACGATGGAGGGGGACTTGCACTCCATGACATTCACGCTGATGATTTTACAGTCCTGCAACACATTTTAGGTCCAAGCTTTCAGATAATTTTTTTTAAATGACGACTTAAATTTGCAAAAATGCTAAAAAAATATATATAATGATGATGGAAGAATCAACATTTTTTTAAAAATGTACAGATATGTACATTTTAAAATCTGATCCTAAAGTTACAATGTGTGTCAAGTTTTTTCTTACCTCTGTGAAACGCTTGTCTCCATATTTAGTGACAAACTGAGGCTTCTGAACCAAATCTAAACCATTTCCACGGATGGTCATAGAAGTCCCACCACTAGAATACAAAATACAATGTGCTGTTGTAATAGAGCTTTAGCTTTTTTTTTAACAAGCTTACAACTGGCAATGGTTTATCACATCAATAAAACAATCACACAATCCAATCATTAATCTAACCAAATACATTCAGCAATCATGTTATCAGAGTAATCAAATAAAGTCAAAAACCTCAAATCCAATGAAATATACTCAACAATGCCCAATGACTGTGTAAAGATCGGGAGATCTAATATTACCACCACCATTTGACTCCACTGTAAACTTGATGTTGAACTCACCTCATGATAGTCTTGAGAGGTTCTATAATTGTAACAGTTGGGTCAGGCTTGTATGTAAACATCTCCTTGGCCTCCTTCCTGTAGCCACCAAAGCTGACCTCCACTCTCACCACAGTGTTGTTCATTGACTGGGCTGGGATTTTACACTCTATTGCTGTTTTGTTTGCTCTGTTGAGATCATGTTATATGTATCTAGACATCTAAAGCATTGCTGATATATTTTATACATTTTTTTTTTAAATTTTAGTAGCTGCAGGAGAATCCATATGAAAGATAGGTAACTGCTGGAGTGCAGTGCTTATATAATTATAATGCTTCTTTTCTAAATACTGCCTGGATTGTAGTAAGATGTAGTCCATTTTGATTGGTGCCAACCATTGGTCCTAATCTAACTTACTTTAAAACCTCACACATGCCACCTCCCATCTTGACAGTAATTTCACTTCCAGCATCCAAATGGTCACCAGTCACTGTTAGAGTTGTTCCCCCTGATTTTGGACCTTCTTTGGTGGAGATACCAGCAACATTAGGGTCCTGGAAAAAATAAAAACACTTAAATTTATTAGCAAAAAATATCAATGCAACTAAGTTAAATGAAACATTTAAAAACTAGTAGAAAAATCAAAAGATATAAAGATAAAAGAAATGGTAATATACTAACCACAAACATGAATTCTGAGTCTGATTTAGCAGTGTATTTTCCATTGACAGTAACTGATATACTGCCATTAGATACTGTGTCAACACGCCCAGTTTCACAGACAAATCTACAAGTAACAAAGTAACCATTTGTTAATGTAAAGTTAAGGACAACATAGAAGAATGTCAACATAAAACAAGTGGTGTCTTCACCTGGTTGATGGTATGTAGTGGTCAGGTTTGATAGAGCAAAGCCTCCCAGCCACCTCAGCATGTAAGTCTGCGTAGTTTTTCCCTCCCAGGTTGATCCCTGTCACTGTGATCAATGTCGCACCTTGGATGGGTCCAGTGGCAGGGGAAAACTAGTTTGGGAAAAATAAATGACAACATAGTTACATTGGTTTTCAAACATAGCACTAGAGCTGTCTCCCAAGCCATACACAAATAAGGAGCTGTGTTAAATCATTGGGATTGGTCTAGGCACAGAACCAGATGGGTGCCATAAATATGTTGTAATTTATGTTGATCTGAGGATTGTTGTGACTAGACCTTTGTACAACATACCCTAGTGATCTGAGGATTGGGGCAACTAGACCTTTGTACAACATACCCTAGTGATCTGAGGATTAGGGCAAGTAGATGCTCGGTCCAACCAATGATTGCTGCAACTTTTCTGTAGCAGACACTTCCCCTCACAGTTTTCACAAGGTCCCTCGCACCATCCACACTCGTACTCCGCATCCAAGGATAAACACTGCCCACAGTAGGATACCATATGCATACACTTGTATATCTGAACTGTAAAGTTTAACATGAAAAAGATAAGTATATTTAAACCTTTAGGGACTAGCTCTGCTAAAACAGAGGGAGTTGTTATAATAAAACAGTTTATTTTAAAAACTACGCATTTAAACACCCATGTAATAAAACCTCTAAATGAACAAGTAGCATGAAAGTCATCATTTGACATGGGGGTAAATTGTAATGAGCACAGTGACTATACACTATTATATTCTCTATTTTCATGGTATACAGTGACAAACTAACCTTGAATTCCACTTGGATTATCCAGGAGCAGATTGTTTGGTCCCCAAGTGACTTTAAAATCAGCAATTATATACGGGCTTTCTCCATCATACTTGAACTGTAAACACAAATAGTTTGATTCATTTTTAGTCCTAACAAAACTGTAAACATAATTAGTCTGGTTAACTTCTGGTCTATCTTTCTCTTAACAAACTGTACAACTATAAACATAATTTTATTCATTTTTGGTCCATCTTAACCCCTTCCGAAACTATAAACGTAAATAGTACTACTTAAACTCTATCATTTTTTAAGCATATTTAAGTTCCAATTATATACTGACCTTAACACTGTCACAGGTCAAGGTGGAGGAAGAAATTGTGGCCTTGACCCTTGTTTGGTTACCAGAGTGTGAGAATACACAATTCAAGTTGGCCTCTAACTCAGCCTGAAAATACAAGAACCAAGACAGTTAGTATTCTAATGCAGTTAGATCATCACATTTTGATGTTAGTCAGTCAGTCATAACATTTTTCTTAAGTATTTTTACCACATCTACTCATACCCAGTTAACATTAATATTACTTAGGTGCACATTACTGCAGATTGCTATTGAAATAAACTGTGTAATAAGTGTGGTAATGATTTTACAATTTAAGCAAGCTAAAAATAATTACATACATACTTCAGTTATTATAGCGATAAATACAAAGTTTATGCATCAGAAACAAAGAATGAATAAACTGAGAGCGACCACAACTCACCCCAATATTTTTCACTCCCACAGCAATCTGCTTCTCCTGACCTGAGTGGACCAGAATTCCAGATTTCGTAGTCGATGTTGAGATAAATGGACACTTGGTACTGTCTTTGATAGACAACGCCTGAAAGTAAACACAGAGTCTGGTGTAAAAACTGAATGTATCACTAAACTTAGCCATGGGTTTACTGTATCTAAAACAACTTACTTGAGCTTCCTCAATGGATTTACTGTATCTAAACCCACTTACTTGAGCTTCCTTAGGGTTTCCACAGGTCGAGTTTTTATCAACACACTTCCCTGACTTGTAGCACCATTTACACTGATAAGTGCTGTTTGTGCAGCTAGTGCAGCTAAAAAAAACATGGCAGCTCTTTTAGAAATTTACATTCTGTATTGATTTTTTTTTTAAACTTAAGGTGAAACATTGAAATCAAATTTAGTTGCATGCATTTAATAACTATAAAAGCAGATTAGATTTCTATTCTGTTTAGAAATAAAAACTCGACAGCTTTTTTCCGTCTATTTATTAAAAACATAGCTTACAACATATCTGCAATGGTATATAAACATAATAGAGAAACAACTTACGATGTGTGAGGATTGCAGTTAAACACACTAATACTCCTGGTTACAATGGATTTCCCTTTCACATTGAAATGCACATTTAATTTTTCATGATCTGTAAGAATTTAAAGGACCAGTCATTTAAATTTGTTTATACTACGTATCATTAAAATATTAAAATATTTTTAAACACATTCATAAACCCAACCTTTAAGGTAAGCAATTTTAAAATGTTCATCTATTTGGTTAAATTTAAATAGAATTATCCTGGTCAGTTTTGATTTAGCTCAACAGCTTTAGTGAGGAGTGTCCAGATTCTGAGCTAAAAGATCACATCTAGCACGAGCATTACTCACCCTTACCGTGGGCTATTTTCAATGTCTTAGGCAGGGGGCAGCTAATGTGACGATCATTGGTTATAGAGGCTGGTGTATTGTGTTCATTTTCTCCCAGCTGATACAAGCAGCCAAGTTCAAGGTCATTGGATGATGTCAGACTAACAGACTCCAAAGAAAATTTAACAACCTGGGTAGTAAAAAATTAAAAGACGTTAGCAGCATTTTTTAAAATCATCAGTAAAAATACAAAAATAAAATGCCCAGATTAAAACAGTATTTAAATATTTGGTCAAGCGACACTTGTATAAACTGTGTGAAGCTACCTTAGAATTACTGGAGTCCTGTCCTAGAGAATGGTAGCTGATGACGTTAGGTTCCACGTCAGACACATTCAGACATACGTTCCCTGATGCAGAGAGCCAGTATGGCTTGAAAGCTGATGGTGGACAAGTTTGTTTTGTCGTGCAGCGCCCCTCCATGACACACCAGCCACACAGGAGGTTCACTCCATCTACACATTCATCACAGGTTGCGCTACTCTCACAGATATCACTTGACAGTAAATACACCTGTAAAATGTTTTATTATAACGTATTATAACTAAAACTAATTTAATTAATAAAAGTCGATGCCCATAGTGGCTGCAAGTTTACTTATATAGTAAATGTGAAAATCAATTATTGTTGTAGTAAAATATTCTGTTGGTCATGTCTAACCTTTGTAGTGGTTAAAACATAAATCCGTTCTTCAATCTGTGAGTTAACAATATCCAGAACTGGGTCGTTGTTGCCAAGGTTGAATCTCTTCACTTCTGCTGCTACACTTTTTCCCATTAAAATCTGGAGAGAAAAAAAATTTATGAGAGAGCTTTAGCTTTTAAATTTTATTTTATTTTTCACATGTTGAAAGAAGAGACCACATAACAAATCCAAAATTATAAACAATTATAAGATGAAAGACTGACAGAACATAAGGCTTAAAAAATTTGATTTTATGTAAACTTATAATTAGTAGTAAACAGACAGTAGAAAAGATGCTTCTTAGAAAAATTATAAAAATAAAATGAAAGAGGTGATTAGTTAGAAATCAATGCATTTAAAAGATCAGTGCTAGCAAAGTATGTTTTTTTTTTTGAAAATGGGTTAATTTTAACTAGCTGACCTTTAAGACATGGCCATCCTGTGTTCCAGCATGTAGTATGTTGTTTTCTTGTGCAAATCTCAAGGCAGTTATTCTAGTGTTCTTCAACAACAAATCCGGCACAGAGCTAACTGGTGTCTTGGCTTCAAGGCTGGGATAAGCTTGCGACAGTTCTGTACTGGCACACAAATCTACAGGACTAGTCTGGTAAAACAAAAGGAATTTTTAACTTCAGGGCAAAATATACAACTTCAATCATTTAAGTTAACTCTCTACTGTATTGAAAATTTGAAAAACCGGTTAAATGTTATACGGCTGTCTGAATGCCACAATTATAGAATTATAGGGATGGTAGGTTACAAGTAATAAACTCTACAATAATATAACTTTATAATATTAAATCTAACCAAATCCCTTACCCAATTCCTAACTAAACCCTAAGCCTAATAATTTGTCACCATTACACTTCATCTGATACCACAATAACAACCTAAGATCTATTTTCAGCAGTGTCTGTTTTCAGACACCATTAGCATCAATACTCTAACAAACAAAGACTGTATCAAGTTTCCTTGGGTAGATCTACATTTCTAGTTATTTTTTAAGTTGCTTAATTAATAAAACAGTGTAACCAGTAAAAAAGGGGGCTGTTGGATCACTCACTAGAATAGACTAGTAACAAAGGGTTCGGCAGAGATAGTAACAAGGGGTTGGGCAGAGAAAACAATCTTTTCTCCTGGTGATAACCTTTAATTGAGTTTGTCAGCAAAGCTCTATACTGGAGTGTTAACTACAAGAGCAGGTGTGCTGGGCAGCCAACACAGGGTAACAATAGCATATTTCCCACTCCAAAAATAACATAGTTTCCACCCAGCAGAGGGTTGTACCACAGAAGAAAAACAGTAATTAATTTACCTAGTGTAGTCTACACTATTATTATTTTTTTTTGAAAAAAAAAACTAATTAAAAAACTGGGAATGGGTTTTGTGTTGAATGGATTAGTAATTTTGTTAGCGATTCTAAAAAAAATTGTCTTAATAAACAGTGATGTCTTAGGTAAAACTGTGAAAACGTTTTTGCAGCATAGTTATAGTTGTGTTAATATTAACTTTAAATGTAATTGACAGTTTCATCTACCTTAAGATGAACTTAAGTAAATAGATAAATCAAGTAAACATTTGAAAGTCCTAGATCTAGAAAGTCTTCCAAAAATGTTTCATCCTATTTTGACAATGTTATTGCTAACCCTTCCCCTCACAACCCCCCCCCCCCCCCCCCCCATAATCTCAGTAGGCCTATAGTCATAGGGGTAGTCTACAGCCAGGCTAAAAAATATTCACCTGCCTACAAAATTATATAGAATCTACCATGCCGAAGAGTCCGTTTCAATGCACATAGACTCTCTATATAAATAAATGCGATCGACACAGTTGCACACACAAACAAACATGGCAGTAATGTTTATGATTAGATGGATGTGAGAGTCGCATTTTTACTAAAAGGAAAAAATGAGGAAGTTTACATTTCAAAAACTGCAACTTGTGATTTTTATACAAACTTCCTGGAATTAAATTAACTCTTTTACAACGCTGAGATTAAAATTTGTTTCTAAACCAAAATGTTTGGATTTCTTGCAGTGTGTTTCCTGGCGTGTCAGTTTCAAGATTTTTAAAGTGTTTTTCCTCTTCTATTCTGATGTATTTGAACTGGAGTCTAATTAATTGTTAAGTTTTCTAAACCATTCAGTGTTTGTCAAATAAAATAGCGAAATGCTGACAGAAGTGCGCATCACGTATTTTGATATCCGTGTGTACCCAACTAGTCTAGATCTAAGTCCCGCCCAAACCATTACAGTGAGAAGCGCCACTGTTGTGACTAATTCGGTTTGGTCTGTCGGACGGCTGAAGTGAAATTTCCCCGAAAAGCAACTGGAGGAAATGTTTCTCTTGCGTCACAGCTGAGTTGTTCTATTGATTTCTAAGGTCAAGGTCGCAGCATGCTTTATTTTAGTACTTGATACTATTAGTAATTAGATAATGAATGATGACTCGCATGCACGCAATTTTATGTTCAGAAAACTCACTGAGAACGTTTAAAATAAGAAATGTGGCCACTAAATATAGATCTAACAGCTTTGTGATTTATTTCTTTTGGGATTCAGTAGCTTGTACCAGAAGCGTAGCGACCGGGGGGCAGGGGGGTACATATGTCCCCGGGCGCCAACCCTAGGGGCGCCACAATATGCTCATTTTAGCTGCTATTTTGAATTATAAATATAAAAAATATAGGGGGGGGGGCGCCAAATCGAAAGTTTGTACCCGGGCGCCGGGAGGGGTCGCTACGCCTCTGGCTTGTACTACTTAGTACTTGGACTTTATTTAATATTTTGGTTCATTTCTTTTGCTGAACTTTTACATTTTATAAACTTTGCTTTTTATTGAAAAATTGACAAACTAAATTCTAATACTTTATTTTTAACATTATTTTTTTTTCTGATAACTAGCTTAAACCTGAAATAAGTGTGAATTTTAAAGATAACATTTTGATAGTGGCTTTAACTATACGATTTCTCGTGATACACTGTCTTTTTCTCTGGGTAACACTGAATGGTCGTCTTCTACCACAAGCGTTATGTGGTCAGATCCAGGGGCGTAGCGAGGGGGGTGCGGACCGCACCGGGTGACACTATTTAGGGGGGTGACACCAAGGCAAAAAATAGCAAAATATATAGGGAGGGGGTGCAAATCGAAAGTTTGAGGGGGGTGCAAATCGAAAACTTGAGGGGGGGGGGGGTGCAAATCGAAAACTTGAGGGGGGTGCAAATCGAAAGTTTGAGGGGGGGATGCAAATCGAAAATTTGAAAGTTTGTCCCCGGGAAGGGTCGCTACGCCTCTGGGGGGTGACACCATTAAGTGCCGCACCGGGTGACACCCGGCCTCGCTACGCCACTGGTCAGATCTATAGGTAAACAAATAGGCCCTATAAGCCGAATGTGGGCCTATAATATCAGATGGAAATCATTAGCGTTACGAGGAGTTGATTTTGTTTATGATACCGGTCTATGGCTGAGGTGGTAAAATGGAGGATCTGCCTTGGGCTCAGAAAAAATGGGTATGTGTAACTGCACGTGGATAAAATGGGCCTAAAGCCTATGCGTTTAGTATTCTACCCAAGTTTTTCTTGAATGCACGTGGCAGAGCCTACTTTTTTCTATCATAAAAAAATCAAACGACTTCTACAAAGCCAACAAAATAAATTATTTTGATGACTTAGGCCTATACCCGAATAAAATTAATGACCAAACGTAAAGCAATGTTTACAAGAGATACATATGACCTCAGACTGCGCATGTCTGCTGGATATGTTTAGCGTTCACGGGGCTGAAAGGGGTCATTAGCGGATCGCCGTGTACGCCACATGGAAGGAAACGGTTGGGGCGAAGATGAGTTGACCAGGTGGCGAGGCGGTATTTTTATCTGGCCAGGTGTTGATTGGGGGAAACATAAAGAGTGAGAAGGGCATAAATACATTTTATATGCAGGTTTTAGGCGAATCTTTTTGAAAAGAAAACATCAATAGAAAGAAGACGTGGTGAACACTCCAGTGGCGCTGGTGTTTGTGGGATCATTTGGGTGTGTTGGTGGATATGGGGGGTGGGGGGTCTGGTTGTGGTGTATGTGGGGATCATGTGGATGTGTTGGTGGATGTGGGGGGTCTAATGTGTGGTTGATGTGGGGGTCTAATGTGTGGTGTGGTCTTCTTTTGGATTTGTCAGTGTACGTGGGAGATCTGGTGTGATGGTGTTTATTGGGTGTCTTGGTGGGTATTAAGGGTGCGTGCGTGGAGTGGGTAGATTGTGTGTGATCTTGTTGGGTGTAGTTGTGTGATCGTTAAGGTATAGTTGTGTGATCTTGTGGGGGTGGGGGCGGTCTGGTGTGATCCTCCTGAGTGCGTTTAATTTTAATGGTGGTGTTGCCGGCACATTAAGGGTGAGGCCATTTTATGCGAATCTGATAATTTGTGTGTGGGACGGAGTGCAGAGAATATGTGAGTCAACATCTGTCGTAGTCTAATTTTTTTTATCACAGCCGGTCTTTTGGTTGATGTAGAAAACTGGCAAATGCATGGTTAATGGCTAATAATTTGTGACTTAATGGTTGCACAATATCCATTAGCTGCTGGGTAGTTTTAGCTGCTGGGTAGGTGGGGAAGGGGGGGAGGGGGGCTGCCGCTCTCTGTCATTTGCTGTGGGGGCTCACTCTCAGCCCTAGGCCCACTGGTTTCTGTAGGGTTGGGGGGGGGGGGGGGGACACCCAACGCAATCTACCCAATAATAAAACCAGAAATCAGTTTTCTTAATTATAACATGAAAAGCATAAGGAGTTCCAAGACTTGCAATAAAATGGCGATATTTTTTTTCATAAACGCTTCAAAAGGCAGAAAGAAAAAAAATGACGCTTTAAAAAAGAGAGACAACTTTCTTTCAAGTTAAACCATCAACCTGTACTGAAATGTGTGCTTTAAAATGGGCGAGGGGGAGGGAGGGTGTAATATGCCGTCCAAACTACCTTGGGGAAAAATGTAAATGGGGGGGGGGGGGAAGGGGGAGTGGGGTAAAACTGCCGTCCAAGTTACCTTAGAAATAGAGTACTTTTTTTTAAAAGGAGGGAGGGGGGGAACTACCGTCCAAGTTACCTTAGCAAAAAGTAAGCAGATAAAATAGCTTGCACGGCGAGTGCTCAACTTTTCACTGATAAATTATGTGTGTAAAGATAAAGTAATGTTTGTATCACGGCAACGTTGGCTGGGAGACAACACACAAAATATGGGATGGAAAAAACGTCAAAGGGAGAGTAATCTTCGTGAACTAGGGGAGACGATTTCAAGACTTTGGGGCGGAGAGAAGTTATCTAATGACCAAGCTTCTGATGCTCCTTAAGAAAGAAGATAATTGATTGTCAACAACTAATTAAAAACTAATTGTCATGTTTTTGGATTTAAAAAGAAACATTTCTGTCGTCAGGTTCAATTATCAATATTGGATTGTGTTCGCAAAAAAACTTATTATATTATATTATATACAAACTTATTGCAGAGAAGAAAAAATCGAGGTGTACTCACTGTCTTCATACATGTCCTGATTCTCTCGTAATGAGCAGGTCCCACTTTCCCCTGTCCATCGTAGCAGGACTGGACCGTGGCGTCAAATGCCTTGTCAATGTCAGCCATTGAGTAAACACACAGGCTCGTCTCGCTATTTATATCCTGAGAGAACGACACTACCAACTGGTCTCCCTTGACGTCTGCTGCTTGAGCCACGCCCCTGCCCTGACAGTCCAGCTGCATCTCAACGTATGACCGGAAGTACTGGTCAGTGTGACACAGACGACTGACCTTGGTCACCATCTCCTGAGACTTGAGTTCCCGTCTCTGTGTTGTGATGAAGTACACGAATCGACCCGCGGAGAAGCCGTGCACAAACTTCACTTTAAAATTGTTCCGGAACTCCGGCTTGATGCTCATTTTGGTCCCGCCCTGCGTGTCCCTGTAGGAAAGTTCCAGAGTGTTGAGCTTGCGACTGCTGATGCTGGGCACGATGTCTCGGTACTTCTCCGTGCCCAGACTGCTGTACTCGGCCCCCACGTACAGGCTGTTGGTCTGGTTGAGGCCCGGGGCGATGAGCATGACGCAGGAAGACTGGTCGTTGGGCACCATGGGCATGGCCGTGTGGCTGGTCATGTCCGTGATGTTGTCCAGCTTCAGCACCTGGCACGAGCCGTGGAACAGGCTCGTGCACAGGATGATCACGTGATTGTCTGGGTCGACGACCAGGCTTTTGGTCAAGCTTTGGGTCGCCACCTTGGACAGGTTACACGGCACGATTGGCGGGGGGCAATCAGGGTTGTCCTCCCTTGGGCCCGTGGCGGCGCTCTGAATCAAACTGAGGTTGGAGGTAAGTCTGTGCAGCCGGTTGACGCCCCCGATGTAGACGGCGCCAGAGGCTGAGTGTAGCGCCATCTTCTGGAGCAAGTTGTTGTCGGGGTCTCTGAAGGTGTGGAGGATGTGCATGGACAGGACACAGCAGTGCAGGGCCATCAGGAGCACAAGTCGGGGGAGGATGCTACACTCCATGCTGCGTCTCTCATTGATCTAGAAATAAAAGTTAATGTATGTTACAACTCAGACAACTCAGGATAATTTTAAGATTTTCACAGCTGGCCGATACAGAGCCAACAATCTTTACCTTTACTGACCGATGTTCCCAATTTCTAGCGCTACCGCTAGATGTTTTGCCTATTTCAAAACTAAATGCTGTCCCATGTCAACAAAACCTGACGAACATGTTTTCTATGCAGATCTTCCGGCGAATCAACTAAAGCAGAACCCCCACCCCCCCTTCCCCCCCCCCCCCCCCCCCCCACCCCAAAAAAAAACCAGTCGAAATGTTTCTGTGTTATAAAAAATGAACACAAGAAACTGATGTATTCTATGTCGTGAGAGAGGCGAGAATAAATTAAACGACCACTTAATGGTGGCTTGGTGACTGTTGGACCATCACTGACAGCTGGACCAGCCCTAGACCAAACAGCTGGAACAGCCCTAGACCCAACAGCTGGACCAGCCCTAGACCATCACAAACAGCTGGACCAGCCCTAGACCAAACAGCTGGACCAGCCCTAGATCATCACAAACAGCTGGACCAGCCCTAGACCAAACAGCTGGACCAGCCCTAGACCAAACAGCTGGACCAGCCCTAGACCATCACAAACAGTTGGACCAGCCCTAAACCAAACAGCTGGACCAGCCCTAGACCAAACAGCTGGACCAGCCCTAGACCAAACAGTTGGACCAGCCCTAGACCAAACAGCTGGACCAGCCTTAGACCAAACAGCTGGACCAGCCCTAGACCAAACAGCTGGACCAGCCCTAGACCATCACAAACAGCTGGACCGGCCTTAGACCAAACAGCTGGACCAGCTCTAGACCAAACAGCTGGACCAGCCCTAGACCATCACAAACAGTTGGACCAGCCCTAGACCAAACAGCTGGACCAGCCCTAGACCAAACAGCTGGACCAGCCCTAGACCATCACAAACAGTTGGACCAGCCCTAGACCAAACAGCTGGACCAGCCCTAGACCAAACAGCTGGACCAGCCCTAGACCAAACAGCTGGACCAGCCCTAGACCATCACAAACAGTTGGACCAGCCCTAGACCAAACAGCTGGACCAGTCCTAGACCAAACAGCTGGACCAGCCCTAGACCAAACAGCTGGACCAGCCCTAGACCAAACAGCTGGACCAGCCCTAGACCATCACAAACAGCTGGACCAGTCCTAGACCAAACAGCTGGACCGGCCTTAGACCAAACAGCTGGACCAGCTCTAGACCAAACAGCTGGACCAGCCCTAGACCAAACAGCTGGACCAGCCCTAGACCAAACAGCTGGACCAGCCCTAAACCAAACAGCTGGACCAGTCCTAGACCAAACAGCTGGACCAGCCCTAGACCAAACAGCTGGACCAGCCCTAGACCAAACAGCTGGACCAGCCCTAGACCATCACAAACAGCTGGACCAGCCCTAGACCAAACAGCTGGACCAGTCCTAGACCATCACAAACAGCTGGACCAGCCCTAGACCAAACAGCTGGACCAGCCCTAGACCATCACAAACAGCTGGACCAGCCCTAGACCATCACAAACAGCTGGACCAGCCCTAGACCAAACAGCTGGACGAGCCCTAGACCAAACAGCTGGACCAGCCCTAGACCATCACAAACAGCTGGACCGGCCTTAGACCAAACAGCTGGACCAGCTCTAGACCAAACAGCTGGACCAGCCCTAGACCATCACAAACAGTTGGACCAGCCCTAGACCAAACAGCTGGACCAGCCCTAGACCAAACAGCTGGACCAGCCCTAGACCATCACAAACAGTTGGACCAGCCCTAGACCAAACAGCTGGACCAGCCCTAGACCAAACAGCTGGACCAGCCCTAGACCATCACAAACAGTTGGACCAGCCCTAGACCAAACAGCTGGACCAGTCCTAGACCAAACAGCTGGACCAGCCCTAGACCAAACAGCTGGACCAGCCCTAGACCAAACAGCTGGACCAGCCCTAGACCATCACAAACAGCTGGACCAGTCCTAGACCAAACAGCTGGACCGGCCTTAGACCAAACAGCTGGACCAGCTCTAGACCAAACAGCTGGACCAGCCCTAGACCAAACAGCTGGACCAGCCCTAGACCAAACAGCTGGACCAGTCCTAGACCAAACAGCTGGACCAGCCCTAGACCAAACAGCTGGACCAGCCCTAGACCAAACAGCTGGACCAGCCCTAGACCATCACAAACAGTTGGACCAGCCCTAGACCAAACAGCTGGACCAGCCCTAGACCAAACAGCTGGACCAGCCCTAGACCAAACAGCTGGACCAGCCCTAGACCATCACAAACAGTTGGACCAGCCCTAGACCAAACAGCTGGACCAGTCCTAGACCAAACAGCTGGACCAGCCCTAAACCAAACAGCTGGACCAGTCCTAGACCAAACAGCTGGACCAGCCCTAGACCAAACAGCTGGACCAGCCCTAGACCAAACAGCTGGACCAGCCCTAGACCAAACAGCTGGACCAGCCCTAGACCATCACAAACAGTTGGACCAGCCCTAGACCAAACAGCTGGACCAGTCCTAGACCAAACAGCTGGACCAGCCCTTGACCATCACAAACAGCTGGACCAGCCCTAGACCAAACAGCTGGACCAGTCCTAGACCATCACAAACAGCTGGACCAGCCCTAGACCAAACAGCTGGACCAGCCCTAGACCATCACAAACAGCTGGACCAGCGTAGACCATCACAAACAGCTGGACCAGCCCTAAATCAAACAGCTGGACCATTCCTAGACCAAACAGCTGGACCAGCCCTAGACCATCACAAACAGCTGGACCAGCTGGGACAAAAACGGTTGAAGAAGTTGGATGTAAACGATCTGAGTGTGTGGGGACAAAAACGGCTGAAGAAGTTGGATGTAAACGATCTGAGTGTGTGGGGACAAAAACGGTTGAAGAAGTTGGATGTAAACGAGTGTGTGGGGACAAAAACGGCTGAAGAAGTTGGATGTAAACGATCTGAGTGTGTGGGGACAAAAACGGCTGAAGAAGTTGGATGTAAACGAGTGTGTGGGGACAAAAACGGCTGTAGAAGTTGGATGTAAACGAGTGTGTGGGGACAAAAACGGCTGTAGAAGTTGGATGTAAACGAGTGTGTGGGGACAAAAACGGCTGTAGAAGTTGGATGTAAACGATCTGAGTGTGTGGGGACAAAAACGGCTGAAGAAGTTGGATGTAAACGAGTGTGTGGGGACAAAAACGGCTGTAGAAGTTGGATGTAAACGAGTGTGTGGGGACAAAAACGGCTGTAGAAGTTGGATGTAAACGAGTGTGTGGGGACAAAAACGGCTGTAGAAGTTGGATGTAAACGAGTGTGTGGGGACAAAAACGGCTGTAGAAGTTGGATGTAAACGAGTGTGTGGGGACAAAAACGGCTGTAGAAGTTGGATGTAAACGAGTGTGTGGGGACAAAAACGGCTGTAGAAGTTGGATGTAAACGAGTGTGTGGGGACAAAAACGGCTGTAGAAGTTGGATGTAAACGAGTGTGTGGGGACAAAAACGGCTGAAGAGGTTGGATGTAAACGATCTGAGTATGTGGGGACAAAAACGGCTGAAGAAGTTGGATGTAAACGAGTGTGTGGGGACAAAAACGGCTGTAGAAGTTGGATGTAAACGAGTGTGTGGGGACAAAAACGGCTGAAGAAGTTGGATGTAAACGATCTGAGTATGTGGGGACAAAAACGGCTGAAGAAGTTGGATGTAAACGAGTGTGTGGGGACAAAAACGGCTGTAGAAGTTGGATGTAAACGAGTGTGTGGGGACAAAAACGGCTGTAGAAGTTGGATGTAAACGAGTGTGTGGGGACAAAAACGGCTGTAGAAGTTGGATGTAAACGAGTGTGTGGGGACAAAAACGGCTGTAGAAGTTGGATGTAAACGAGTGTGTGGGGACAAAAACGGCTGTAGAAGTTGGATGTAAACGAGTGTGTGGGGACAAAAACGGCTGTAGAAGTTGGATGTAAACGAGTGTGTGGGGACAAAAACGGCTGTAGAAGTTGGATGTAAACGAGTGTGTGGGGACAAAAACGGCTGAAGAAGTTGGATGTAAACGATCTGAGTATGTGGGGACAAAAACGGCTGAAGAAGTTGGATGTAAACGAGTGTGTGGGGACAAAAACGGCTGTAGAAGTTGGATGTAAACGAGTGTGTGGGGACAAAAACGGCTGAAGAAGTTGGATGTAAACGATCTGAGTATGTGGGGACAAAAACGGCTGAAGAAGTTGGATGTAAAAGAGTGTGTGGGGACAAAAACGGCTGTAGAAGTTGGATGTAAACGAGTGTGTGGGGACAAAAACGGCTGTAGAAGTTGGATGTAAACGAGTGTGTGGGGACAAAAACGGCTGTAGAAGTTGGATGTAAACGAGTGTGTGGGGACAAAAACGGCTGTAGAAGTTGGATGTAAACGAGTGTGTGGGGACAAAAACGGCTGTAGAAGTTGGATGTAAACGAGTGTGTGGGGACAAAAACGGCTGTAGAAGTTGGATGTAAACGAGTGTGTGGGGACAAAAACGGCTGAAGAAGTTGGATGTAAACGATCTGAGTATGTGGGGACAAAAACGGCTGAAGAAGTTGGATGTAAACGAGTGTGTGGGGACAAAAACGGCTGTAGAAGTTGGATGTAAACGATCTGAGTGTGTGGGGACAAAAACGGCTGTAGAAGTTGGATGTAAACGATCTGAGTGTGTGGGGACAAAAACGGCTGTAGAAGTTGGATGTAAACGAGTGTGTGGGGACAAAAACGGCTGAAGATGTTGGATGTAAACGAGTGTGTGGGGACAAAAACGGCTGTAGAAGTTGGATGTAAACGAGTGTGTGGGGACAAAAACGGCTGAAGAAGTTGGATGTAAACGAGTGTGTGGGGACAAAAACGGCTGAAGAAGTTGGATGTAAACGAGTGTGTGGGGACAAAAACGGCTGAAGAAGTTGGATGTAAACGAGTGTGTGGGGACAAAAACGGTTGAAGAAGTTGGATGTAA